AAATTTGGTAGTCTCTCATCCCAGTGTTATACAGTTCCAATATCAGTACATTTTTTCCTTTATGATCATTGAAAAGAAGTAGTTTAAATAAAAAGTTGACGCCAGACTGGCACCATACATTGGTATAAACTAACTTATCATTTGAGCTGGAATTATCATAATTGTCATAAAAACATGACACAATAATGTTTTACTATTTTGACTCTATTAACCAGTCTTGAATCTCAGCTCTGAAATGACACTCTGATTTCACCTGTGATCTCACTTTATGACCTTGTCATTGAAATAAGAATCACAAAAAAAGGAAAGTACACATATAAGTGATGGGGCACGCCAAGGCATGAGTCATACCAGACAGAAAAATAGTAACAAAGGAATGAACAAGCTGGCTTGTCAAGATGGACATATAAGGAACTTCTTCAGCTAACAAGACCTACCATAGGACTGATGCAGCTAGAAAACAGATTATCTTATATCTATGTTTCTGGGAAAGAAATAATTGGGTAGTTAAGCAACTACTGCTTTTCAAGCTTGTTAACTAATTTGAAATAAAGTAAGACAGACAAAAACTTTCACAAATCAATGTATTTTCAGTAACATCAATAACCTGAAATAAATAGAAAATATGCCACTGTGATACATATAATAAACAGATAGTTTAAGTGACTAGAAATACTGAGAATTCTAATAACATCATCCTCAAACAGTCTACACTGATGTAAATACATATATATATTGTACATGGAAAAATCACATGATTAACATACAAACAGCTAGAAGCTGTTATTATACATCTATATCACATGATGACCAGAAGATTTAATAGGTTTGTCAACAACAACAACAACACTTATGGTGGAATTATGTGTCTCAAATACCACTGCAGAAAATAATCTCTAATGAACTAGTGATCATCCCCTAGTCACTTAGTGCAATGTGCACACCTAAAGAAAAAACTGTAATCGGTGGTTTTAATTTGATTTTTTGTTTTATATACAAACTGATAAATAAGTCTGCGCTGTTTTAACAGAGACTGTGCTATTAAACTGGAAAGTTGTTGGGACAACCAGTTATCAGAGTTATCTCCCCTTCTTTGTTGAGTACCTTCAGATGCATGATTACACTATCAATAATATGTTGCTAATAGATCATTGGTAAGTTCAGTTCCCCCCCCCCCCTTGTTATTGATGTTGGTATCTATGATATAACTACAAGTAACACTTGACAGACCATGGGGATAATAGGAGTTACTTCCCCTTGTTATTGCTGTTGTTATCTTACTGTGTTATATATAATGAAACTTTAAGTATACCAGTGATCATGATTACTTCACTTTGATGTTGTTACTGGTATAAATATATGTCTTAATGTATTACTCATAATATCTTACTGATAACAGATAAGTGAGATTCTAGTTACAGGGACATTTTAGATGTACATTCCCTTACACCTTTTAACAGACTGCAGATAAAAAATACTTCAAATTCACACACTATCTCCATTCATAACAAGTTAAGAATACGAAAGGCAGACAGATAACAAGTGAGATGATAGTATGGGTGGGTGATGCAGGAGTTTTGGGCACTCATTGTTCAATTTCCAGATCAGATGTGAAAAAAGTATTGGACCACTTTGTTAATCTCATGGATTTTCTTCATGTAGTCACATTTCTTCTGATAACAATCCCCTGCTGCATATTACCACCCAGAATCACAAACATATAGTAATATAGTAAAATAGATAAATTTTACAGAGCACAGAGTAGGAAGATTTCTCTCCAACTGGTAGGGAAATTGAAATTTTGGTATTGAGAATTTTCATCACATACAATCTTTATACTAGAATCAGCATAATGGATTAATTAAATCTAAATATTAAGTTAGCCCCATGAAAATATTCACAGAAATACAAAAAAATGAAAACATTTTTGTTTTTAACACAATCTTCCTAATATTTTTTCTAAAAGAGCATATTTAAGTGAATAATAAATGAGGAATTTTCCACATCAAATCCAACTGTTGAGAAACTCTGACAATTTCCTTGTCTGTACTGTCGTTATTAATTCATTGATCATATATCTGTTCCAGTAATATTTCCAAGACTCACAAACCTATTCAGGATTGGTAAACAAAACTGTAAGAATGATCACAATACACAATATCTAATATCTATATATTCAATGCTATTTATGGGTTGAGAATGACTACAAACTATACATGTGTACTACCAAAAATGTTGATCATACTTCCAAAAGGAACTTATCACCGTCATCTCATTCATTAAAAAACACCAGGAACACATTTGTAAGTGGTACATGTCACAGAATGGTGGATTATGGCTACAGTATGGCTTGACAATTAGCTGCTGTTGCTGGATTGTATCCGAAGGGACATAACTCTTGTAGAAGTCATAATGCAGCTGAATTACAGCAACATAAATTCTGCTGAAATGTAAAAAACGTATTGAGATCAAATATGGCACAGATCAAAAAGTGTATACTGATGGTACCAATGATTGTGAACTTCAAAATTTGCTGTAGATAGTGGATTTTTTTTTTATAAAAGGCCTACAATTATCATGCAAATACTTATTAGAATTACTATCATACGAAAACCTTGACAAATTTTCTTCAGCCTAAATAGAAATAATGCTTATGGCATTTTAAAATCATTTCTGAAATTATAGCATGCACAATGTATTTAAAATGCCTTCTGTTTCCATGGATACAAAATGTAAAAAGATACACAAGAGTCCCAATGGGTCTGCATTACTCACTCTGTGGGTGTTACTCAATATTACTTTCAAACATATCTTACAATTGTTGCCTTGAAAGTAGATCACAATCATAACAATTCATCAACAATATCAGTACTTCAGGTCTCTTAGTTATTGAGAAAAATTTTATTAAAGATTCTATCACATTGACCCCTGCAACCTTGAAGTCAAAGTCATTAATTTATAAAAAAAAAAACTTGTTAAACTTCATCCCATCATGCTACAGGTCCAATATCAGTACCCTGGACCTCTTGGTGATAGAGAAAAGGTCAATAGACAGATGACGTATGTTACAGTAAAGCACAAGCTCACTAGCCCTTGTATAGGTGAGCTAAAATTTTTTAAAAAGTGTACAAAAATCTATGACCCGAAAAGCATCAATAGGTTGGGTCTGAACAGTTTTAGATTCAATAAATCATATGACTGAGTACATTTCTACACAAAAATGGTATATTCAACAGAGCAAGATCTTTACTTAATGGCATTAGACACTGATTACAACAAGCAAAATACTGGTGTAAAAAAATTGCATAAAGTGTTTATATTTAAGTGTACAACACATAAATACATACACTACCATGGACTGAACCATTGTTACTCTGTAAGCTTCATATATTACCAGCATGCACAGCAGGTCAGTACAACATCCACATATAACAATCTTACACTCACATAGATATAGCCAGAATTTCATCGACACTGTGAATTACTACTCTGATTTCCAGACAGTGTAACCTCTCTAGATTGAATCGTGTGTATCATGAATCAAACTGATTTATCTTTTGATTTGAAGCAATCATATTTAATATGAAACATGGAGACACATACTGAACAAATCAAACTTTCTCTCTCACCAGCCACTCCTCGCTTTATGTATGCCACAGTATTATTCATTTGTGACCATGCATGAACCATTCCATCATCTTCGATACTCCAGGGATTATGATTACTTTCTCCCTCTGCACCCCTGGAAGATTACAAGACAAATTGGAACCACACCCCAAATACTTTGATAGGTCGAGGTCCGAACTCAGGAGAAAAAGGTCGAGGGCAGAACTCAGGAGAAAAAGGTCGAGGGCGGAACTCAGGAGAAAAAAGTGACCAATCATAGGCTGATACACTCCTTCAAAGATTATAAAGGAGCGACATCCAACTTCAAAGTCAGTACAACACGTGTTATGCGACCTCAAAATTTGTTCGACATACATTAAAGGAACAAGGTGTCACACTTAATTTTGCCATGAAATGTTCCAGGGAGTAAAGAGGATGTAGTGAGCATAAACAATGGAGTATAAAGGGTGCCCTTCCACGTACCAAACTGTGAAAACATGTACTTGGGTGCAGATCATCTTTCTAAGGACTACTAAAGCTTACAGTGTTAATGTATACAAAACAACACAAGATTTGTGTACCAGAAAGTAACAAAGACCACAACATCCCTAATCCCAAGAAGTTACATAGAAAAAAGTAACCAGGATTGCTGAGCACCTGATCTCTAGATCTTTCATACTTAAAATACCAAGAATTTCAGAGCCCAGCTAATCCATGGGACCTTGTACATAAACATGCCCGAGATTTTCGAGGTCAGTTGATCCCTGGGACCTGTTTACTTAAAAGCAATCAGGATTGTCAAGCCGATGATCCCCAGAATTTGTGTACTTTATAGTACTCAGGATTTTGGAGTCTAGCTGACACCTGGGATCTTGTACCTAAAAGTAACCAGGATTTTCGAGCCTAGCTGATCCCTAGGACTTGTGTACTCAAAAGCAACCAGGATTTCCAATCATCTGATCCCTCAGACCTGTGTACACGATAGCAACCAGGATTTTCGAGCCCCTGGTCCTGATTATAAGGACTTGTGTATGTAAAAGTAACAGAATTTCCACATCCTTGATAGCAAGGACTTGTGTACCCTGAAGTTACCAGGCCCATGATTCATATGACTCAATGTACCAAACAATATATGAGGCTCCAATGCCCATGCTCTATCTGTATACATGTAAGACTTGAAACTCCAAAGTAATATGGATTTCTAGGCACATGTATAACTCCAACCCTGATTCCAGTCACCACTGAAATATGGTAGTAACATGTAAACTGATATCATGACAAGTATATAACATTTAATAACGACTCACATTTCATGATGTTAAAAAAAGTCAAGAATTTACTTTGATTTCAATATCTAATGAGACAATTATCACCATTCTATGATACCCGTGAAATACTGCTTATCCATATTAAAGTGAAAAGCCAAAATCGCCATCAAGATCATAATCATAATCATATATATCATCATCGTATTCAAAGTCATTGTCAGTATCATGTCCAGAGTGAGTTGTACCACTATCATCAGTGTCTGGATCAGAGAATCGCATCGTCACTTGCAGAGCATTTGCATAGGCATCATCATAGTATTCTACTGTGTCCAGTTCCATGAGGTCAGACTTGGTCAGGTAGCCAAAGGCTACCAAGGAGATGTTGTCTATCGGGGGCGGTCTGTGAATGATGGTTTGTGGATACATCTCACTGATCTCGTGCAGCGATGTTGTGTATGGTGCTGGGTTGTTCAGTATGAAGATACTGTTGTCAGTGGCTGCCTGTATTTGATATCCATACATATCAGTTAAATTATCTGTCAGTGACCCAGGCGTGGGGACCTTACGAAGGGAGGTAACCCATTTACACCTGACTTCATCCAAGACAAGTGCAGGTTTGCCAGGATGATAGATGAGAACTGTGTCATCTCGGACACACAACATGTATGGCTTCACAAAATCATCATAGGAAATCTCAGGGGCACAGATCTCCCATGAATTGAACACTTTTGATTTTGTATCAAACATGACAAACCCCACTGATTTTTTTATGCAGAATTCTTCTGAAGGACCAGTGCGATGACGAAACCACAGAAAGATGAATCTGTCATTTCGAACTGCTGCTCTTGCTAAACTGATGAAACGAGCGCCCGGAATTTGATGGCACTTATACTGATGATTTGTTAGACTGCACTGGAATAAGTTGCCTGCTCCTTCCTTGTTACCAATAACATAAAGGTTGTGGCCACACACTGCCACAGCTGGTGGCACTGAGCGGTAGTTGGTCAGGGTTGTTCGGTATGTTGGGTTGTAGTAGTCTGCTGTGCGGAATGAATATACTGCTGGTTGTCCTTTCAAAAGGTCAACAACCAAGATGTTAATCTTTAACATGTCAGAGGGGTAAGGGAAGCTAGGACAAAGATACATGTAAAGGCAGTTTCTGTGGGCAACAAGACTACAAACTGTTTGTCTAGATGGTATCATCTGAGAAAGCTTCTCACTGCTAATTGGAAACTGATACCATTTCTGACTGTATATACTGTAGACCAAGATCCTGAGGAATTTCATTCCTTGATTACAAATCACTGTATACAGAACTGGACAAATTGTATCATTCACACTGATTGACTCATGAAGAACATTCTCTTTCAGCATGCATGACATATGTCCTTCTGCATCTCTTCTGATTGCATCTGAAAGAGAAGACTGCATGAAGATGGACAGGTCCCGCTGCTTAATGCCTTGTCCCAATATAGCTGGAGCACTATCCCCAGTGTCATACACCCATAACTTGATACAGGCACACAAATCATTCTTGTACATTTCTCTGCTTTCTTTACAGTAATCAACCCAGCGTGTGATAAGTCTTTTCAACTCATTGTAACTTGTCTGGTGGACTGTTCTTGGATCTTCTAATAACTGGAAAAAGTATGGAGGAGGAATTTCCAGAATTTCATCATTATGGATAAGGTAGTCATGGAAGCGAGATTCAATTATCTTTTGACATGCCTCACTTACATCCAGCAAATTGTGGTTTTCAGTGAGAAATTTCACTCGCAGACAATTACTTAGGTCCAAATTACCTAGATCCAGATAAAACTGCTGACAGTAGTCCTTCACATCGTCTAAAAGCAAGAAGTCAGACACTCTGAGTATATCATCAACATTTGAAATGTTGACAGTTAGTGACCCCGTGTACATATAGTCCAACACATTACTGAATACGGAATCGTCTTCAAGCAAGAGTGATTCCGTCAGATCTATTTCTCTGGAAGATTTCTCTCTCATTTCACAAGTAAACATGGAGAGAAAATATGGACTCCAAAGTGCTAATATAGCACGGTGTGCATGATATATTCTTCCATGTATCCGGAGTATGACGTCGCATAGCTGTCCCGTCTCTCTTTGGCGCATCAGCGGCCTAATGATATAATCCTGTGCGTTCCTGAAGAATTGCTTCTTCTCGGCTCTCATGTAATGAGACATTTTTGTTTATATCACGGAAAATCAAACCCATCTTCCTCTCGTCCACATATTTGATGTTAATGGCCAATTGTCTTCACTAAAACTGAGTGGCTACTTTGAATTCATAATGACAAGGCCGACACAATTGGTTTCCTCGAGCAATCGATATTTATGTTGATGAACCAAAGATATGTAAACAAATGAAAAGAGTTGTACTGATCCAGACGGTAATCATAAATGCCTACTCGGAAAAGAGCATGTACCCGGGAGCAGCTGATACTTGAACGGTAAAACGTTGCATCTAAGCAATGGCACAGATGTTTATACGTAAATATAAATTCTGATTATTTTCTACAAATCAAATACTCTTTTCAACGGTTGGTGTTGGTGTTTTAAACATCTTTATTTTGGATGGTTGTAACCAATCGCTCCCGGTTGTTTTTATTGTACATGGCGTTTTTATATCTTATTCAAGCTGAACGCTTACTCCGAAAAGACCTGTCTGGAAACACGTGGTGAGTCTTCATTTAGCGACCCGTACTGAACTACATTTTTAAAAGAGATTTTGCGGTAATGAATGAGATTATGTCTTATTTAACCATTAAAATAGAACTTCAAAACTGAAGGATCCAAGTAGTTGTGGCACTTCAGTTATCTCCCTTAGACCCGTACGAGCTACAGAGTAATGAGTATCACAAATGAAAATAAAAATAGATGACATCTTGGGTGGTGAGGAACAGATCCCTCTTATGGCGGTTTAACTATATTGAAATAGACTGACATTGTTATTCCATTTCACTGCGAAACAGCATAACTATGGTGTTTGGAAAGCTGAAGAAGTTTTGTCACGGCCAAAGGGGTTTTGATGATCGACTTAAGTAAAAAAATATTTTGAAATTCAATACATATATATATATATATATACATGTGCCAAACCCATACCATATATCAATTCCTAGTGCACATGTCCCATGCTTCACCATGACTGATCATAATCACTTTTGGTTGGAAGCGTTGTGAGCCTGTTGTTTTTATAGTATACAGATTTTTAAAACTTTTGTAAAAATTTATAGGCCTATCTGGTTACTGCTTTCACGTGTACGTTCCTCTTTGTACATGCTTTGTGAATTTTTCAGGAAAACAAATGGCTATTTCTGGGGAGAACAGTCGTTTTAGTACGTGGTCATTTCAGTGCCTCAAGAAAGATGTTTTGGTACTTTTTGAAGTGGTTTCAAAATATAAATACGAAAAATGTCTGGGTACCAAAACAACGGGTACCAAAATGACTTGGTACCAAAACAACAGGTACCAAAATGACTGGGTACCAAAACAACAGATACCAAAATAACTGGACACCAAAATGTCTGGGTACCAAAACAGTGCCTACCGAAATGACTGGATACCAAAACAGCACATACCGAAATGACTGGGTACCAAAATGACTGGGCACCAAAACAACAGGTACCAAAATAACTGGATACCAAAATGACTGGGTACCAAAACAACAGGTACGAAAAAAGACTGGGTACCAAAACAACAGGTACCAAAATGACTGGGTACCAAAACAACGGGTATCGAAATGACTGGGTACCAAATCAATGGGTACCGAAATGACCAGAATCCTTTTGTGGAAAATTTCAGATACATCATTCTAAAATTCCACATGTAGGTTGCTCTTTGTCCCATTTTGTGACTGACTGCTCTTTGTCCCATCTTGTGACTGACTGCTCTTTGTCCCATCTTGTGACTGACTGCTCTTTGTCCCATCTTGTGACTGACTGCTCTTTGTCCCATTTTGTGACTGACTGCTCTTTGTCCCACTTTGTTACTGACTTCTCTTTGTCCCATTTTGTGACTGACTGCTCTTTGTCCCATTTTGTGACTGACTTCTCTTTGTCCCACTTTGTGACTGACTTCTCTTTGTCCAATTTTGTGACTGACTGCTCTTTGTCCCATTTTGTGACTGACTGCTCTTTGTCCCATTTTGTGACTGACTGCTCTTTGTCCCACTTTGTGACTGACTTCTCTTTGTCCAATTTTGTGACTGACTGCTCTTTGCCCCATCTTGTGACTGACTGCTCTTTGTCCCATTTTGTGACTGACTGCTCTTTGTCCCATTTTGTGACTGACTGCTCTTTGTTTAATTTTGTGACTGACTGCTCTTTGTCCCATTTTGTGACTGACTGCTCTTTGTCCCATTTTGTGACTGCTCTTTGTCCCATTTTGTGACTGACTGCTCTTTGTCCCATTTTGTGACTGACTGCTCTTTGTCCCATCTTGTGACTGACTGCTCTTTGTCCCACTTTGTGACTGACTGCTCTTTGTCCCATTTTGTGACTGACTGCTCTTTGTCCCACTTTGTGACTGACTTCTCTTTGTCCCATTTTGTGACTGACTGCTCTTTTTCCCATTTTGTGACTGACTGCTCTTTGTCCAATTTTGTGACTGACTGCTCTTTGTCCCACTTTGTGACTGACTTCTCTTTGTCCCATTTTGTGACTGACTGCTCTTTTTCCCACTTTGTGACTGACTGCTCTTTGTCCCATTTTGTGACTGACTGCTCTTTGTCCCATCTTGTGACTGACTGCTCTTTGTCCCATCTTGTGACTGACTGCTCTTTGTCCCACTTTGTGACTGACTGCTCTTTGTCCCATTTTGTGACTGACTGCTCTTTGTCCCACTTTGTGACTGACTTCTCTTTGTCCCATTTTGTGACTGACTGCTCTTTTTCCCATTTTGTGACTGACTGCTCTTTGTCCAATTTTGTGACTGACTGCTCTTTGTCCCACTTTGTGACTGACTTCTCTTTGTCCCATTTTGTGACTGACTGCTCTTTTTCCCACTTTGTGACTGACTGCTCTTTGTCCCACTTTGTGACTGACTTCTCTTTGTCCCATTTTGTGACTGACTGCTCTTTATCCTATTTTGTGACTGACTGCTCTTTGTCCCACTTTGTTACTGACTTCTCTTTGTCCCATTTTGTGACTGACTGCTCTTTTTCCCATTTTGTGACTGACTGCTCTTTGTCCAATTTTGTGACTGACTGCTCTTTGTCCCATTTTGAGACTGAGTGCTCTTTGTCCCATTTTGTGACTGACTGCTCTTTGTCCCATTTTTGAACTGATCAGAAAATCACAAAGGCTGACTTATGACCATGCCATCTTGGATTTTGACAGTTATAGTTTGTGGTTACCATATGGATCATTCTGAAATTTCATATGTATGCTCCCCTTGGTCCTGTATTGTGCATTTGTTCATTTTTGCGACTGAAAGCAATAAAAAAAGAAAAAAGAAAGTGACCAATACGTAGCCATCTTGGATGTAACAATTGTAAAGGACAATTTATGTTTATTGATAGTGATTATGATACAACATGTATTCAATAAGCAAGGATTGTTCCTTTGAATCGTCCAAATTCAAGATGGCTACCTATTGTTTTTTTTTGTTTTCTTTTGCTTTCATTTCCAAAATGAATGAATGAACTTATAAAAAAGGCCTAAGTGGACCGGTAACTCCAATGTTTAAAACCAAGTGCACACATAGGTAAAAATACACAAATGCATTTGTAACTGGCAAATGACACACTTCATTTGTAGGAAACTATTATAATGATATAAGGCTACTGTGGGTAAGAAATGTTCTTTCAGGTATACATAATGAAGATTGATGCTTAAACATTGATCTTGCTGATAAAATTGAATTGATCTTGTTTGGAACTAAGATGTTAATGTAAGTAATTTTGTTTGTTTCAGGTTTTAGAACACAATGAATCTGTCCCTACCATGAAGGAGCTATTATCACAAAAGGGAGATAATAAATGTAACAGAAATGGAAAAATGAAAATATTCACATACAAAAGTGAACAATCTCTATCACTTACATATGTTTTCTAAGATAATTAGGTACCGGCCATCTGGCCTGATTCAGCTTTGTACATACAGACATGGCTGTTTGTTGCTGGACAGAAGAATCGTAAAGCCATTAACATGCACATGTCAAACACATTCTCTACAATTCAAACGCACATTGTTTGGTGTAGAAAAATCAAACTTTGGAGATCCTACTTTCAAACCAGGGGCTGTAAATCGTATGAAGCGTCTCACTGAAGAACTAGTGAGTACAGAGCAGTCCTTGGATGTCAATGTTTTAAGATCTGCTTTACAGAGAGAAAATCTATTCAACGAAGAAATTTTCCCATACATTACATTGCAAATGGTTCAGAAAACAAGGCAATCCTTTGAGACAGTAGAACAAATTTTGCAGGATCTTGATAGAGCACAGTTTGATATCCCTGAACTGGTGCTTCTTTTGCATATCTTTGCCACTCTTCAGTGTGAGGATCTAGTGTTTTCTACATATGATCGTATGTGTGAAATCTCAGATGGAGTATTTGATTTTGAAACTTTACTGACAGTAATCCAGATACTATCTTTCACCAGTAGGTGGAGAGAGTGTTTCAAGTTGTTGGATTTATGTCTAATAATAAAGCCGAGTATTCAGAGTGGTTTTGACTATATCCTTGCTGCCACAGCCCGTGCAGGAGACTTTCACACATTCTGTGACATTATAGTTAAGATGGACAATCTAGTGAAGTTACAACAGTTTCAACCCACATCACAGAACTTGCCATTGTCTTTGAATGTATTTGTGGAGGGATATTTGTCAGCTGTTGAAAGAGGTGTGGAGCATTTCACCTTTGAAAACTTGTTCTTCTTAATGAAAAAGTACCAGTTTTTTGTGAAAGAAGAAAATATTGCGTCAATTCTTACACAACTAGAAAGGTTTGTATCTTTTTCTCTAACTTCCTTTGATTACACAAGTCATGCTGAGTTCACTTGCCAAGAGACTTGATTAAAGGGGGCCTTTATGTAGTAATGTGGTGTATCAATGCTTTCCTAGTTTGCATCTTGTTGAACTGAAATTATTAAATAGTGTGTAGCATACACTTGTACTGAAAAGGCCAAAGGGTGTAGATGTAATCAATGTAATCTGTGCTGTCTCGTAGTCAGATTTTCAATGCAATGAGAAGAATCTGTTGTGATGATGAAGATGAATTTTATGGAAGTTCATATAGGTTCATTCAAGCTATCATTTTTTCCTCACCTGGACCGAAGGGCCAAATGAGTTTAAGGGATACTGTGTCATCTGTCATCAAACATCCATCGTCTGGCAACTTTTCCTATATATTGCAACCATTCATGAACAACTGAGTGGATTTTAATAAAATTTGGTCTGAAGCATCCTTGGGGAAAGGCAATAAATTTTGTGTAATTGGTGGGTCTGCCCCCACCACCTTTGGGGCCTATCAGTTCTTTACAATCTTTCTTGTTCTTTAGGAATTGCAGGATATTGTCAAAAATTGGTCTGAAGCATGCTTGGGTGAAGTGAAATCAATTTTGTGTAAAGCATGGGTTTCGGCTCCCTGGGGCCAGATGGGCGGGACCAAACAGGGAAACTCTAACCCTCAAGTAGATTTAGCTCATTTTCATATAATTGCTTTGCACCATCAATAATTCATTTGGATCTTTGCTTCTTGTGATCTTCACTGAATAACTATAACAGTGCTGAGCATCAGGAGATAAACACAATCATAACTGATTAATTATCCTGGGGTTTGGTCCCACCCCAGGACAGATTATATCTTTGAAGCCATTGATATTACCATTCCTTAATTTAATAGCATTGCTGGACATCAAGAGATTAACAACTGATCTTTGTCCCCACCACTAGGGAATTTAAAGCTGTATCTGTGGGGTGAGGCTCATCAGGGGAAATGTTTTCCTTCTAAAGAAATGTAAAGTTTTGCATTATTGACTTAATGTCCAGGGCAAGTGATACAGGCCCTCTGGGCCTCTTGTAACTCTAGAGTACTGTATAGCTCAGCTGTTAAATGGGAAAAAAGCTATTCTAACACTAACACTTGCTATGTGCAGCACGGATGTATATGATATACTAGATTGTCCTCAAACTGGAAACTGTACAAGTGTATATATCACTCTATACTAATTAGGATGTATTAATTATCAATTCACAATGTTTTCCACAGGTCTGGGTTTTCATCTCATATTGGAGATTTGCAAGAGTAAGTTGATATTTATAGAAAACATTTTATATTCAATGATGATTATAAATTTTCTTCTAGATACACTAAGGATCATTGTCATTCTATCATCATAAGTTCATTTTGCTCCATACTATCAACTCAACATAATACACATAATATTATTATGGAATCTTTTCTCATCTTAATACTGAACTCAATGGTAAATAAAACTGTACTTATTCTATGGTAGTGTGATCTCCTTACAGAATTGTTTTTTTCTGGTTGATAATATCAATAGAATACAAGTTCTTATAACATAACCAGCAGTAGATTTCAGTGTGGCATTTCTATGACTACGTGGTCACCTTCATCTTATAATAAAACCAGTAGTAGATTTCAGTGTGGCATTTCTATGACTACGTGGTCACCTTCATCTTATAATATAACCAGTAGTAGATTTCAGTGTGGCGTTTCTATGACTATGTGGTCACCTTCATCTTATAACATAACCAGTAGTAGATTTCAGTGTAGCGTTTCTATGACTACGTGGTCACCTTCATCTTATAACGTAACCAGTAGTAGATTTCAGTGTGGCGTATGGTCACCTTCATCTTATAACATAACCAGTAGTAGATTTCAGTGTGGCGTGTCTATGACTACTTGGTCATTTCCATCAAACAAATGACCATTGTGGAGCATACTAGCACTGAAGTACACATTGAACAAGATGGAGAGGGATAGGCCTACTTTTTGGGCTGTGATATAATCCTATGCACATCAGTGCTAGTATGCTCCATACTAGTCTGGAAGGTGGCGGTGTAGTCATGGAAACGTTACACTTAAATCTTGTAGTGTAACATGAACTTCTATTCTATCCTTACACCATAGTCTGCATGTCAGCAATACTAACATATACAGTTTGTACACATTGTTCTTTCATGGTGTGTATGTATATATAACTTGTTTATTTCCAGTTTTTTACCAGAAGACCCTTATATTAAGAGATGGAATCAGTAAGTACATTTCAGTTCTCTTTCAAGTATAAATATAAATTCCTTTTTTGTCACAACAATGGCGATATAAGTCTGTCACATGCCAACCTCAGAAATTAGAGTAAAAGTAATTTGCCAGTGGACACGATCACAAACTCAGTTTTCTCTTTCCCTTAAGTAGAAAGAATAACTTGTTTTAAGATGTTACCATGTCGTGTGCTAGTAATATATTGTCAATACTTGATGTATAACTTATGTAGAACCAACAGTCCCTTTATAATCTTCTGTAAAGTAAAACACGTCTATCCTACAATAAGGAGGTTGATATATTGCTTCTTCGTTCTGAAGGGTGGGCTTATTACACGACAATAGCATTGGTTTGTAATTGTGTAAAAGAGAAATACATGTGAAACCTCTAGTCACATGCTTGTTGCCTGACAAATATGTAATATCTATTTATGTAGTGTGCCAATGTGTGAGGTTTGTGGCTCAGCTTTGAACAGACAAGAACTGACAAATGAAGAGTTTGAGGAGCTGTGTCATGCTTACTTCTCTCAAAGTAATACCAATGTTTATCTCAAGAACAATCCCTCAGAGACAAAAAAGCTGAAACAAGTCATTCATAGCTTGGGTCCATTTGATGTGGTTATCGACCATCTAAACACGTGTTTTAGAGGAGGACAGTTTGACCCTCAACATGTAAGTTGTTCTCTCTATCTATACATCAGATACATTTGTAGTATAAAGTGTAAATATGTCAGGGCTCTCACACCCCATTTTGGGACTGGGGCCCGGGGCCCGGGGCCCTTGAAATTAGGAAAAATAATGGTGTTTTCCTTAGACTTGGGAAAACTTGGGGTCTAAATTGGGTAAAAAAAGATACTATTTTGCATTGGGAATATTCGGCCCCAAATCTGGCAGATCGAGAGCCCTGTATGTAGATATTGATCTGATATTATGTAGTGTATTTGGTATGTAAATATTGATATATTATGTAGTGTATTTATTATATAAATATCGATATATCATGTAGTGTATTTAGTATATAAATATCGATATATCATGTAGTGTATTTATTATATAAATATTGATATATTATGTAGTGTATTTAGTATATAAATATCGATATATCATGTAGTGTATTTATTATATAAATATTGATATATCATGTAGTGTATTTAGTATATAAATATCGATATATCATGTAGTGTATTTATTATATAAATATCGATATATCATGTAGTGTATTTGGTATATAAATATTGATATATTATGTAGTGTATTTGGTATATAAATGTTGATATATTATGTAGTGTATTTGGTATATAAATATTGATGTTATGGTAAGGAATATTAAAACAAAAAATTTGGAAACGAAACAGAGAAAAACAAACTGGCCGACAAGTGGCCATCTTGGATTTTGACTTTGAAAGTTTGTTGTTGCTCTTTCTTCTCTCTCTGTCAAATTTCATTTATTGGTTCCTCTTGGTCCCTAGTTGTACCTGTTCAATTTTGAGACTGTTACAAAAAATAAAATGGCCAACTGGCAGCAATCTTGGATTTCGTAGAGTAAAGTATGTTATCCTATTTGTTAAGAAGTACTGAATGGATCTCCTTTCCAATTTCATACGTAAGTTTCCCTATTGCCTTAGTTGTGCTCATTTAGTTTTTGGTCTGATCAGAAAGACAAAATGACGAACAAGTGGCCATCTTTGATTTTGATTTTTGATTTCATGTAGAAGTTCCTCTTTGTCCCTTGTTGTTCGTATTTGAGTTTGGGACTGATCAGAAACACAAAATGGCCTAGAGGCAGCCATCGTTTGGATTTCGCCTAGTAAAGATTGTTATCCCTAGTGCAGAATGGGTCTCTCTCAAATTTCTTACATATGTTCCCTTTGGTCTCTGCTTGTGCCACAGTGATTTTGGGACTGATCAGAAAAAAAAAACAAAAATGCTTGCGGGCAACCATCTCAGATTTGGCAGGTAAAGATTATCATTGCTGTTTCTGCAAAGGAATGTTCAAATTTCCTCATTAAGAGCAAAAACAGAGACAAGAAAAGACGAGAGAGATTCAACTTTCAAAGAGCAAAAGAAAAATCAAACAATGGCAGGCACCAAGATCCCTGTGGGATGTCTGGTTTATATTTGCTATTGACCACATTGATTTATTCATACTGCCTTGGTACCTTTGGTGTGATCCAGTAGAATCATATTGCTTTATGACAAGGAAGGAGTGTGGGGCTGGGGATAAAGTCAGTCCATCCATCTGACTTTGTATTCTACATAAACATGAGTATTGATGTCCAACTTTTCCTTTCAGAGTTTATCGATTGTAAAACAACTGAAAAACAGAGGATTGAGCTGTCTTTTGATAACGAGGGCGAGATATTTCAAAAGTCTTAAGCCTTACCTGAAGACAGAACTGGAAGAATATGCAACCATATTTATTTCTAAATCAGAGTAAGTGTGATTTTGTATATTATATAGATCTAGTAGCCTGCAGCAGAACAATTCAAGATCATTTATCAACAGATATTGAGATGATTAAATTGCTCTTAGTCTGCTGTTAAACAAATCTTAATCTTAGTGTATGTTCTGGGGGAAAGAAAACACAAAAGAATCTTTCAAAATTTCCTTGTCAGTTCCTAACGGTTTTAACTAAGTGTTTTTGTTTATGTACTTACTTATAATCTCTCCTTTATTGTAGATCACTTGATGACTTGATTGTGTTAGATGCCACTTTCTTTAGTGGAATCAACACTATGCTGCTGAGTAATGACAAGTTCTCTGATCATGCAAGCCTCCTTGGAACCGGAATGCATTTATTGTTTCAAAGATGGCAAAGATGTAGACAGATCCTTAGAAGTCAGACAGCCCCACTATCAACAGTAGAGCTATTTGTAAGTTTTGTAATCTTCTTGGGCCTTGTGACTCTCTCTGGTCTTCTCACAGAAAACAGAAATGAAATAAAGAGGATGTTTGTTACAGCTATATACAGATATTGTACATCTACATTGTATATATATAAAGGTTTGTGATTTGAGTAATTGTAGGTCTTTCTCCAGTATGGGATGACTTTCAATGCTCTTTAGTCCACAATCATCTGTACTGTTCAAATTACACTGCATCTTTACTTTGTACATTAACAATCCTGAAGTATGTATTAGCTCTCTGACAGACACTGAAGTAAGAAACCAAGACGGCTAACAGGTGGCCATCTTGAATTTTGACACTTGAAGATTGATATGGGCTTTTCTAAAAGTGCCAAAAGAAGCACTGTCTTACTGATCTTCCTTGGTTCCTAGCTGTGCATGTTGAATTATCTGACTGATAAAAAACCAAGATTGCCGACAGATGTTTGTTTCAATTTTCAGTCTCTTAATTGATAAATTTTCATCAGTTGGTTTCTTACTTCAGTGTCTGTCAGAGAGCTAATACATACTTCAGGATGGAAATATAAAAATTGTTTTTGCTTAAAAACCACTAAAGGATTGATCTTTCTAGTTTGCTTGTCCTGCTTGGTCAGTAGATCAAATAACATCAGTTTTAATGCCAAATTTCAATAATAGTGGACCTATCCATTTTGTATGTAGATAACGGTTGTAGTATCTTACACCGTGATTGAACTACTCATCCCTATATTAAGGAAACAAAACTCTATCTGGGAATCACTTTCAATTCCCAACATCTTCTGCTTGTAATCTGTATATTAATATTTTCATCACATATCTAAGTGATACACAATGTTTTCATCAAATTGAACTTTTTAATATTTGTATGTATGTACCTCATAGTTACGATTCCCAACAGTGACAGGAATAGGACCATGAGTGATATTGTCACGTAATTGTATAGATATTACCTTGGAGGTAATATTGAAGTATTATTGAATTTCACAGGTCCATAACGTAAATCTAACAATTTATACCATTCCAATGTATTGATTTATATATCTTTTTTTTGCAGTTTCCTCAAAGTCCGGATACCTTTGTACAGGAATCTGAAAATGGATGGCATATCCCTTTTGGACAAAAAACATTTCATTTTCAGGACAAGAAAGTCTTATGTGTGAGAAGAAAAAGAGTCTGATTGTCCCATTTAAAACTATTACATTTGCTTTATAAAGCAAGAATATCCCAAATTGGATCAAAAGAAAGAACATTGTTATTATGTAAAGAACTTTCAACACTGACATGGTACTATTTAGAGTATTTTATTTCACCACTACATTCACCAGTTAGTACACACAACTTGCAGTAAGTCCACCTTTCAGACCATGCTGATGTAGTGATCATTGCCTGAAGCTTACTGGTACTGACAGGTATTAATACAGCTGTACTGGAACAATACATTTTACAGAATGAAGCCTCCATCATTTGTACACATTCTTTCAAAAAATATCAAAGAGGCTTAAGAGTTGGCAGACCAGTTGAATCCATTAACTCATGTCTATTACCAGGTTATCTCACTTAACTAGGCACATATCTTGGTAATAAAGATTTGTGTATTCTAGATCTAGTTGACCAGGATAAGGAACCAGTCCTTGGTATTCCTGTCTAAATATTGCAGTATCAACATATCGAGGATTTCTTCCCATTATCACACAAGCTCGAGCTAAAAGATAAATATCAATATTTGAAATTTTGTACTTGTGAACTATGTAAGTCAGTATTGAGTTAACATGCCAGTAAATATACGGTTTTTACACATTTAAATGTTTTTGTAATCTTTACCTGTCATGCATGATATTTGTATTGTATATTCTGCTGATTTCAGTTAGAAGTCTTAAATTGATATAATATTTGGATGCTTTGAAACAATTTTGTTAACCAATCCATTATTTTGATTTGAGAATAATACTGGGGTTTGCTTATAGCTGATGTAAGTTGAACAAAATCGTACTTAAAAAGCAAGCACTTCAATTTCAGAACAACCTCAGTCTGAAGATGTATCTAGACATGTATGTCCACACACAAAATATTACCAATGCTTCTCTACTCTGTCAAAACATCAAATTCTAACTTACAATGATGCTATAAATATAACAACATTCTTCACAAGTTTCCGGATACAGTCTTCCACAGATATTTTGTCTGATGTACTTGTCCTCATTTTATTTATAATAGTAGGACTCGTCTAAACATATTAAAACTTAAGTTTGAGACTCTTAACAAGATTTCTACTAAAAACAATCATGATAAAAGCATTACTCTGCTTTTATTATAAACATTCTTTGGCATTTACAGCGAGTTAATTCAAACTGTAGAACAGAAAAAAATTGAAAAGCTACTGTTAAGCTATAGTTTTCATTGGATTACATGTTTTCTTACAGAGAAAAGTACCGAGTTTTTCACCCTCGCATAAAGTTACTTTTAAAACCAGGAATTGTTATCAAGGAAATACCAGTAACCAACATCAAACTGTAGTATTGCAAGTTTTCATGCTTTTTCTCTTACTGACCCATAGTATAATGACCCAGTTATTAAGTCTGAGATCTGATCAAGAATATTGTGTACTATAATGTACCTTACAAAGAAAATTGTTTAAATAGTTTTCTAACCGAGCAAAATTATTACCCCAGATAAAAATTGAATGAATCACCACCACTTAAACCCAAAGTCCATTACTGATACACAATGGAATCTTGAATATACTGGTACTTAGAAAAAAAACCAAACCATTACACAATAAACATTACACATATGAGATGTCATAAGTTTACTATAAATTAAAAAAAAAAGTTTAAAAAGAAAATAAAACATAAATGTAAACTCACTGGAATGAAAATGATTATATAGAAATAACACCTCCTTAATGAAAAATAAAACAGAATTAATCTATCTAACCTGAGTTGTCCTGCAGCACTAGTAGTCTTGCTCTTGTCGAGAGATTATTTGAAGTATATCCTTAAGATGGTTCAAATACATGTGAGCTTGGATTTTTGAATCATGATTGAGTTACAGACATTTATTTAACAGACAGTACAAAGAACAATATTTCACTGTTACAATTTACCTATAACAATTTGTGACAAGTATATATTTGAAGAAGTGTAAATTGCAGATCTTCATCATTCCTAAATGAGACAAATATCATTTTTATGAATATATTAGATATCAAACGTCACATAATCTATAAACATTTAAAAAACATTATTAAGTAACAGTAAGTATATTTACTATCATGAACTATTTTATAAAAAGTATGAAGCAGGTTGTAATGAACCCAGGCAGGTACAATAACCACCCAACCCCAGTCACCTAGACAAAAGGCAGGTACAGTAACCACCCAATCCCAGTCACCTAGACAAAAGGCAGGTACAGTAACCACCCAACCCCAGTCACCTAGACAAAAGGCAGGTACAGTAACCACCCAACCCCAGTCACCTAGACAAAAGGCAGGTACAGTAACCACCCAACCCCAGTCACCTAGACAAAAGGCAGGTACAGTAACCACCCAACCCCAGTCACCTAGACAAAAGGCAGGTACAGTAACCACCCAACCCCAGTCACCTAGACAAAAGGCAGGTACAGTAACCACCCAACCTCAGTCACCTAGACAAAAGGCAGGTACAGTAACCACCAACCCCAGTCACCTAGACAAAAGGCAGGTACAATAACCACCATGCCACTTGACCACCCTGTTATTGCTACAATATTAATACTGACTCGTGAAAGGTAATGCTTTCAACATGTATCAGTCAATTTTACCACTTGACAGATATTTCAATACTCATATCATGAAAAATGATGTACAAATACATTACTGAGAGAACCACGCTTTTAATTGAGGATTTGTTTCAAATCCTTCTGCTGAATTTTAATGCTGTGTTTCCATTATGTGTAGCAATCACCTTAATGTAGCTGCATCGTTAAGTTGAACCCAACTATAACCCAGTATATCTCACAGGGTATTAGAAGGAAACTCAAATATAAGTTTAACCCAACCATAACCTAGTATATCTCACAGGGTATTAGAAGGAAACTCAAATATAAGTTTAACCCAACCATAACCTAGTATATCTCACAGGGTATTAGAAGGAAACTCAAATATAAGTTTAACCCAACTATAACCCAGTATATCTCACAGGGTATTAGAAGGAAACTCAAACATAACAAATATCACTTCACTTTGCTAAAAATAGGAATATTAATGATTCAAATGTGAATAAAATCCTTTCTGTTCATATCTTTTTACTATAAGAATTTTATATAAAAAGAACATGCAATAGCAATATGCAGCTGTTTTTTTCATATTCGTATGGTAAAAGTGAGTGATAAGCCTGTAAAGTGCCAATCCTAACCCCTTTCCTTAAAATCTTTTTAAAATTATGACTATATAAAAAATTGTCTTATTGTGCTATTTGTTTTTACTCCGTCTGATTTAAATCCACTAAACCTTTAATCTTCTGCAAGTCAATCCATTATCATATGACTTAAGACAGAAGTGTTTGTTTTTCCTATTACTTTCTTCTGATCATATATATGTGGACACCTTAATTTATACATTTCATATACAAACAGTATTTGAAGTAATATCAAAATTTCATTTTAAACAAATTCTTATGAGATGATATATATAGGATTTCCCCATCTAAAATGATAACAATAAAATTACATTATTTGATGCAGACACATTAGTTGATAAAAATTCTATATAATACATAAATGCCAAAATAGATGAAGTGTATATGCTACAAGCCACCTCCGTATTATTTCTGTTACTACACTGAAAAATGAGAAAAGAAGTTGATATCTAATAAAATACTAACAACAACAAAGTACATTGGTATAATTTCTTATTGTACCAATTTGTACATATAAGAAAGCAGTAGTAGTGCTCTTGATAACATTTACCGCCAGAAAAGGGCAACATCTCCCTAAAGCATTCTGTAAGATAGACAAATAAACAATTAATCTGGGTTCCTAAATACTCCCTTACATTGTTCCAAGGGAATACCATAGTTAAACTCTAGACATTGTAATAAACAGTAAAAGTAAGTACATCATATTTCAACTAGACACTTTAATCAGTCTGAGACAGGGTTTAACATTGTGACATGGTCAATAGTGAAATTATAATAAATAGAACCCCCATTTGGGACATAAGTGGAGGAAAACAGGTGAAGTGACAAACTGAGATTATCCCTCGTGACCTATCAACATATCTAGAACAAATTAACTCAGGACATTTGATATAAACCATATATCATTGAGATGAAAATAATTCAATGCTTTTCCATAAAATATATATATATATATATATATATAAAAAAAAAAAAAAAAAATGAAAAAAACAAAAACAGATCCCTCAATTGGTGAATCAATACAATGGATACACATCCCTAGATATCACACATACACAATTATCTGTAAAAATAGTGTAACATTATAATTATCATGTAAAGATTAAAAATGTTGCACACGCACGCACGCACGCACGCACACACACACACACACACATACACACACCCTTACATACACACCTAGACAGAAAAAAAAACCTAACTCACAAACATACATACACCTAGACAGGAAGAAAAAACCTCACACACACACATACATACATACATTTATATATACACCTAGACAGAAAGAAAAAAACACACACACATACAAAACCCATAAGACAATGGTCATTAACATTGACACAAGAGTGAACAGTGTGTCACAATGAAAATAGTCTCTCTACATCACTGTAGCACATAATGGCAGTACATTAGAACTCTCCATGGTTGGAGGTAATGTTTACAACTGCATCATGAAACCATGCATAAATCCACTGAAAAAAGTACAGATGTATATTACTTATCTGTTACAGACAAGTTACCATGTAATTTGGTTTAGTAAAGTTCAATCAGTTTGGAATTATTTACAGGAGTCTACAACCACTGAAATATTTAGTTAAAGCAGTATGGTTTGAGTATCACAGTTAACGTATTCGACCCAATAAGCGCCCATGTCCCTATAAGCGCCCCCTCCCCCTTCAGATACCAAAAAGTCTTGATTTTTTTTAGTTTTAGTCACAATCAAGAATGGTTTTATGTCGGTTTATAAGGAGATGTACTCCAGAAAAATGTCAAAAACAGTTAATCTCCAGTCCACCAGCAACAGAGGAATGTCGATAAGTGTCCTCTGTAACTACTAACGCAATTTTCCGACCATGCCTGATAAAAAATAGCTGTTTTGGACAGTTCACTTGGAATGTGACCCACTTTCTTCCCTTCTTTCACAACTCTGATTGCAAACGGATTATTATCCTCAATTAGACCATTCACGCACGTGACTTCGTGACCAATGGGAACCAATGCTCCTTGGTACATTTGTATTAAAGAAAACATGTTCATATCTTACCAGGACAAATTCCACACCACTAGAGCACCTAAATATATGTAATATTATACAATGATGATAGTTTACATACCATCCATACTTCACCACTATTTTATGATAACATTTCCACCACTATTGTACAATGTACATGTACCATGTATACCCGGTAAGTAAATTATCAAAGTTTTATGGACGGACAGCCTGTGTGGTTGCTTTAAGGGTCTAAACTTACTGACTTTTGCTATTGATAGTAATTAAAAAACAAAAAAATTTGCATGGAAGTAACCATTACAGGAATTTGTATGAATTGTGGAAATGTTTATAGTTCAACATGAAAATATTTTCCTTCAACAGAGCTGTCTCTCTGCATTTCTTTGGTATCATCTGCTACTGATGACCAATTTCTGTCGAGGGTTAAGGTATGGAACACATCAAGGTGCATCTAAACCTTACTTCCACATCACCTAGGCTATTTTTCTTGCTGCATAGAAATACAATATTGATAACGATGTGTTATTTTGGAATTCATGCTCAGTGGTCGTGGTTTGTTTTCCAATCAAAGTATGATAAGACATAAGCAAATGTATATCTATTTGTTTTTAAAATTGATTGGACAAGACTGAAATCCTACAAACACTGAGTTTGGTTAAAATTTTGTTTTTAGTGTATCAGACTGACAGCAGGTCCTTTTAATCATAAATATGATTTCCTCAGGATTCATTAAACAGAGAAGTCAAAATCCATAATCATATAAAAAAAAAACAGTCTGTAGACTGCTTCACAACTTATCAAGAGGTATTAACATTTAGCTTTACAGACAGCTTCACCAACAATATATTAAAATAATCAAAATAAATAAAACTATGAAAAGATATACATAACCCAGCTGATGCCCAAAATAATTAAATTACATATCAAGCTAATTAATTAATTAAAAAAAAAACTTATACATATTCATAAAACAATAAAGTCAAATTTCATATCAACAGCACTAACAGATTTGAATATATGTGAACTTACTTCAGTGACATTCCATTTTTCAATTAATTTGTGAACTTCTTTGCTACTTCTAAAAATTCAACTTTTAAATTTCCTGTTGATAAAGTGTAAATTCTCATGTAGTGACTTTAACATCTTCTAATACAGCTTTGTTATCTATCATTATTATATCTTATAGGTCAACTAGGTTACATATCAATGGCATGACCATATATGTACGTTTAAAAACATTGATTTACACCTATTTCTGAATCAGGAAAAAATAACTGGTTAATTGAAAATAAAATTGTCACATAAAAATAAGTGACACCATTGCTGTGACAACAGAGCCATGGCTTGACTAGCTGTAAGTGCAAAACCATAGCAATAGATTCATTATAATGTTATAACAATGCATTCAACAGTCAAAAATCTTTGTCATACAAAAATAATCATATAAAAAGACAATTTCAATATTTCTGTAAATGTATATCACTGTTGTCTAAAGACACACAATTATAGTAAGGAAAACAATTTTAGATGTAGTTAAAGCTTCTAAATGTGTTTTGGCATCAAATTAACTTTATAAGGAAAAGGTTTGTTATTTTGGTTTAACATAGCTTTTGTTGATATGGCTGGTAATTTGAAATGGCAAAATTAGAATGCCCTCGAATTATAAACAACTTGTGAAAAAAAAATTGTTTTGTTTTGATAATTTGTACACAAAATTTTTCAATTAATCTCTCCCTTGTCATGTAACATTAAACTATATTGATGGTAAGTTGATTCATAAATTTGTGGTCCCAGATGTAGATGTATATTGGTTCATATGTTGAAACAATATTAAGCCACTGATCATGAAAAAACTGTCTCAAACTTTAGACACACTGTTATTGCTCTGTTGAGTAGCAAGCTGAATTTTCCTCTTCCTGTGGCCTGCATAGATCTTAAGAAACAGAGCAAAGAAAACCACCATTATTCCGAAAAAGCCAATCATAGTCACTGGATGACCATATATTATACAAGACAACAAAATGGCTATTCCTTGGCGAATTGTCATAATGATAGTAAATGTCACTGGTCCAAACCTTGAGAGAGTGAAAAATATAAACAACTGTCCAAAAGCAGAGCAGAGACTTAAGATGACAGCATGAAATACAAAGGCAGGATTACGACCCATAAATGCTATTGAATCAAAAAATCCACCTTGTTCCAGCAGAGAGACTGCAGTAAGTATACAAGAAAATAAATTCACACCTGTCATCATCTGGATGGGGGACATCTTGTATCTTCTAAATAATTCACCCTGCCAATTTGATGTGAAGCTATCAAAGAGAATGTACCCTGCCAAGAGTATGACTCCCGACATTGTGGTAACACTTCCTTTATGTCGCGTAACGTCACCACTGCTTAATAGGAACATGCTAATACCAGCTGATATCATCAATGCCGTAATGTATTCATGGTAGTCGTAGGTTTTGCGGGATACAACTTTACCCATCAGCATGACGGGTATTACCTTAGAAGCTTTAGCAAGAACCTGGGTAGGGAAGCTGACAAATTTGAGAGCCTCATATTGGAACCAGCTACTCATTATATTGGAGAAAGAACTGAAGGAGTACTTAAACAATGGAGCGTTGTGCGGAGGTTGAGCTTTCACAACTAACACGATACTTCCAATAGCTAGTGCCAAAATTCTGTTGATAAACACTAAAAATTGAGAATTTTTGAAAAACTCTCCTGGCTCTGTGTCAGTTTTTCCATATTCAAATGTCATGATTCTCTCTTGTATGACACCCCATGTGAGGTATGCTCCTTGCAGGCCTGCCACACAAAACAAAAGTGTGGCACCTCTTTGCCACTGACTCATTTGGTCTTCATTGCTACCACCTGTTTTAGATGGCCCACCTTGTTCTAAAAGGCCCTTCTCTGTTTCTTTACCAAATACACAGTTCTTGACAATCTGTGACAGCAGGCTTGGACCTGTTGATATATACATATTTTATTATAGAATAGGTAATCTGTAGATTTCAAAGCAACTTGACTTTAACAAAAAGGTACATGCATTGTGATTGCATGTATCATTTATAGCTTGGTAACATCTTAATCTGTGTACAATGTAATAACAATGTTACCTTTTTATCTATCAAATTTCCTCCAAGATGTACATTCTGTAGATAGTTTTCATTTATATTTAGCTCCAATTTTGACTGACTGAAGGTATTTCTACATTGTAGTTTACCAAAATCAACAACCTTCTCCATATACACAGAAACATTGAGCAAAACTCGAAAAGCCATTTTGTGAATAGTACTAGAACAATAGCTCAGATGAACACATTTCAGTCATATGAGGCTGTGTAGGGTCAAAATAGAAAGCCTGTTGGTGTATAAGACTGTTAGCAAGTCACCAACACTGAAATGGAAGCGTTTAACACTAATGGTAACAAATGATCATTTGTCTGCTTAAAAAAGTCCAGGTCACAAAATGGTTTACTAAAGACTGTTCTGTTGTATACATTGTACAATTATAAATCGCTTACCTGCTGTTTCATTATAGCGTTTATCCCTGAAATATTTTATCAGTATCGCACCAGGCACAAAGATGGTTGCATATCCTAGGATGTTGAGACATAGTCGCACAAACCAGAAGTCTGTCCAGGTAGAATCAATCACCCCACCTGCTGCAGTAGATTCTTTCCCCAGACACAGTGGTAACACGATATTTAGCACAAGAATGCCCAAGAACCACATGGTGGCCTTCATAACAGCACTGAAAATGATCAAACAATATAAACTGTATTATCATATTTTACTTTATTTTAATATTGACAAATGATCACAAGTTAAAGGCAGAATGAGTAAATAAATTCTCCTTTAATATAAAGAGATATATTGGTATTACATCATCAGCTATATATTTCCCCTAAATATTGTTAAATTGATTTATTTGAAAAAATGAACTGTTCTGAAGAGTTATCGACATGGCCTAGGTCTGATACAGCCTTCATGTATTTCTTCAATCTTGATATAAGTATCTATAAATACAAACACTGATTCACATACAGTGTATATTATATGCCTATCAACCACAGGTTTTATAAATAGTTCAAGAACAGTGGTACTTATGCAAGGATTTTTTCAAACTCATTTGGGAAAGTATAATTCAATGCAACAAAAGTTAATAATCAGTGACAAAGATCCATGTTCATGTGAAAAAAAAAACAACCTTGAAATCATTCAATACAATTTAGCTGAAATGTTGAAAAATAGGTTATGTAACCAAAACCTATGGATGGTAAGGAAACGTGAAATACAGATACTTTTTTTGGTCTAATCTAGATATACCTTGTGATATCTGATACACAATAGATATCTAGTCTGTGTATAGGACATCACACAAATGACAGGTACACACACACTAAAACAAACCACATCTCACCATAACAAAACTTCACAAAATACACAGCATAACCAATAGATATATAACATACAGTAATGTCACCATGTATCCACACAATAATGTCATTATGTGTAGGATCATGTCAAAAGTATCTACACTTGTGCCAGCTATGACTGTCAGTACAGAAAGGCGACAAATCTTAGCCTGAATTTTATTGTACAGGTCACTCAGAGAATGCTGCCATCACAATAATATGCATAGCTGAAAGTATCATCTTCATATTTTGTATATAATAGCTGAATATGAGGTAGATCCAGGATTTTTTCAATTGATGCTTTCAATCACTTGATGAGAACACTGCCAACCCCCTAACACCTTCTCACTCGCCGCCCCCCCCCCCTAAAGAGCTAAAGAGCTGTTGACCAGAAACACCTACATACCAGTTTCACTGACCTTTAAAAACATGTGCACATGTACAGAGTAGTGTGTTAGTTTTCTTGTGAGATTGTAAAATTCCTATGTTAAACAAATTAACTGCACAGTATCAGAATCAATACTACATCTGGAATCTACCTCTTATGGTTGACATTGACAAAATAATTAGAAGTTGATAATCTAGTCCTGCCCAAATATGGAAAAAAATCATGGTTAAGTAGAATAGCTCTTCTACATAATCAGGATAAGTATAGTGACAAAATTAACACAAACACAAGGAAATCATTACCTTTCCAAGAATACAGGTTGTTTGTTACTGGCACTAAGAGACCTAAGGATTTCAAAATATGTGTATATATATATATATATATATATAATTTAAAAAGATAAAAACTTTGTGTATCGTATATACAGAGAAAATTAATCACTTAACATGACAAACAGATATATCACTAACGTTTTCAGGCCTCGCGGCCATCTTCATATATATATATATAAATCAAAAGTTAGCAAATGATGAATCATACAGAATTCATTTTATAACAATTAAAAAAATTGAACACCTACACATCCAAAATGAAACAGATAAACACTGATATATACTTTACTGTATCATTCTATTTTTTTCTATTTAATACTTTTTATTTGTATCTGACTATATATAACAGTTGTCAAATAGATAAGTTTTGACACAAAAGTTTTTCTGTTCTTCACACTGCATCATGTGATTAATGATAGCATACACAGAATTACTTTTGTTAAATACTGCTATGGATTACCAGCTGCATGACATATTTTTCTTTCCACACTGACATGAAATATTAGATGTTAAGTTTTGAAAAAATGTCAGTAAAGTCATAAGTGAATGTCACAACTTCAAACAATGAATTAGGTTGAGTATGCCTAAAAATCAATCACAACAGGTGAAAGGACAGGATTCCTCAATTTATCTATAGGCTGACAGGTTTTGCCCTACTTTAGGATTCTTCAGGACATGAAAAAGAATCCATCCCATTGACAGAAATCTGGTGTTGGTTCCATTTCCCCACTTATATAACATGAAAAGAAACATTCAAGGTTTGCACTGATATGTAGGGAAATTCTACAAAAAATTCAAGGTTTGCACTGATATGTAGGAAAATTCTACAAAAAATTCAAGGTTTGCACTGATATGTAGGGAAATTCTATAAAAAATTCAAGGTTTGCACTGATATATAGAGAAATTCTATAAAGAAAATACAAAGTCCTTTATTTACATACTTGTGTGTTTATCCCTGTTTATGACATACATTTGGTAGTACATACCAGTGTATATCCCTGTTTATGACATACAGTTGTCAGTACATGCCAGTGTATATCCCTGTTTATGACATACAGTTGTCAGTACACACCAGTGTATATCCCTGTTTATGACATACAGTTGTCAGTACATACTGGTGTATATCCCTGTTTATGACATACAGTTGTCAGTACACACCAGTGTATATCCCTGTTTATGACATACAGTTGTCAGTACATACTGGTGTATATCCCTGTTTATGACATACAGTTGTCAGTACATACCAGTGTATATCCCTGTTTATGACATACAGTTGTCAGTACATACTGGTGTATATCCCTGTTTATGACATACAGTTGTCAGTACATACTGGTGTATATCCCTGTTTATGACATACAGTTGTCAGTACATGCCAGTGTATATCCCTGTTTATGACATACAGTTGTCAGTACACACCAGTGTATATCCCTGTTTATGACATACAGTTGTCAGTACATACTGGTGTATATCCCTGTTTATGACATACAGTTGTCAGTACACACCAGTGTATATCCCTGTTTATGACATACAGTTGTCAGTACATACTGGTGTATATCCCTGTATATGACATACAGTTGTCAGTACATACCAGTGTATATCCCTGTTTATGACATACAGTTGTCAGTACATACTGGTGTAAATCCCTATTTATGACATACAGTTATCAGTACACACCAGTGTATATCCCTGTTTATGACATACAGTTGTCAGTACATACCAGTGTATATCCCTGTTTATGACATACATTTGGTAGTACATACTGGTGTATATCCCTGTTTATGACAAACATTTGGTAGTACATACTGGTGTATATCCCTGTTTATGATATACATTTGGTAGTACATACTGGTGTATATCCCTGTTTATGACATACAGTTGTCAGTACATACCAGTGTATATCCCTGTTTATGACATACAGTTGTCAGTACATACTGGTGTAAATCCCTATTTATGACATACAGTTATCAGTACACACCAGTGTATATCCCTGTTTATGACATACAGTTGTCAGTACATACCAGTGTATATCCCTGTTTATGACATACAGTTGTCAGTACATACCAGTGTATATCCCTGTTTATGACATACAGTTGTCAGTACATACCAGTGTATATCCCTGTTTATGACATACATTTGGTAGTACATACTGGTGTATATCCCTGTTTATGATATAAATTTGGTAGTACATACCAGTGTATATCCCCGTTTATGACAAACATTTGGTAGTATATACTGGTGTATATCCCTGTTTATGACATACATTTGGTAGTACATACTGGTGTATATCCCTGTTTATGATATACATTTGGTAGTACATACCAGCGTATATCCCTGTTTATGACATACATTTGGTAGTGCATACCTGTACATATGCATATATTCTAAGTAATGCTACATACATGTACACTATTATATGCATTGATTAAGATTTGAAAACGAAATTTCACAGTTCCTATATTCCTGGGACATGAATATCCATGTGAGTTGAATCATATCATTAATTACGTACCTTACATAACAAATTAAAGTATAAAGCCTTGCAAATTATCTATTGCAGGCAGTTCAATTAAGAAACTAAATATTATTTTATCTGCAGATACAGATAGCTGCATACTATTATCAATTAAATAGAAATGCTCCAAGACTCACAAGTTTTGCTTATCAATTATTTATTTGAATGAATAAACTTCTAGCTGCCATAAAGAGCTTAAATCACAGATGCTGTATTTTCAGGAAATGATTTATCTTCAATTATGAATTTTCACATGAAAATTTACTTTAGCATTCATTACTTTAGATCTGTTTTTTCACTAGAAAGGATATCATCACAATCAGTCTATATCATTCAAAATGTTTCCAAATTATGCTTTCAATATTAAAAAGATATTAGTACAATGTTAAACTTTGTACCACATTTTACCACTACTTTTATTTGTAATTTTCAAACCATGTATGTAGAATAGAATATCAAATATTTGTTTATAGATTACTTTTACAAGTATACACTGCTATCTTGAATTTGTTTGTAAAGTCTTAAATTTGCATTCTTTGAATGAGGAACACACTGTATACATACCAGGCAACCTATAGAAAAATGAAGTAACCAGTTCCTGCATGTGTTAGTGAAGTCTTGCAAAGCACACCCTAATTCATGCATCAAGTTTTAAGATATATAAAGTCATTATGTTTCATTAGTGACTCAAAATATCACTCCTCCAATTCGATATCAATAGCCTTTAACATTATTTACAATGTACCTCACTGGCAACATTTATGACATGAAATAAATGATGTACAATTGCAATATACAGGAATGTTAATATTTGTCTGTGTTTTGTTGATTAATAGCCACTTCAGATCTCATTGAACAGCTAGCAATGTTTTAAAAACCTGTAATGCAAGAAAGATATGGCACAGTTCTTGATATGTGGAAAACAAAGTGAGACAAAACAGTTAAATTTTTGACCTGCAAATCTGCTGTGTTATTGTGCATCAGAAACCTCAAATCACAGGAAATTAAACAAATTATTAAGTTAAGTGAAACTGACGGAAAATATGTGCAGAATTAAGTTTAATATGTGATGGGCAAGTCACAGCACAGGCCTAGAAAGAAGTATATCGTAATTTGTAATGGTAGATTATACAGTAGCTGCACATTTTTTCTGAAACCTGAATGTTTACATAGAGAATTTCTCTGTCGTCGACTTATAAAATGTCATGGCAATGCATGGCTAATGATATCTTTTAAGTTATAGAACCGTTTTATATGTATATAACCACTAAAAGACGTATATATTGAAGTTAATATTAATTATTTGATAAACATTATAAGAGAACATTCCGTCACAAATCAGATTATGTCAGACCATGGTACCATGCAACCGAATAGTTAAATGATTATTAATCACATATATACCATTAACAAGGAACATAGTGACAATGCTGTAAATGTTGATTATAAACTCAATCTAAAAACCTAAGACAAGTGTTTGTAAACATAAAACACATAACATGACGTGGCATCTTACCGCTGATGTGAAATCTTGATATCCAACATAATTTTAAGAGCCTGAAAATGCTTGAATATGAAAAAATATATCAACCATATGGAAGAAAATAATACGTCCAATCAAAAACACGTGGACATACTGTTGTTGACATGACATACCTGTGTAATGATTCTCCTTACACGACAGATTGATGGCTATGCCTACGAACTGTGATTGATAGGTTGATGCGAGTTGCCTGACAACTTCCGGTTCGAAACTGCGGCTGTAGCTAGCTTGCGCATTTTCGGAAACATATACACTATAAAATATAGACCGTCAGCATGTAACATGCTTTTTCTTTTTGAAATCCAGGGAATTCACTTAATTATTAAATTTTCGTGTATAATAATGTATTTGAAATGTGTTCAATATAAGTTTTGTGAGTTTCTTTAGTGGTAGGAAAACAAAAATACATTATTTTTTGTATCATTGCGCTGCATGTAAAGCTAGCATTATCAAATTTAGCAAAATCACCGGTTCGACATCACACAAACAACACACGAGATGTCGCGGGGTAGTAGTGCTGGTTTTGATAGACACATTACTATATTTTCTCCAGAAGGAAGACTTTATCAAGTTGGTAAGGACAGTTTGCAAATTTGATACAAGCGCCTAACGGTGTTTGGTTCCATTTTATTGAAACAACCGATGATTATTAGCAACCCCCCCTCTCAGTTGTTAAAACTTGCATTCATCATGTCCATCAAATTTCTTAAATCAGCCTCGTGCCTAGTGATCTCTGCATAGTGAAGTAAGTATTGCATGTAGATGTGAACAAAATCAAAGTTGACGTTGTTGGTGTTATGATAATGAAATCGTTCATATTTAGCTTCTTAATGATCATTGCCTTTCTGTATACTTTTTTTTTTTTTTAAGTTTTAACTCAGTTTTATTTTTATCCATTCGACATTTTACATACTCAATATAATGTAGCACAGTTGGGTTTTAGAGTTTTCTTCAACAACCAACCGAACCAGGCGATCTCGTTCCATATTTGTTTTATTCACAGTACATGCATAGCTTTAGAAATCCCTAAAACAATACAAATAATATATTACATTACACGGAAAACTCGTCATAGAGCGCAACCCAAAGCAAACACACTTACACACAACACACAGTGACATTCGCGTTACTGACATATTTACTCTGTATTACAAAACTGAACAATGTAGTTTATTACAAATATGCCAAACACTACTTTAATTTACATTGGACATAAATGACCTAAACACAGACCTAAATTGAAATAGTGGATTACATATCATACTCTAAAAAGATATTGCACACATCCTGATCAATCAGGTGAAAATATAGATTAATCTAACATAATTGAATTGCTGCTTTGAAATAGATAAATAAAGGATTGTTATGAATAATTTGTACAGACATAAACTGTTTCCATTTTAAATGCAAGACTTACCCTGTGTATGGCACGACCAACATCAAAGTAATGGTAGATGACAAAATATGTCTTTCCAGTTTGAGCCCAAAATCAGAAATAATTAAAAAAAGGTTAAGCAGGAAAAGGAAGATAGAATTAAACAGCGCATGTCTCAGTTCACATGGAACCAGCAATAGTATGCCTATCCCAGGCCTACTAGATATATACATTTGACAAAACGAAAGTAACTGATGCTTACGCAAATGGACACAAAAGTAACTGACGCTTGCACGAATGAACACGAATAAAAGACAAATATGATAACTAAAACAGTCACCTCTATAACAGGGTGATACAATAACTCAGTTCGACGACCTGATATTTTCCATCATGGAACAGACAATTGTTTCAGTCATTTTATAAACCAGAGCAACAAAACGAACGACATGTTAAAATGATCTTTTCGCATATTTACATGTCATTTGCCTTATACAAAAATTCCAATGTTATTCTATTCCACATCAAAAGTTTGACAAAGATTAAAAACAGATAATCTTACTATCCGTTATATAATGTGAATGAATGAATACTGAGAATTTAAACTTGTTGAAAAAAATCAGATATTTTTTTCAATGTTATAGTATAGTAAAGCATGCACTTAATCACACACTTTTCTCCCCAATGAGAATTTTGAAACATTGGCAGGTAGGCATAATGGTAATGTGTATTTCAAAGGCTGTACAAACAAAAACAATGTTATTTGTATAATATATGTAACATTTCAATGAGACTTGGCAGAAACCTTCCATGGCCAATGGTAAACCAAAATTCCAACTATATGGACCATATCATTTTCTAAGGTAACACATATGGGAAGAGAGACAATTCTTTAATGTGTCATATCCAAGTCTTTTAAAGAGCTATTTGCTCGGACACTTTTATTATTGACAGAGAATCTAACTCAGGTTAATGTAACATTCGAAACAAAACTTAACGTCGCTCATTTGTTCTATAAGTTTGTTTAGTATAAAAGTGTCTAAACATTCAAAATTTCTAAAAACTTTCTTTGAATTATTGAAATATTTCAAACAAAAATATCCCTGTATTATATTGCTTTCATTGTTTTTGTGATATCTGCAAATTTTTAAGGGGCAAACAAGATTTCTGATTGGATATGCTATGATATATATGTGCATGCAAATATTAAAGAAATTTATTGTCAAGTGATGGAACAGAAATCAAAACAGTTAATTGTGCTATACACTTTACTTGCTTCTCACTGATTCGTAAACCAAATACTCATGTTAGTGGTGTCAGTAAAAGTGGAGCTGTGGCACAGGACTTCAGTATTGTAACCACTGAGGTGAATTAATTTATTTCTGTTCAAAATTGAATTGTACATTAGTCATACTATACATGGTAAAAATCATTTTAGATTTTATCATCTGACATAGGTTAATCAACTTACACTGACACAATATTTGTTTTTGATTTGTTTCCACAGAATATGCATTTAAAGCTATCAACCAAGGTGGGCTCACATCTGTAGCAGTGCGTGGTAAAGATAGTGCTGTTGTTGTCACACAGAAAAAAGTACCTGTAAGTTGATTACTTAAATTTTTATTGATTGATATTGTAAACTGATATTGTAAATCATGGGGAGGTGGTAATTATAAACTGAATACCAATGCAACACTGGGTGTTTTTTTTACAGATTTGATAAGTATTGAAAAACATACAAATTCATTTGAAGTTCATTGGAAACTAACGTTATCCATTCACAATCTCGACTTCTTAGAAATGTCCAAGGAATACACAAAAAAGGGGTGATACAAGAGAAACCAACCCCCACTCCATTTCATTTCCACAGTGTCAGTAGCAGATATGTCAACCATTTGCTGCCACACGTGCTTCACCTTGGTATTCACCATACTAGGCATTGGATCCATATAGGCCTGACTTTTCTCAATTAGTCCTGAAGTGCTGTTTATAGTTGGCCCAGGTCTGTGGTTGTGGTAGATATTTTTCATGGCTTGTTCAAATTGATCCCACAGTTGTTTGGTGGGACTGGGGTCGAGAGAAAAGGGGGAAGGGGGGACAAGAAAGTGTCTGAATGAACATGTTTTGCTGATGAAAAAAGTCACTGATCAGTGTAGCAGAGTGTACACAACTGTTATCCAGGGGAAGAATGTCAATGGTTGGTGCTTGCCAAAAAAAACCTGGTCAGTGAAGTGTTGGGCTGTCAGATCACCAGTTACAGTCACCAGCAGGTTTCGTAAATTGACAGAAATTTTTCTCCATACCATGACACTTCCACCACCCAATCAATCTCGCTCATTGATATAGCAATTGGCCGAACATTCACCATTGTTTCTTTAATTCTGCAAGTACTGTCACACAGATGAAACCATGATTTGTCAGTGAATAGCACACCATTCCACGTTAGCCATTTCTGACCTTCCCTTGTCCACAAAAATTGGTTTTGATGTCGCCACTGCATCAATATGTTACCACAAAATGGACTGTAAGCCTTTAAATCATTTGCATGTAAGTGGCAGTCAGTACTGACAGAAAGTTGTCTCCCCTGAATTTCATTGGTTGCCCCAGATGTTTCTATTGTTGATTGAAACCGATCATGGAGGTGTTGGAGATGGATTTACTGGTCCAGTTGTTGTTTTCCACTGTCTGCCTGGATATGCATATAATCTGAAGGGACATTTTTTTCCGTTTACATACATGTATTGGAGAATTTAATATTAATATTTCTAATGTTTGAATGAATATTACTTATTGATTTAAAAGGAAATTTTCAGTTGATGGGAATCTTAAAACATAGTATAAATAAAAAGAATTTGTATTGAGATTGGATTGCTGGTACCCAAACTTTTGTTCATTCTTTCTGTAGCAGGGTTTTCCATAATTTTGTTAGTAGTATGCTGTGTAGTGAAAGTAGGAAGCTGGCCTGCCATGTAAGTGTAGTCGTGTATGGAACATTATTACGGACCTGGATTGGTGTAGGTGGCCAAATGATCAAAGTAGCCTTGGCCGGCAACCGGCTCTTATGGAAAACCCTGCTGTAGGGTCCCATTTTTATTGCCTCAGTATACGCTGATAATCTTTTATTTGTCTGTAGGTTCCCCTACAGTCTTCATCTGATTGCTTTCAAATTTGGCAGGCTTTACACCGAAAATAAAGTGTTTTTTTAAAGGAATTTTGCCTCAGTGGTATCTGGAAGAGTTGCTACTCCATGTTGTTTTCATAATGTTAAATTTGTTCTGAAATCTCCTCACTCAGTTTCAACCCTTTGCTTTACCATAAAAAAGATTTGAGAAAGTAATTACTGCCATTTGCTTTTTTTAACATTATAATTTTGTCCACAGATTTCTTCATTCAAACCATCACTTCAAAACTTGGTATTCTTCCATTTCTCATCAATAGATAGTACAGGTTACCTGTTGGCATGCGTATATTGTTCTACCTTGTGGGTACTCTTGTTAAGAATTCCTTGTTGTAGTGACCAAATGGACAGTAGAAAGCTATATATAGCTAGCATTAATTAAATATCTTTGTACAGTCTACAGCAAAGTTAGAACTGGTAAAATTTATATTCAATATATAGTTGTAGCTATATTGTGAAGACAGTTTAAAATTTTTAAAAATTTTGATATAATGAACCTTTGTAAATCAATGTGTATGCTAATAGGAAAATGTGATCTTGGAGACTATATACTCATTAAGAGTTTACTTCCATGTGTATGTCATTGTGTCATCTTTTCTTGTTCAGGATAAGTTGCTGGATGCAGATTCCGTCACACACCTATTCCAGTTAACAGAAAATATAGGATGTGTGATGACTGGAATGGTTGGTAGGTACATTGTAATGTGCATGTAACAATTCACAATAAAAAACTTTGTAATGTGATAGATATCCTTGTTCTCTTAGCTGTATACATATGATATCCCTGTCATTTTTATCATAGGCCCAACAACAAACTTACGTACAAAAAGATTAATTTTGGTGATTTTTAATGGAGTTATGTATTTTTTATGATAAATATCTGTATCCTTGGTTTGTAAAAATTTGTCTGATGTAAATATGCTTACTCCCTAATTTATTGTCCTAACTGAAAAGTTTTTATGTGAAAGAACCTGTGTTGTAATGGTTCTGTTAGGTGATTCTGTCCAAGTAAAACAAAGGAAGCCCTAAACATTGAAATCCTTATTCTCATTCTTAAGAATTTCTTAACGGCCTGCTAACACAAGAAAAGGTCATTAGGGCCATCAACTGGTAAAAATACACAGCAATCCAAAAGGAAATAACATAAAACAAACCGAAAGGTAAAAGACAAATGCTAAAAATCTTAAATTTTTAACACAAAAGATTAAAATGGTACATTATAGTATATAGACCAACATCTTTCAGGCAATCTAGAATTTTACAAATCTTAACAGTTTAAAAAAGGCTTTTTAGACATGTAATGTTACGATAAAAACATTCTCGAGTAGACAAAATGTCAGTGCAGTCCAATAAAAAATATTTTAATGGTGAATGGCTCATCACATCCTATGCACTGAGGATTATCTTAGCCTTTCAACATATATGAATGTGTAAGGTATGAATGACTCTTCCAAAGACGGGCAAACATTGAAATACTTGAGCACTCAAACAGCAGTTGGTATTAGTACATGAACTACCAGGCTCCGCAGTTGCCTTCAACAATGCAGGTCTTTGATATATTTCAACCCTTTCGGCGCCAAATATTTTTCACAATGTACAGCACAGCGCCAAATATTTTCTGGAAAATATCCGAAAACAATGGCAAAAATTGTCAACTAAAGTCACCTACGGCGGCCTGTCTGCATCCCGACTTCAGTCGCCTACAGCGCCGAAAGGGTTAATAGTTTAATTTGGCAATTCTTAATATGTTATGGAGAATCAAAGCAAAAATCAAAAAGATGAAACTACTTTTTTCATAACATATACTTTTTATCAATACATTGTATATTTATGTGAAATATACTGTTTGCTTTCAATAAGTATGATGATGTACATTGCCTGAAAGCATATAACACAATGCACATAAGTGCGTAGTAATAAAGAAATTGTGTGATAAACTTGGTTTCTCTTTAAACAGATCAAGCTAGTGTCCAAGTTGTGCCTTTTGATAATAGGAAGATTTCTATTTTTGATCATTTCTCTGTTTCCGTGAGTCAGAGATTTTCGGGGAAAACCTCATAAACAGTTAAACTAATCTGTTGACAAATTATGACATGTTAAACATTAGCAGTGAAAGAATATTGATTGTACAGCTTTATGGATTTTCATATCAACAGCTGGGTGCAGGGGTAATGCTACCTTCAACTAATTATTGTTTTTAACATGATTTTTGTCATAGAAATATCAGTCCCTAAAAAGTAATGGGTAAGTGATAAGTTGTCCAGTAGAATGTATTCAAATATTTAGTAAATGTTTAATACAGTTTGTGATGTACTTATATTATTTGATGTTCACTTAAAAAGACTTTCTAATATTATGAACTGATATCATATGATGTGTACTTAAAATGACTTTCTAATATTATGTACTGATATCATATGATGTGTACTTAAAATGACTTTATAATATTATTTACTGATATCATATGATGTGTACTTAAAAAGACTTTCTAATATTATGTACTGATATCATACGATGTGTACTTAAAAAGACTTTCTAATTTTTTTTGGGTTTTTTTTCCTAGATATATAGCTGTAACCAGCCATTATAAAATCCCCATGCATTTGATATTTGCTTTTTATAGCTGACAGTCGGTCTCAGGCACAGAGAGCCAGGTACGAGGCAGCAAAATGGAAATACACCTATGGTTATGAAATCCCTGTGGACATGTTGTGTAAACGTATAGGGGACATCTCACAAGTGTATACACAGAGTGCTGAAATGAGGCCTTTGGGCTGCAGTAAGTAGGACATTTTATTCATGAAAAGGGCTTTCATTTGGATTTCTTAAACATTATTTCATGTAAATTGGGGTTTAGTGAAGGGACATGTCTTTGCTACAGTGTAGAGATATATTTTGTGTTTAGGTTTATTTGAAGATGTATGTATATAGTGATATGTGGGGTTCTCACTTATGGCGACTGCAATAGCTCAGCTAGTATAGTGATGTGTGGGGTTCTCACTTATGGCGACTGCAATAGCTCAGCTAGTATAGTGATGTGTGGGGTTCTCACTTATGGCGACCGTTATTGCTCAGTGGTATAGTGATATGTGGGGTTCTCACTTCTGGGGGGCTGCAATAGCTCAGTCGTATAGTGATGTGTGGGATTCTCACTTCTGGAGGGGGGGGTGGCTACAATAGCTCAGTCGTATAGTGATGTGTGGGGTTCTCACTTCTGAGGACCGTAATAGCTCAGTGGTATAGTGATATGTGGGGTTCTCACTTCTGGGGGGCTGCAATAGCTCAGTCGTATAGTGATGTGTGGGGTTCTCACTTCTGAGGACTGAAATAGCTCAGTGGTATAGTGATATGTGGGGTTCTCATTTCTGGGGGGCTGCAATAGCTCAGTCATATAGTGATGTGTGGGATTCTCACTTCTGGAGAGGGGGGGGGGTGGCTACAATAGCTCAGTCATATAGTGATGTGTGGGGTTCTCACTTCTGAGGACCGTAATAGCTCAGTGGTATAGTGATATGTGGGGTTCTCACTTCTGGGGGGCTGCAATAGCTCAGTCGTATAGTGATGTGTGGGATTCTCACTTCTGGAGGGGGGGGTGGCTACAATAGCTCAGTCGTATAGTGATGTGTGGGGTTCTCACTTCTGAGGACTGTAATAGCTCAGTCGTATAGTGATGTGTGGGGTTCTCACTTATGGCGACAGTTATTGCTCAGTGGTATAGTGATGTCTGGGGTTCTCACTTCTGGGGGGCTGCAATAGCTCAGTCGTATAGTGATGTGTGGGATTCTCACTTCTGGGGGGGGGGGGGTGGCTACAATAGCTCAGTCGTATAGCGATATGTGGGGGTCTCACTTCTGTGGGAGGCTGCAATAGCTCAGTCGTATAGTGATGTGTGGGATTCTCACTTCTGAGGACCGTAATAGCTCAGTGGTATAGTGATGTGTGGGGTTCTCACTTCTGGGGAGCTGCAATAGCTCAGTCGTATAGTGATGTGTGGGATTCTCACTTCTGAGGACCGTAATAGCTCAGTGGTATAGTGATGTGTGGGGTTCTCACTTCTTGGGGGCTGCAATAGCTCAGTCGTATAGTGATGTCGGGGGTTCTTACTTCTGAGGACCGTAATAGCTCAGGGGTATAGTGATGTGTGGGGTTCTCACTTCTGGGGGGCTGCAATAGCTCAGTTGTATAGTGATGTGTGGGATTCTCACTTCTGAGGACCGTAATAGCTCAGTGGTATAGTGATATGTGGGGTTCTCACTTCTGGGGGGCTGCAATAGCTCAGTCGTATAGTGATGTCAGGGGTTCTTACTTCTGAGGACCGTAATAGCTCAGTGGTATAGTGATGTCGGGGGTTCTTACTTCTGAGGACCGTAATAGCTCAGTGGTATAGTGGTGTGTGGGGTTCTCACTTCTGGGGGGCTGCAATAGCTCAGTCGTATAGTGATGTGTGGGATTCTCACTTCTGAGGACCGTAATAGCTCAGTGGTATAGTGATGTGTGGGGTTCTCACTTCTGGGGGGCTGCAATAGCTCAGTCGTATAGTGATGTCAGGGGTTCTTACTTCTGAGGACCGTAATAGCTCAGTGGTATAGTGATGTCGGGGGTTCTTACTTCTGAGGACCGTAATAGCTCAGTGGTATAGTGATGTCAGGGGTTCTTACTTCTGAGGACCGTAATAGCTCAGTGGTATAGTGATGTCGGGGGTTCTTACTTCTGAGGACCGTAATAGCTCAGTGGTATAGTGGTGTGTGGGGTTCTCACTTCTGGGGGGCTGCAATAGCTCAGTCGTATAGTGATGTGTGGGATTCTCACTTCTGAGGACCGTAATAGCTCAGTGGTATAGTGATGTGTGGGGTTCTCACTTCTGGGGGGCTGCAATAGCTCAGTCGTATAGTGATGTCAGGGGTTCTTACTTCTGAGGACCGTAATAGCTCAGTGGTATAGTGATGTCGGGGGTTCTTACTTCTGAGGACCGTAATAGCTCAGTGGTATAGTGATGTCAGGGGTTCTTACTTCTGAGGACCGTAATAGCTCAGTGGTATAGTGATGTCAGGGGTTCTTACTTCTGAGGACCGTAATAGCTCAGTGGTATAGTGATGTCAGGGGTTCTCACTTCTGGGGGGCTGCAATAGCTCAGTCGTATAGTGATGTCAGGGGTTCTTACTTCTGAGGACCGTAATAGCTCAGTGGTATAGTGATGTCAGGGGTTCTTACTTCTGAGGACCGTAATAGCTCAGTGGTATAGTGATGTCGGGGGTTCTTACTTCTGAGGACCGTAATAGCTCAGTGGTATAGTGATGTCAGGGGTTCTTACTTCTGAGGACCGTAATAGCTCAGTGGTATAGTGATATGTGGGGTTCTCACTTCTGGGGGGCTGCAATAGCTCAGTCGTATAGTGATGTGTGGGATTCTCACTTCTGAGGACCGTAATAGCTCAGTGGTATAGTGATGTCAGGGGTTCTTACTTCTGAGGACCGTAATAGCTCAGTGGTATAGTGATGTCGGGGGTTCTTACTTCTGAGGACCGTAATCGCTCAGTGGTATAGTGATGTCGGGGGTTCTTACTTCTGAGGACCGTAATAGCTCAGTGGTATAGTGATGTCAGGGGTTCTTACTTCTGAGGACCGTAATAGCTCAGTAGTATAGTGATATGTGGGGTTCTCACTTCTGGGGGGGGGGGGCTACAATAGCTTAGTCGTATAGCGATATGTGGGGTTCTCACTCCTTGGGGGGGGGCTACAATAGCTTAGTCGTATAGTGATGTGTGGGGTTACCATCAAATGTACAGTGAGGTAGCTGCATATTTCTTTATCAGCATTAATTTGGTGTGGTTACAGGTATGATTTTATTGGGCTATGATGACGAAAATGGACCACAGATATACAAGACTGACCCTGCTGGTTACTTCTGTGGATACAAAGCCACATCAGCTGGAGTGAAACAGCTTGAGGCAAACAGCTTCCTGGAGAAAAAAGTCAAGAAGAAGCAGGAATTTACATTTAATGAAGCAGTAGAAGTAAGCAGTGTAATTTTTAGGTCACATTTCATCGGCATTAGTAATAAGCTCTATCAAAGTTTTACAATTGATATCTGATACAGTTGAAGTTTAAATGTAGTAATTGAAATTGAGTTAAATTATTCTAACTACCATGAGTAGGATAGACAGCTGTCTTTCTTTGGCGATATCTGTAACTTATACTAGTGTTATACAAGTTTTTGGCCTCTTCTGCATGCCTTCTCTAGGTGATTACAGGTCAGTATTCCACGTATCATGTGACATGAAATATAAATACATTTTTACAGACTATCCGTTTATTTACAGATTGCAATAACATGCTTATCAACTGTATTATCAGCTGACTTCAAATCCTCAGAAATTGAAGTTGGAGTTGTAACAACAGAACATCCTAAATTCAGGTAATAAATTATCACAGGCCCAGAGTAGGGGAGAAGGAAAGAGCTAAATATGGCAACCAAGTGTTGCAGCTTCAAGTAGATATATCATCTGTTTCAAATGCTTTGAAGGTAGTGTGGGAAAAAAACACAAAGGAGAGAGAAAAATAAAACCATTCCAGCACTAAACAACATATAGTACTGAATGTAAATCAACTGTAGAGTGAAAATGGAATTGTGTATAATGTGTTATATCAAGTCATTGTATGATTCTTTGGGGAAAAAATTAAGCTACAAAATTTATACCTCCAACAAGACCAAAGGGGAAGTATTTGATTAATCTCTTTCATAGCTAGTACTGAAGGCTGCAATCAAATTCAGAAGACATAATCTGTAAGTCGTAATTTTTTTTTAACCATTAAGAGTTAATTGTACCTAAAGTAGAGATGGTTTACTCAGGAAGCTGACTTGTGGCTGTGTCTGCTATTGATGCAAATTAGTTTGAAATGCTATATGAACATCATGTATGGTTCCTGATTCTGTCATTAGTTTTACAGGGTCATTCCTTCTTTTTTTAGGGCTTTGACAGAGGAGGAAATAGATGCACATCTAGTAGCTATAGCAGAGAAAGATTAGCACATATCCTACACAGGCATCAGTAACATTTGAACAATTCTTCATCGAACTACTTCTCTTCAATGACACTCGAGAAATGGAGGAAAAATCTGTGTTTGTCTTGGGATGAGATATCGGCCATCTTTATCATTTCTTGAGTTCAACAATTTCTGTCATCTGATGAGTGCTCCCACAAGGACAATGTACAATAGTGCTATGTAACAATTGTTGATTATTCAACTTTCAATATAATGATACACAAGTTTTGTAAATATTGTCCATCATTAATGAATGAATAACTATATCATCATTCAAGTTTTGCAAGGTGTTTTAAGATACAGCACAAATATTTCTTTGAATAAGTGTTAAAAGAATTCCCCAGTGGACCATTTTAACTGATGTGGATTTGTGATTTACAAGCTTGTGGGTCAATTTACTGTACATCATTTTTCATAAATGAAAGAATGTATTATATTGTTGAATGAATAGATTAAATGAGTCACTTTGTACTGATTACTTTCATTGTTTTTTTATCATCACATGCTAACCTATAATAAGAAAACCATAATAACTGTATTTAAAATGTTGACCTGTCTATCCCCATTGTTTCTTTTAAGGTTTTATGGGAAAAGATGTGTACATACTTATTACCTGTTAACCATAATTTTTTAAGGAAACAGAATGGAAAAGTGTTCACAGTCATCATGATACTTCTCCTCTCAGACACATTAAGACTTTTCAGAACAGAGGGTATCACTTCTCCTCTCAGACACATTAAGACTTTTCAGAACAGAGGGTATCACTTCTCCTCTCAGACACATTAAGACTTTTCAGAACAGAGGGTATCACTTCTCCTCTCAGACACATTAAGACTTTTCAGAACAGAGGGTATCACTTCTCCTCTCAGACACATTAAGACTTTTCAGAACTGAGGGTATCACTTCTCCTATCACACACATTAAGACTTTTCAGAACTGAGGATATCAGAAAACTTGTTTACTTACACCATTTATTTAGTCATCAAAAAGCTTTTTACAATAAACATAGAGAAATAATGTCATTATACATTGTGATTAATATTCAGGTAATATTGCTTTTGATTAAACTTGACACCTTCATAATTTAATACTATTCATTATAAATGAAACATTTACTGAATGTTTGTTAAAGGAAGGTAACTCTAGTCAACTTGGGAGTGCTATCAAAAGCATGACATAACTGTACACAAAATCATGCTTCCATGATATCTGAATTTCACCACCTCAGAAATCATGAAAGCAACGACCATTTTTGGTTAGTTGTATTTATACTATAGAATTTAAACCATACCAAACAATACATCATTTTTAAGCTCTTCAAGAAATTCTGTGTTCACATGGTGACCAATTGAAAATTCTTTACATTTAGATATAAAGAATCTTTTAATTCAGCCTAATATGAAATAAAGATAACTTTGAAAAAAAAACTAAAAAATGATGATGTGTTAAAGCAATGATATCATTTAATACAAAATTGCTTAATGTATTTAACAACATTTACAAGTTAAGACTGGACCAAGTGATTACTTAAAAAAATAATATAGATTAATCAGATTAATGTCACAGTGGCCATCTTAAAGATATTACAACAATTAATTCAAATTGCTATGAAAAAAAATATGTTTTAAGTTACAAGTTCAATATCAGGGATAAAGAAAGACCATTGCTGTTCACACAATGGAAAAATACCCAAAGTTTGATATTTAAATATTGGAATGGCATATAATTTAAACCTGTGTCTCAGTGGAGTGAGGAATTCTTGTAAAATCATGGTTTCTGTGAGAAAGTTGAAAGGTGTGAAGATAGATGTGAAAATACAGAGTAATTTCCACACATGTTAGATAAAGTGGCTATCACACTTTAAAAGTTATCATTAGGAAATACAAATTAAACAAATATAAACTTAATTTATTTTACAACAATAGCAAAACAAGCTATTGGCTTATATAAGTTACTCTTGTCAGCATGGTTGGAAGCATGTAAGGGGTCTTACTTTGGGCGGAAAGGCAGTACCTGCGGAAAACTCACCTATTTGGTCAAGTGACCCCCATACTTTTTTCATGTCCTTTCTGGAATTGAACCCTTGACGTCTAGATGAAAGGCTAGTGTGTAACCATTGTGCTGCCTGACCGACCTTATAAGGTATGAATTACGGTGAAAGAAGGTAATAGTCGCAGAAACATGATGTGCTACAGGTAGTATCTCACCCACTTCATTGCAGATATATATTTACTTGTAGGAACATCGCCTCCCCAGTTCCCTCCCTATAAACGCGACATCGCCTCCCCAGTTCCCTCCCTATATACTTAATGTGATCGTTATCTCGGTGGATCTGATTACCATTTATTTGTCGTTTTTCATACGGTGCTTCATAAGCAAACATAACATCATCTTCTTGTGTAATGAAACAGAGCACTGACCCTAACAAAGCAGCCTACTTGAGATTAAATATATTTTGTTGTAAGATCTACTAAGATCAACAAGTCATAGGAAAGAAATGAAGATGTTTAACACATTGTACACTCTATAGTATTTCTATAGTACACTGTACATGTAGATGTATAGCAATAAATCATACAGTGTGGATACAGACTCAATGTTTCATCTAGACACACCGAATCCTAGAAAAGTTTGTCATGACAAAGATGATGTCATTAAATACTACCAGGGAAGATAAGCAAGTTGACTTTACCATTTGTTGTTTGAAGTCCTGAAACACAAAGATATGACATACAGAATATCTCTAGATTTGTGTCGCAAGAAGATTTTATGTGCATTGTTACTGTACGAAATGTATGTTTGTTTGCCAATGATATTTATCAAATATCTTATTTTAGCTTGCTTATGGACTTTAAAAATGCCCTCTTTCCCTCCATCTCTCCAAAAAAGAATTAGTCCTAATCTAATAAAAAAGGGAAAAGAAAAGAATATGAGGTGTAGGTATCTATATACATGCTGTAAAATATACAAACATGTGATTTAAATCCTGATTCATACTGAAATCTGACCAAACAATATATGAAGAAAAGAAAGATTTTAGCAGAGATCCTTGAAAAATGTAAGTAAGTAAGTAAGAGAAGCAGGATTGTAATCTAGAAAATTCCCTATAAGAAAACTGGAATCCTCAGACTTATACAACCTATCCATGTCCACTGCATTGTAGGTAGATATTAACATCAGGCAAACCAATACATCTGGTTCATGGTTTCTATTAATACTTCACTGTGACTTCCTGATTGTGCAGTTGGAGTGTTAAAATTTACGTAATATTTACACAAAATGTGATAAAAATTGTTTGGGTACTTAGACCAGTATTTATTTATTTGAGATTTAAAACAGTGATTGGAAGGTGACTCAACAAATCTATCTGATATTTGTTCTGTGCCTATTTTTAATTATATTTGATTATCTAGAGCAGACAAGACTTATAGACTAAATCTAAAGCGTTCAATATTTTGTAGATTTCTATCATGTCAGGCTTCAATCTTCCATATTCCTTTATTGGTAAACCTTGTTTCTTTTCCTTTTTCATTCAGGATACAAATGATCTCCTACTGATGGAACTAAGTTGCACATCTTTAGACCTTCTCCAAGGCAATGCAGTCTTTCCGGAGCCTCGATGATCATAAAATTATAGTGGTTTATCAAGAAATAAACTTACTAGATTTATAAAGCGATTAAAAATATTTTTGTCCCTATTGCTTTGCATATAGTTTTGTTAACACTGATCACCCATTTTAAGGCTTTTATTAATTGCTGATCCAAGATCTCACAGGTATATGCCTATGGTTCCAGGCCCTGTCAATGTCCTGTTGGAGTGTTGTATCTGTCTGGTTCCAGGCCCTGTCAGAGTCCTGTTACAGTGAGGTATCTGTCTGGTTCCAGGCCCTGTCAGAGTCCTGTTACAGTGTTGTATCGGTCTGGTTCCAGGCCCTGTCAATGTCCTGTTGCAGTGATGTATCTCTGTGGTTCCAGGCCCTGTCAATGTCCTGTTGCAGTGATGTATCTCTGTGGTTCCAGGCCCTGTCAATGTCCTGTTGCAGTGATGTATCTCTGTGGTTCCAGGCCCTGTCAGAGTCCTGTTGCAGTGTTGTATCTGTCTGGTTCCAGGCCCTGTCAGAGTCCTGTTACAGTGTTGTATCGGTCTGGTTCCAGGCCCTGTCAATGTCCTGTTGCAGTGATGTATCTCTGTGGTTCCAGGCCCTGTCAATGTCCTGTTGCAGTGATGTATCTCTGTGGTTCCAGGCCCTGTCAATGTCCTGTTGCAGTGATGTATCTCTGTGGTTCCAGGCCCTGTCAGAGTCCTGTTGCAGTGTTGTATCTGTCTGGTTCCAGGCCCTGTCAGAGTCCTATTACAGTGTTGTATCTGTCTGGTTCCAGGCCCTGTCAGAGTCCTGTTACAGTGTTGTATCGGTCTGGTTCCAGGCCCTGTCAATGTCCTGTTGCAGTGATGTATCTCTGTGGTTCCAGGCCCTGTCAATGTCCTGTTGCAGTGATGTATCTCTGTGGTTCCAGGCCCTGTCAATGTCCTGTTGCAGTGATGTATCTCTGTGGTTCCAGGCCCTGTCAGAGTCCTGTTGCAGTGTTGTATCTGTCTGGTTCCAGGCCCTGTCAGAGTCCTATTACAGTGTTGTATCTGTCTGGTTCCAGGCCCTGTCAGAGTCCTGTTGCTATGTTGTATCTGTCTGGTTCCAGGCCCTGTCAGAGTCCTGTTGGAGTGATGTATCTGTCTGGTTCCAGGCAATGTCAATGTCCTGTTGCAGTGATGTATCTCTGTGGTTCCAGGCCCTGTCAATGTCCTGTTGGAGTGATGTATCTGTCTGGTTCCAGGCAATGTCAATGTCCTGTTGCAGTGATGTATCTCTGTGGTTCCAGGCCCTGTCAATGTCCTGTTGCAGTGATGTATCTCTGTGGTTCCAGGCCCTGTCAATGTCCTGTTGCAGTGATGTATCTCTGTGGTTCCAGGCCCTGTCAGAGTCCTGTTGCAGTGTTGTATCTGTCTGGTTCCAGGCCCTGTCAGAGTCCTGTTGGAGTGATGTATCTGTCTGGTTCCAGGCCCTGTCATTGTCCTGTTGCAGTGTTGAAAAAAATATTATTAAATAAATATTGGAAAAATAATCGTTTATACAAATGAATGTCTAATAACTTAAATCAAGCCATTACATAGGAAATATTTATATTGTGCTATGTATTAATTTTGATGTGGAAATAGAGGCTGCAAGCCTGCCTCCATTATTTCTGCTTATAAATAACAAGTCGCTCTGTAGTATTGAAGTACCGCGCCGCATTTAGTGTCACGTTGTACGTTTATTACAACATCCGGTTCGTAAACACGTGAGATTTTCGGTCTTTTCTGTGTCTCTTACTTTAAAACCCTTATGACGGCATCACTATGTCGCTCGCAGATACACAGATGAGATGTTTAGAAATTGATATCCTCCGTGACCAGAGAAAACCAGACGAAGGTTCGTATGTGCGTTTAGTGACGTCGCATATGTCTATAAGTCAGTGATGTCTCATTGACTTTTCACACTGATTGAAATATGTTTAACAGGTGGAGCACACAGCACACAGCACACAGGAGTGTGTTCCAAATGAGCCTTCGTTAAACGATTGTTATTGCTTTGAGTTGAATAAATTTGATACTCAAATTCTGTGTAAATTTATACATAATGATATCAAGTTCTTTTTGAACACGTGCGGCACAATTGCTCATCATGGGTACTATTCTTGCGTTTGAGGGATAGTAATTACGGCTTTGAGTAATCAATAAGTTACTCTAATGTCAGGTCGTTTGAAATCGAATCACCTAATTCTTTTAAACATTAACAGAGACATATACAACACATGATATATACGTCTCTGACATTAACAACAAAAAAGAGAGTCTTATTTTTAACATGTCACAATAACCAATGCAAAATTGTGCATTTTTGCAAAGGAAATTGTTAATTAAGTTGTCTCCCTTTTTTGTAAAAATCACAAACTTTTTAATCTCAGTTGATTATCAACTGCTGTTAGTGGGGCTAAAAAAGAACATGTGTAAATTTATGTTCATCTATGACATTTTCACTGAATTCTTCCCTTGTTATATGCTGTACTTAATGGAGATCTAGGTCATTGATGTAAATATATAATAATCTTCTTAACTCAAAGTCAGATAACAGAAATGAACGTTTCCCATGCAGTTATAAACATAGTCACATTGCATTTGGCAATGGGTTCAAGTTAAAAAGATGACACCCTTTCTTTGTTGCAAAATTTTAAGGCAAACTTTATGTGTTTCTATTTTAGAATTATCCTGCATTTGAGTATAGTAAACCTTTAGACAGTTTGAACAAAATGAAATGAATATTGTTGAACCTGTTCAAATTATGTGAAATTGTGTTTGTGATTAGAGTTTGAAATGTTGGTTGACATTGTCCAAAATCTAATTTTGAAGATAAGACTGAATTTGTTTTGTACATTTGAAAAATATTTTTCTTCAGAAATATATAACCTTGAGTTTCAATGAACACATATTGCTGGATAATTACTAGGATAATTTAAAATTAATGACATTGACCCACTTTCAGGTAATTTAGTTTATGTTTACAAAATGGGACAGGAATCAAGTACAGTTCACTTTGGTTTGCCAAGAGATTTGAAGTGCCATTGTATATTAAAGGACCAATGAGAAGGACCTCAGTGCCTAAATCATTTCATAATTGTTGCTCTCATCACATACATTTCTAATTGCTTCGTTGTTCTTTTCAGATCAACAATACAGAGAACTGTTCAAATACATTCTTGATGGGAAACATGAAAATGTTTTGAGGCATTCCATTGCTGAAAGAATTTTGAAGAAAAACCAAGACAACAAGAATTGCATTGAAACCATCTTAAAAGAAAATGTTGAAAACTTTTTTATTGATTCTACAGAAGATGACAGATTTGCATGGTAAATTTATTGTTGATTTTATGGAACTTTTACCGTTAGAAAGGTCAGATAGAAAGTGCAAGAAGAGTAGTTCACCGGCCAGAAGTAACTGGACTAGATGAGATTATACAGTGCTGCTGCATCTGCTGTCACTAAACCAGATATTTGGGGTATTTTTTTTTTCAAGAACCTTGTTTTAAGCACTTTTGGTACAAGGCTGTGATGCATGTTTTTATCTAGTAGGTCTATGGACTGAAGTCTGACAAAATGTGCAGATTAAAAGGGTAGGTGGAATGTTAGACTTTGCGATCTCTGATGAATATCTATGGTGTGTGATTGCACAACCTTCACTCAGGAATCTCTGAAATCACACTGTCCTGTGCTGTTGTGGCCTTGGGAACAATTTTTTACTCCATTTCCTCTAGATGGCATACGATGTACCTCACCTATGTTGTTCAGTGTCATGTTGCCACCAGATATTACAATCAATAGGACCCTACATCAAAATGCACCTGGCTGTTGATAGGATAATATCCAGCAAACTAAGCACCAAATTTTGTCAAAAAGAAGAATGACCTTGATTCAGATGCAAGGTCATGGCAGATTTTGGTTTAGTGTGTAAATAAGGTATTTCTTCTAATGAACCAAAAGCCCTATGATCAACACTCTTTCCCACATAAAAAAACAAGAACAAAATTAAACAAAATCAAGTTTATTACATACACTCGGACAGTTTCTTTTATCAAGCAAAATGCCTGAAATCATATTTGACATCATAGGATTTTATGCTTTAAGGATGAATCCCAACAAATTTTCCAAAAAAATATCCTTTGACCAATAATCTAGATCACAAGGACAAAATTACTATAATAACTTCTAATTAACCAAAAGGAGCTATACATTTTTTTCATAAGAAAATGGTAAATAATGCTAAATGTAGCTTTGCAGTGTAAAATGTTTTAAATGTTCTTGTTTGAGATAAATGTTGAGACAGGAGAAGAGCTTTTATAAATGTTTTAAATGTTCTTGTTTGAGATAAATGTTGAGACAGGAGAAGAGCTTTTATAAATGTTTTAAATGTTCTTGTTTGAGATAAATGTTGAGACAGGAGAAGAGCTTTTATAAATGTTTTAAATGTTCTTGTTTGAGATAAATGTTGAGACAGGAGAAGAGCTTTTATAAGTTGGTTTCAACAAAGTTGTTTTGGTTGTGTATAATTGTTCTGGTGTCTATAAATCACCGGACAATAAAAATAATATTATCCCATGATTTTCCAAATAACACTTCATTTTTAGCTCACCTAGCCCAAAGGGCCAAGCAAGCTATTGGGATCCTGTGGCTTCAGTCATTTGTCGTCTGTAGTCTGTCAACTTTTTCTACAAAATGCTACTGGTCATAAACAACTGAGGGAATTGTGACCAAATTTGGTCAGAAGCATCCTTAGGGAAAGGTGAACATTTTTTTTTGTATGAATGGTGTGTCCCAACACTCTGTGGCCAGAGGGACACGGCCAGAAAGGGAAAATTTGGCAAGTCCTTTAAATTCCTACTCCTGCTGTAGGAATTATTGGAGTTTGGCCAAATTTAGTTTGAATCATGTTTTGGTGAAATTGGAATCAGTTTTGTATAAATGGTGGATCTCGGCCCCCTGAGACATCAATTTGGAAATATTTGAAATACCCAACCTATAGGCTTTAAGATCTAGGTGAAAGATACAGAGCTTATAGGCCTTTTGTTCAATTTGCTGATCAGTTGTAAAAATTAGATTTTCCAAAAATGAAACAAATGGTTAAAGATAGTGAAAAAATATATAAGCACTTATTAGTCCTTTTGAAAGTTTCTTTGATTTTAAGAAATAAATGGTGCAGAAAGTGACAGCTATATGCATAATGTTTTGACAGCTTGGTTGTTGATATGTCATTGTAGAGAAGTCATGTTTATCTAATACTGTTTGTTTCAGTGAGTTGGAACTACTCTGTGTGGCCATATCCTGCCTACAGTTATTTGTGCAAGGTAACTGGACTGGACCTCCTCTGCAGTCTATACCATCGGACCATCTTCCTCAGATTTTCTCTGCCCCACAACAGGTATATGTTCTCTTTTTGTGTCTTCAAATTAGTTTCATATATATACATACTGTTAACTTTATCTTTTTCAAGTGTATTGATTCTGCCCTTTTGATGGTAAAAACTCATGCAAAATGGGAAAATTACAGGTTTTCTAAAACATTAAGCACACCTCTCAAGGTTAGACTTTTTAAAATATCAGCACACCTCTCAAGGTTAGGTTTTCTAAAACATCAGCACACCTCTCAAGGTTTGGCTTTCTAAACATCAGCACACCTCACAAGGTTAGGCTTTCTAAAACATCAGCACACCTCTCAAGGTTAGGCTTTCTAAAACATCAGCACACCTCTCAAGGTTAGGCTGTTAAGAAAATCAGCACACAACACAAGGTTAGGCTTTCTAAAACATAGCACACCTCTCAAGGTTAGGCTTTCTAAAACATCAGCACACATCACAAGGTTAGGCTTTCTAAAACATCAGCACACAACACAAGGTTAGGCTTTCTGAAACATAGCACACCTCTCAAGGTTAGGCTTTCTAAAACATCAGCACACCTCTCAAGGTTAGGCTTTCTAAAACATCAGCACACATCACAAAGTTAGGCTTTCTAAAACATCAGCACACATCACAAGGTTAGGCTTTCTAAAACATCAGCACACCGCTCAAGGTTAGGCTTTCTAAAACATCAGCACACCCCACCATGTTAGGCTTTCTAAAACATCAGCACACATCACAAGGTTAGGCTTTCTAAAACATCAGTACACCCCACAATGTTAGGCTTTCTAAAACATCAGCACATCACTCAAGGTTAGGCATTCTAAAACATTAGCACATCACAAGGGTAGGCTTTCTGAAACATCAGCACACCCCACAATGTTAGGCTTTCTAAAACATCAGCACACCTCTCAAGGTTAGGCTTTCTAAACATCAGCACACCTCTCAAGGTTAGGCTTTCTAAAACATCAGCACACCTCTCAAGGTTAGGCTTTCTAAAACATCAGCACACATCACAAGGTTAGGCTTTCTAAAACATCAGCACACCCCACCATGTTAGGCTTTCTAAAACATCAGCACACAACACAAGGTTAGGCTTTCTGAAACATAGCACACCTCTCAAGGTTAGGCTTTCTAAAACATCAGCACACATCACAAGGTTAGGCTTTCTAAAACATCAGCACACCCCACCATGTTAGGCTTTCTAAAACATCAGCACACAACACAAGGTTAGGCTTTCTGAAACATAGCACACCTCTCAAGGTTAGGCTTTCTAAAACATCAGCACACCTCTCAAGGTTAGGCTTTCTAAAACATCAGCACACATCACAAGGTTAGGCTTTCTAAAACATCAGCACACATCACAAGGTTAGGCTTTCTAAAACATCAGCACACCCCACCATGTTAGGCTTTCTAAAACATCAGCACACATCACAAGGTTAGGCTTTCTAAAACATCAACACACCCCACAATGTTAGGCTTTCTAAAACATCAGCACACCTCACAAGGTTAGGCTTTCTAAAACATCAGCACACCTCTCAAGGTTAGGCTTTTTATTGAAGATGCTTTTAGCTGTATGGAAAATAAACCAATGTCCGCCCCCACCCCACCACCCCCCCACCCCCCCTTTCGTTTTAAATATATGCTTTTAGTTACGTTTTGCTTTTTTACTTTGTAGATTACATCCCATCTTCATCATGCCTATCAATATCTTCTACCCTTTTAGAAAATGCTTTCTTATTTAGCATGTGCATTCCTGTATACCTATCACTGGATACCACATTTGTGCACCATTTCTCTATATTGCTTTTCTGTTGAGCGTCCTAGCCTTTGTGAATGGCTTCCTGTGATAGCATTGTGTTTCTCAAACCTATCTTGTTTTACAATATATCAGGCTTAGGGACCTTTCACATTCTTAGCAATGTTAAAAAGTACTTATGAATCATTTTCAGTTGAAAAAACTACACAACTACGTGCTAGAGGAACTGTCTATGGATGGGGAGCCTGTCTATGACAAATGTCTCCGTATTGAACTGTTGTTTATGGCTCGATTTCTCTTGCTTGAATGCAGGGAAAATTTTAAAAACCTACAGGTATGGATATTTAATCAAACTCTAAACTATTAAGATCTTTTGAACACATATTCAACTTAAACTGGTTAATATATAGTGACCTTGTCAGTTCATTCTGCTTAAGATATAGTGACCACGTCAGTTCAATCTGGTTAATATATAGTGACCTTGTCAGTTCAATCTGGTTAATATATAGTGACCTTGTCAGTTCAATCTGGTTAATATATAGTGACCTTGTCAGTTCAATCTGGTTGATATGATGGAACAGGTATAATACTTGAACAGGTATAATACATTTTAAGATGAGACAGGTGAACGATGATTTAGACAGTTTTAATGATGTTTTTGTTACAGACAGCAGACTGGTGGCTGTTGAGATGTATATCTGTACAGCAGCAGGTGCTGGATGATAGATCTCCAACACTTAAGGAAACAACATTAGATCTACTTGACAAAGGTAAGGTGATTCAATGAGATTTATAGACAGCAACTATAAAACAGGTCAGGTCAAGTCTAGCCTAGTATGTTCTGGTCTATTATAGTCTACTCTAGTCTATATGGTCTGCTTTGGTCTGTTGTGGTCTGGCTGACTCTCATTGGTCTTGTCCCAAATTTTGGTCTGATCTGGTTTTATCTAAGATTGTGTTCTTTTATCAATGATTGTGATTTCTATAACTGAATATCACTTATATTAAAACATGGCTGATATTATCTTTACATTATTGGATATAATATCTATCAGTAAACATAGTTCATGCAGCCATTATCTGATTTGACTGACATCTGTGGTGAATTGAAATGCTGATAACTTGGTGGAAGGGAGAGAGTTACAACAATAATGGTATACCAATTATCTCAATACATTCATCTTACAACACCTTAAAACAAGGATCGATATGTTAAAAATGACCTTTTATCGATATTGAATTACTTGTTCTTGATAAAAAGCAAACTATTTGTTCTAGGTAAAAGTAGTGTGAGCTCAAGTTGTCCATTAAAAAATGTAAGTCACAGACAGATCAAATTAGACCGTCTTTTTAATAGGAATTTTAAGTTGGATGTAGCAGTCAGAATTGATGTTTTACAAAAATATGATAATGTGTAAAATGTTGAACTTTTATGACCAGTCTACCAACGTTTTGTGTTCTGGTAAGGATTTTTTCTGGTAAAGATTGTTTTCTTATCATTTTCAGTCTCCAAACTGGAACCACTACTTACAGATGATAAAAACAGGTAAATCATACGTAGGTAAAGATGACCATAACAACGGCTGACGGGGGTGATTGACTTTAATCAAGAATGTTGACTAGTTTCAACACTTAGGCATGTCGTCATCAGAACAAAACTGAAATTTAAGCAATCCAGTATAATTAGAAAATGTGATGTCTACCATAGCAACAGTAAATGACCTCACACAAAGTACACCATCAAATGACACCCACAATAACTGGGTTGGGTGCTGAAATATTAGGCAAATGTTCAGTGATTTAGATGGTATTATCCACATACATAGTTACACAATCAAGAGCCAAACAAAAGTCAATACCTGTAGTAACCAATATATTGATATCTCACAACACAATCTCGTAAGATAAAACATAATCGATACTGAAGTTCCTGAAACAGCAGCTTAATTAACACCTTCAATTTGTTGATTTGTTAGTTGGTCCGATTACTGCTCAAACCACTCATATTGACTTTGATCCTGGTGTTTCTGAGTGTATTCCTGCCGTTTGCGTTCCTGGCGTTTGCGTTCCTGAGTGTATTCCTGGCGTTTGTGTTTCTGAGTGTATTCCTGGTGTTTGCGTTCCTGAGTGTATTCCTGCAGTTTGCGTTCCTGAGTGTATTCCTGGCGTTAGTGTTTCTGAGTGTATTCATGGTGTTAGTGTTTCTGAGTGTATTCCTGGCGTTTGCGTTCCTGAGTGTATTCCTGCCGTTTGCGTTCCTGGCGTTTGCGTTCCTGAGTGTATTCCTGGCGTTTGTGTTTCTGAGTGTATTCCTGGTGTTTGCGTTCCTGAGTGTATTCCTGCCGTTTGCGTTCCTGAGTGTATTCCTGGCGTTTGCGTTCCTGAGTGTATTCCTGCCATTTGGGTTCCTGAGTGTATTCCTGGCGTTAGCGTTCCTGAGTGTATTCCTGGCGTTAGCGTTCCTGAGTGTATTCCTGGCGTTAGCTTTCCTGAGTGTATTCCTGGCGTTAGCGTTCCTGAGTGTATTCCTGGCGTTTTCGTTCCTGAGTGTATTCCTGGCGTTTGCGTTCCTGAGTGTATTCCTGGCGTTAGTGTTTCTGAGTGTATTCCTGCCGTTTGCGTTCCTGGCGTTTGCGTTCCTGAGTGTATTCCTGGCGTTTGTGTTTCTGAGTGTATTCCTGGTGTTTGCGTTCCTGAGTGTATTCCTGGCGTTAGCGTTCCTGAGTGTATTCCTGGCGTTAGCGTTCCTGAGTGTATTCCTGGCGTTAGCGTTCCTGAGTGTATTCCTGGCGTTAGCGTTCCTGAGTGTATTCCTGGCGTTAGCGTTCCTGAGTGTATTCCTGGCGTTAGCGTTCCTGAGTGTATTCCTGGCGTTAGCGTTCCTGAGTGTATTCCTGGCGTTAGCGTTCCTGAGTGTATTCCTGGCGTTAGCGTTCCTGAGTGTATTCCTGGCGTTAGCGTTCCTGAGTGTATTCCTGGCGTTTGCGTTCCTGAGTGTATTCCTGGCGTTTGCGTTCCTGAGTGTATTCCTGGCGTTAGCGTTTCTGAGTGTATTCCTGGCGTTAGCGTTTCTGAGTGTATTCCTGCCGTTTGCGTTCCTGAGTGTATTCCTGGCGTTAGCGTTCCTGAGTGTATTCCTGCCGTTTGCATTCCTGAGTGTATTCCTGGCGTTAGTGTTCCTGAGTGTATTCCTTGTGAGTTTTGCAGCATTTGATATGTTTATTTCCTGCTTACAGTTGACATGGTGAGAGCTAGCATCATTTGAAGTATCAATCAGGCGTGTTTGTAAACCTAATAGTAGGTTAATCCTCTATTCTAATCTGTCTTCATAATAGATGACTGGCTACAGTAACTTTCAGTAATATTCACTGTACATGTATATACTTAATTTGCTGAGTTTTGTTAGGGTTTTTTTTCCTGTTTCAGTATTAAATGTTAGCTGAAAACTTTTCTAAAACATACAAGAAATTTCGTTTTTTCAATACTGTAGAATAGCCTTATCTTGGGACCATGTGAAAAATTTGAGTTATCTGTGTATTTGATTAAGAGAGTTCAAATATTTCGTGTGAAGTTTGCCCAGGATTGATGAAATCCTTATAATTTAAAGGTATCTTCAAGTTATATAAGTTTCAGGTATTGAAGTTTCTCTTTATGTCACTCATCCATTTTAATTTTTGACCTTTTCACCGTTTAACACAATGTGACTTAGCTAGAAGTGAAAACACACAAGTAGATGTAGAGTTATGGAAGAATAGAACATCTAAATTTTAAGGAGGAAAAAACTAGAAAAGATAATTATTTATTTTAGTTGAAAATTTGTTATCACTTGAAAAAGGGAAAATTACATTATGGTTGAGAGATTCAAATAGGTTTTAGTAATTTCATATCTTTGTACTTTAATCTTTTTAATGTCGTTTTGTCACCTGCATGCAGACTTTGCTTGATAGATATGTCACAAAAATTGTAAAAGATTTCCAACGGCCTATTATTTTCTTCAGGATAACACTAAGATAAATCCACCCAGTTATTGTCAATATGATACTTGTAGGAAGAGATTATTTTGCTATGGTAAGGTATATTCTATCACGTTTGTCTTCCAGAGATCTTATCATACAATTCAGGCTGGAAGCTGGATACAACACCATGTTTTACTATGAGTACAGCATGGCTCATGAACATTTTATGTCGGCCAAAAAAACAGCAGGTTTATCTGTGGAATTATCAGGTAAGTAAACCACACATTTTTAAGACTCATATACACATTTCATTGGATAGAAATTGTACTATCACATCAAACTTGTTCCAAGATGATTTATTTTCATCTTTTTACATTGAATAACCTTTGTTGTCTGTGTAGCTTCTCCTGTAATCCAGTATTCTTTCACCATTGTTCTGGAGTCTTGAAATGAAGTGATTACAGAATTTTGAAACTGAAACTTCATTGTTTGCAGGTGCCATGGGGAAAAGGACCAGATTTCAGGAAGAGGCTAAGGCTCAGTTGGTGCTGAAAGTCCAGAAGGACATATCACAGGCTTCGCCGCATGGAAAGGAGTTAATACCATCCAGAGACAATATGGTCTTACCAAAAGTGAGATATGATTAATTTTCATTAATGTTTTTGAATGTTTTCCACAAACAAGAAATGATTATAACACCAAAGGTTCATATCTGTGATATGGTACTACTTAAATATACATACATTTTTGGTTGTAATACTACATTCTTAGATATACTATTTCAGTGTTGCATCGTTATCATTTGATCATTCTCCTTCCTGGTTCACAGCATATTTAATACAATGATTTGTTGAACCATGTCCATCAGCATCATTTGAAATATCAGTTTGGTTTGTATTTCTGATTTTTAGGCTAATTGTAATGCGCTTTTTGCCTATTGTCACTAGGCTTTTGGAACCAGCTGTAACTACCAAGCCTGGCTTTCTGGTTGGTGGAAATATTCCAACAGATGATCAGTGTCCTGTGATAGTAGTTGTAGGCTGTGCTGATATCTTTCAAAACAATGTCATGCATACATACTCGTGCCAGGAGACCACCAAGTATTATACATAAAACTTACCAAAATTGACAGACTGGGTGTTCATTAAAATATTCATATTGAGATTTGCATTAATTATGAATTAACATCGTTCTGGTTCTACTTGGGTTACATTAATATCTTCAAGGTTAGGTTCCTAACACACACAATTTGTAACTTATGACTTTGTATGTATCTGTCTATCCACCACAGGACCTACTCTTAGGTGATGACACAGTGCTGGAGGCCATCAAGTTTGAGGAGGAAGGGCACTTTGCTGACACTATTTCACCAATAGACCAAGCTGTTGTGGTGGGGCTAATGTGAGCATTGGCCTATTTGTAGTTGAATCCGTTCAAATTGTAAATTTTGTTATAAATGCCAATAAATGTAAATTTAAAGGATACAAATTTTAGGAAGTATGTCCAGAATGGTAATACAGATGTGAAAAGAGTAAATTTGATGTAATATTTGATCCTGAAATTCAATAATTTAGAACAATTTGCAATGAAATAAAGCAGTTAGAAATACACTTACTAAAAATTGTCTTGTTTGGAGCGTAACTTTGATAATAGTGAAACAATGGTCATGAAACAGTGTATAAATTGATCATACTATGACAATATGCTGTGTATCAAGTTCAGGGCCCTTGGCACCTCAATAATAGAGTTATTGCCCTTTGTTAAAAGTAAAAATATCTTGTCTAGAGCATAACTTTGCTTGCATTTAAGCTAGGATAATGAAACTTGATGTGTACATTGATTGTACAAAGACAATGTGCAATGTACTGATGTTAGAGCCTGCAACCCTTTGATTACAGAATTATTACACATCATTAAAATTTTGTACCTGGGGCATTACTTTGCTTGCATTTAGATACACTAGGATGTTGAAACATGATATATACATCAGTCATACAAAAGCTAGGTGCAGTGTATTAATGTCAAGATCCATTGCCCTTTGTTAAAATTTTGCTTGCTTTACAACTAGATCATGTAATTTGGTGTATACATTGGTGATACTAAGAAGATGTGCAGTATATGAAATGGAGGGCCTGCAACCCCTTAATTACATAATTATTGCCCCTTGTGTTTGTTTCCAATAAAGTCGTTTTCAGGGAGCTTTCATTAGTTTCACTGATGCTCTTGTTTACTCTGATCTCCCTTAGAAACACGACATTGACTTATTTGGATTGACCAAGATTTACATGTTGGCTGTACACCTTATTATCCTGGTACTTTTTGAGAAGTCTCCATGTAAATCTTTCTTTTGTTCATATTTTGCCCCCAAGTATTATTGAATTTGTGTGTGAATTTAAAATTGTGTCTAGTTTAAGTAGGGGATAGTTAGGACAAGGACTAGTTTATATGTGTCCAGTTAAGGTGGGGCTAGTTAGGACAAGGACTTGTTTAAATTGTGTCTAGTTTAAGTGGGGGCTAGTTAGGACAAGGACTAGTTTAAATTGTGTCTAGTTTAAGTGGGGGCTAGTTAGGACAAGGACTAGTTTATATGTGTCCAGTTAAGATGGGGCTAGTTAGGACAAAGACTAGTTTAAATTGTGTCTAGTTTAAGTGGGGGCTAGTTAGGACAAGGAATAGTTTAAATTGTGTCTAGTTTAAGTGGGGGCTAGTTAGGACAAGGACTAGTTTATATGTGTCCAGTTAAGGTGGGGCTAGTTAGGACAAGGACTAGTTTAGATTGTGTCTAGTTTAAGTGGGGGCTAGTTAGGACAAGGACTAGTTTAAATTGTGTCTAGTTTAAGTAGGGGATAGTTAGGACAAGGACTAGTTTATATGTGTCCAGTTAAGATGGGGCTAGTTAGGACAAAGACTAGTTTAAATTGTGTCTAGTTTAAGTGGGGGCTAGTTAGGACAAGGAATAGTTTAAATTGTGTCTAGTTTAAGTGGGGGCTAGTTAGGACAAGGACTAGTTTATATGTGTCCAGTTAAGGTGGGGCTAGTTAGGACAAGGACTAGTTTAGATTGTGTCTAGTTTAAGTGGGGGCTAGTTAGGACAAGTTATTAGTTGAGAGGGAGACTATTTTATCATAGTTAACATGAAAACTTGCGAAGAAAAGGTTAGAGTAAACGAGAAATATGTTTAGATGGTTGTACTGCATTTGATGCCTGGAACAGGAAAGCACTTAGACATCAAACAGTACATTGTTCAATATTTCAGGGAAAACTACAGACGGAGCAGAGCCAGCTATGAAAGATTGACAGAATTAGAGTTAGAGACTTACATATCGGTGAGTAGAGAGTGGCCAACCAGATTTAAATGTTTGTAGGATTAAGCACAAGTGTTACATATTTCAAGATTACTGAAAGGATACAGAAATAATCACTTATAGTATTTAGGTAGTTTTTGTATTCCAACGGCCCATTATTATAGGTGGTTTGGATTTTGCTGAACATTTCTGTGTGTTAACTGTGGTATTTGTTATTTGATGTTTTGTAATATGTGTTTATGAAACGAAATCCAGACATTGTCTTGTTTGTATTATAGTGTGTGCTTGCCCAAGTGAGCTGCTGGTCAACATCTGTCCACTGTCTGGTCTTGAGGTCAGTCTTACAGAAGCGAAGTAGTCGTCATGTAGAGAGATCCATGATGCAGATTGAAGTAAGCTTAAAATCTGAACCAAAGTCAACATGTCTGTAACACACTGAAGATGTGAAAGGGTAGTGTAATAAAGTTTTTTTATCACAAGGCTTACTAATTACAGTGTAATTATGAATTAGTGTCAGGGTACATTAGAGACACCCAAATTTTTGTGAATGGTTATCACTTACATACACTTCAGAGGATGTTAGTGCAATTAGTTTTAAACCACATAATAGAGGTTTCAAAGTAACTCATGAGGCACCCACGGGGTTATGACAACAGTCACATACTTAAGACACCCTGACTTTGTTTCTGATAGGAGATAGTAAACCAGATCTTACGTCCTGAACCTGCGGCCCAGCACAGACTCCATCTGTTTTACTGTCATAGAATTTTATCATCATGGATGATCAAGGTAAGAAATAATAATTGATGTTAATGGTGTATAATGTTCTATAAATGTAACCATGTTTACAGATTAATTTGCATTACTTTAAACAACATGGATAATTAATTGCTTAGTGTTTTACAGAATCACTTTTATACAATTATGTAACAAATTGTTATGTACAGAAAGAACTAGCAGAACTGTTTTTGAGTCTGGGAGCTGTAGGGTCTGCTCTGGATGTATACGAACAGCTTCAGATGTGGGATCATGCCATTTCTTGTTACAAACGTCTCGGCAAAATGGAAAAGGTATAATGTTATATGATGTAATTAATTTGTGAAACCTAATGTTATAGTTAAAAATAAGTCAAGGATAAAGTGGGAATAAGTATTAGGAGAGACAACTAGTGGTAGAATAGTTTTGTTCCTGAGAAGTAATGTGGAGACTGGCAGATTGATTTGCGACACAGGTGTATGGCACAGATCTGTACTCTCTATGATCCATATGTATGTAGTATTTTTATAAAATGATAGGTATGATCTAAAGAATAGAAGGTGTAATACACAGATTTTAGACTGTAGACATCATACAATCCACGCTGGAGAAATATTATCTTTTCTTGTATTCACCCGAAGACAGGTGAGTAATTCTTTTGTTGTATAACCACAATCCACACGTCTGATTGATGATAATTGCAGCATAGGTTACTGGATTGTTATATTCACCTGTGAGACACACATCAGGGTTTGGATATATTTACCTGTGAGACACACATAAGGTTTTGGATATATTTACCTGTGAGACACACATAAGGTTTTGGATATATTTACCTGTGAGACACACATAAGGTTTTGGATATATTTACGTATGAGACACACATCAGGTTTTGGATATATTTACCTGTGAGACACACATCAGGGTTTGGATATATTTACCTGTGAGACACACATCAGGTTTTGGATATATTTACCTGTGAGACAAACATCAGGTTTTGGATATATTTACCTGTTAGACACACATCAGGTTTTGGATATATTTACCTATGAGACACACATCAGGTTTTGGATATATTTACCTGTGAGACACACATCAGGTTTTGGATATATTTACCTGTGAGACACACATCAGGTTTTGGATATATTTACCTGTGAGACACACATCAGGTTTTGGATATATTTACCTATGAGGCACACATCAGGTTTTGGATATATTTACCTATGAGACACACATCAGGTTTTGGATATATTTACCTGTGAGACACACATCAGGTTTTGGATATATTTACCTGTGAGACACACATCAGGTTTTGGATATTATATTCACCATGCGTACAAATATTCTGCTTGTTTAAGTGTAACATTGAGCAATATTTAGACCTAAGAAAAGGTGTTCTGACCAATCAGCATGTAGAATTGCTGACAGTCTTATAATGCTACACTTGATGTTATCACCTTTTTATACTGCTTCTTACTTGGTACTTAAAAAAGTATAGACTTTTAAAACTGTTCTCAGAAATAACTGATGACAGAAAGAAACCATCAATAAGAATATACAACATTAAAATCTATATCAATTTGGTACTTGTATGCTACCTCATTTGAGAATTAGTCATGTCCAATTTGTATGTTCTCTCACACTTCTGTTTCTGGTGATTTTTTATCTAAAAGTCTTACCATTATTCCAGATGATGTAAGATTCCCTTACCTATCTTCGACTATGATGATGCTTCCTGTAGATATTAATCTTGTTGTGTATTTAGCTGTGATAATATTGACTTTTCAGGCTGAGACTCTGATCCGGGAACAGTTAGCAATTAAGGAAACACCAAGTCTGTGGTGTTTCCTTGGTGATGTTACAAGGGACACAATTCACTATGAGAAAGCATGGGAAATGTCCAATCACCGAAGTGCACGGGCCATGAGGTGTCTGGCATATCATTACTTCGCTCATGAAGATGTAAGCTGGGTACCTGTCTGTCAGGCTACAGACTTTTGTATATTAATCTTACCTATGTATTGTTTAATGCAGGGGTGGACAATTTCAAAATTTTCCCACTAGCCTTTTTTCACTAGCCCTGACAGGATTTCTACTAGCCCCACTTTTGTCGACATAAATGCCAATAACCATTGATATTCTCGATTAATTGAAGGTTAATTTTCACACCTGACTTGTTTCAATTACCTGATTTTCAGTTGGTTTTATATTGTCTCTAAGCTGACTATAATAAGGCGTCATGTATTCAACTTCTATTTGTCTGGTTCCTAAGCCCTGATGTCATTATGTACAGATATGCAGTTGGTGTTTATTCATTTATACAAAAGTTTTTTACAAATATAACTACATTTACAATGCTCTACAGGATCTAGAAACACTCAAGCTACCCCAACACGTCAAGGTTGCAGTTTAAAAGCGGTAGATTTTTTTTTTTTTTTTTTAGTGTTTATGTTTTTTTTTATGTACACAAAGTCAACCTGAAATAAAGACATTGTTTGGATATCCAAGCGTATGCATCAAAATACAGAGACGAGATTGTAGAATTTACCATGTTTCTAGAACAATCAGAGACACAGGTGTATAGGCTACATGTATTTTGTACGAGTAGGCTATATATAGCTATTGTATAATTCACTGCCGTCCAATGAAAAACGCTCCTGCGCGAGCTCTATATTTAGCGATGTGGTGAACTTTGATGTTTACAGTCGCAGCGTCAGTGACACGGAACCTCTGACACGAATTGAAGATCGAAATGTTGATCGTTATTTATCAACAGACAACACCACCAGACAATATAAGGCTTTTAATGCAAGTTTATTACAGAATATTTCCACTAGCCCACGGGCCAGTGACTACTGTTGAGCAACTAGCCCGGAGGCGAAAATCACTAGCCCCGGGCGTCGGGCTAGCGGAATTGTCCAGCCCTGTTAATGGAACATATATGTATAATTAAAGAAATCAAATTCTCACAATAACTATCCCTCCCTCCTTCCTTCTGTCCATCCTTAAAACAAGATTTGGTGGACATTTCCTTTTAACTTTTTGACTGATTGTAGACAAATTTTCTTCAAAATAAATTCCTTATGTAGATGTGCAATTTTCATTGAGCCATAATTTGAAGGTTAACTATTCCTGACAGGTGCCATGCTATTTTTGAAGGATAAGTTTCTGTTTATTGTTACAAATATATCTTGATAAAATGATTCTACTTTCTTAAGCAATGACATCTGTCTCGTATAGAAATTTCAATTGTTTTTGAACACAAATATATGATATTACATTAACTGAGTGATGTGATCATTAACTGAGTGATTGTGTGATCATTAATAGAGTGATGATGTGATCATTAACTGAGTGATCATGTGATCATTAACTGAGTGATCATGTGATCATTCACTGAGTGATCATGTGATCATTAACTGAGTGATTGTGTGATCATTAACTGAGTTGTTTGTATGATCATTAGACACAGCGTTTTAAAGATCTAAAGCTGATGTACAATAAACATAGAACACCATGACTAAACCATCTCTATCTGATAATTTGTTTTATTCCAGTACGAGAAGAGTTTGGATTGTTTTGAAAAGTCACTGAAAATCAACTCTCTACAGGTAAGTAAACTTAATAAATTACATTGATTTCAGTAAAATATAAGTATTGTTTTTGTGAAACCATCAAAATAAATCTTCAGACCAATTAGGTAAACATCTTATGTGACCAAATTAGCTGTATAAGTCTTCAGTGATAGACCTGGTCCAGATCTCTTAGTTACTGTGGATATAGTTAGTCCAGATCTCTTAGTTACTGTGGATATAGTTAGTCCAGATCTCTTAGTTACTGTGGATAAAGTCCAGATCTCTTAGTTACTGTGGATATAGTTAGTCCAGATCTCTTAGTTACTGTGGATAAAGTTAGTCCAGGTCTCTTAGTTTCTGTGGATATAGTTAGTCCAGGTCTCTTAGTTACTGTGGATATAGTTAGTCCAGATCTCTTAGTTACTGTGTATAAAGTTAGTACAGATCTCTTAGTTACTGTGGATAAAGTCTAGATCTCTTAGTTACTGTGGATAAAGTCCAGATCTCTTAGTTACTGTGGATATAGTTAGTCCAGATCTCTTAGTTACTGTGTATAAAGTTAGTACAGATCTCTTAGTTACTGTGGATAAAGTTAGTCCAGATCTCTTAGTTACTGTGTATAAAGTTAGTACAGATCTCTTAGTTACTGTGGATAAAGTCTAGATCTCTTAGTTACTGTGGATAAAGTCCAGATCTCTTAGTTACTGTGGATATAGTTAGTCCAGCTCTCTTAGTTACTGTGGATATAGTTAGTCCAGATCTCTTAGTTACTGTGGATATAGTTAGTCCAGATCTCTTAGTTACTGTGGATATAGTTAGTCCAGATCTCTTAGTTACTGTGTATAAAGTTAGTACAGATCTCTTAGTTACTGTGGATAAAGTCTAGATCTCTTAGTTACTGTGGATATAGTTAGTCTAGATCTCTTAGTTACTGTGGATAAAGTCCAGATCTCTTAGTTACTGTGGATATAGTTAGTCTAGATCTCTTAGTTACTGTGGATATAGTTAGTACAGATCTCTTAGTTACTGTGGATATAGTTAGTACAGATCTCTTAGTTACTGTGGATAAAGTTAGTCCAGATCCCTTAGTTACTGTGTATATAACTAGTCCAGATCCCTTAGTTACTGTGTATATAACTAGTCTAGATCTCTTAGTTACTGTGGATATAGTTAGTCTAGATCTCTTAGTTACTGTGGATATAGTTAGTCCAGATCTCTTAGTTACTGTGTATAAAGTTAGTACAGATCTCTTAGTTACTGTGGATAAAGTCCAGATCTCTTAGTTACTGTGGATATAGTTAGTCTAGATCTCTTAGTTACTGTGGATATAGTTAGTACAGATCTCTTAGTTACTGTGGATATAGTTAGTACAGATCTCTTAGTTACTGTGGATAAAGTTAGTCCAGATCCCTTAGTTACTGTGTATATAACTAGTCCAGATCCCTTAGTTACTGTGTATATAACTAGTCTAGATCTCTTAGTTACTGTGGATATAGTTAGTCTAGATCTCTTAGTTACTGTGGATATAGTTAGTCCAGATCTCTTAGTTACTGTGTATAAAGTTAGTACAGATCTCTTAGTTACTGTGGATAAAGTCTAGATCTCTTAGTTACTGTGGATATAGTTAGTCTAGATCTCTTAGTTACTGTGGATAAAGTCCAGATCTCTTAGTTACTGTGGATATAGTTAGTCTAGATCTCTTAGTTACTGTGGATATAGTTAGTCCAGATCTCTTAGTTACTGTGGATATAGTTAGTCCAGATCTCTTAGTTACTGTGTATAAAGTTAGTACAGATCTCTTAGTTACTGTGGATAAAGTCTAGATCTCTTAGTTACTGTGGATATAGTTAGTCTAGATCTCTTAGTTACTGTGGATAAAGTCCAGATCTCTTAGTTACTGTGGATATAGTTAGTCTAGATCTCTTAGTTACTGTGGATATAGTTAGTACAGATCTCTTAGTTACTGTGGATATAGTTAGTACAGATCTCTTAGTTACTGTGGATAAAGTTAGTCCAGATCCCTTAGTTACTGTGTATATAACTAGTCCAGATCCCTTAGTTACTGTGTATATAACTAGTCTAGATCTCTTAGTTACTGTGGATATAGTTAGTCTAGATCTCTTAGTTACTGTGGATATAGTTAGTCCAGATCTCTTAGTTACTGTGTATAAAGTTAGTACAGATCTCTTAGTTACTGTGGATAAAGTCCAGATCTCTTAGTTACTGTGGATATAGTTAGTCTAGATCTCTTAGTTACTGTGGATATAGTTAGTACAGATCTCTTAGTTACTGTGGATATAGTTAGTACAGATCTCTTAGTTACTGTGGATAAAGTTAGTCCAGATCCCTTAGTTACTGTGTATATAACTAGTCCAGATCCCTTAGTTACTGTGTATATAACTAGTCTAGATCTCTTAGTTACTGTGGATATAGTTAGTCTAGATCTCTTAGTTACTGTGGATATAGTTAGTCCAGATCTCTTAGTTACTGTGTATAAAGTTAGTACAGATCTCTTAGTTACTGTGGATAAAGTCTAGATCTCTTAGTTACTGTGGATATAGTTAGTCTAGATCTCTTAGTTACTGTGGATATAGTTAGTCCAGATCTCTTAGTTACTGTGGATATAGTTAGTCCAGATCTCTTAGTTACTGTGGATATAGTTAGTACAGATCTCTTAGTTACTGTGGATATAGTTAGTACAGATCTCTTAGTTACTGTGGATAAAGTTAGTCCAGATCCCTTAGTTACTGTGTATATAACTAGTCCAGATCCCTTAGTTACTGTGTATATAACTAGTCTAGATCTCTTAGTTACTGTGGATATAGTTAGTCTAGATCTCTTTGTTACTGTGGATAAAGTCCAGATCTCTTAGTTACTGTGGATATAGTTAGTCCAGATCTCTTAGTTACTGTGGATATAGTTAGTCCAGATCTCTTAGTTACTGTGGATATAGTTAGTACAGATCTCTTAGTTACTGTGGATAAAGTCCAGATCTCTTAGTTACTGTGGATATAGTTAGTCTAGATCTCTTAGTTACTGTGGATATAGTTAGTCCAGATCTCTTAGTTACTGTGGATAAAGTCCAGATCTCTTAGTTACTGTGGATAAAGTCCAGATCTCTTAGTTACTGTGGATATAGTTAGTCTAGATCTCTTAGTTACTGTGGATATAGTTAGTCTAGATCTCTTAGTTACTGTGGATATAGTTAGTCCAGATCTCTTAGTTACTGTGGATATAGTTAGTACAGATCTCTTAGTTACTGTGGATAAAGTCCAGATCTCTTAGTTACTGTGGATATAGTTAGTCTAGATCTCTTAGTTACTGTGGATATAGTTAGTCCAGATCTCTTAGTTACTGTGGATATAGTTAGTACAGATCTCTTAGTTACTGTGGATAAAGTCCAGATCTCTTAGTTACTGTGGATATAGTTAGTCCAGATCTCTTAGTTACTGTGGATATAGTTAGTCCAGATCTCTTAGTTACTGTGGATATAGTTAGTGCAGATCTCTTAGTTACTGTGGATAAAGTCCAGATCTCTTAGTTACTGTGGATATAGTTAGTCTAGATCTCTTAGTTACTGTGGATAAAGTCCAGATCCCTTAGTTACTGTGGATATAGTTAGTCTAGATCTCTTAGTTACTGTGGATATAGTTAGTCCAGATGTCTTAGTTATTGTGGATATAGTTAGTCTAGATCTCTTAGTTACTGTGGATATAGTTAGTCTAGATCTCTTAGTTACTGTGGATATAGTTAGTCCAGATCTGTTAGTTACTGTGCATATAGTTAGTCCAGATCTGTTAGTTACTGTGGATATAGTTAGTCCAGTTCTCTTAGTTACTGTGGATATAGTTAGTCTAGATCTCTTTTAGTTACTGTGGATAAAGTCCAGATCTCTTAGTTACTGTGGATATAGTTAGTCCAGATCTCTTAGTTACTGTGGATATAGTTAGTCCAGATCTCTGAGTTACTGTGGATATAGTTAGTACAGATCTCTTAGTTACTGTGGATATAGTTAGTCCAGATCTGTTAGTTACTGTGCATATAGTTAGTCCAGATCTGTTAGTTACTGTGGATATAGTTAGTCCAGTTCTCTTAGTTACTGTGGATATAGTTAGTCTAGATCTCTTTTAGTTACTGTGGATAAAGTCCAGATCTCTTAGTTACTGTGGATATAGTTAGTACAGATCTCTTAGTTACTGTGGATATAGTTAGTCCAGATCTCTTAGTTACTGTGGATATAGTTAGTCCAGCTCTCTTAGTTACTGTGGATATAGTTAGTACAGATCTCTTAGTTACTGTGGATATAGTTAGTCCAGCTCTCTTAGTTACTGTGGATATAGTTAGTACAGATCTCTTAGTTACTGTGGATAAAGTCCAGATCTGTTAGTTACTGTGGATATAGTTAGTACAGATCTCTTAGTTACTGTGGATTGATCTGGTCCTCATATTTATATTATTGTTGATTGACCTGGTCTTCATTTCTTTAGTTATCTGTAATGGCCCTTGACCTTGTGTTCTTAAGTGCCCCTGTCTAGATCTTCTGTTATATGAAAACCAACTGTTTCTCTGCACATAGAATTAAAGTCACCTGAACTGACCGTTACTGCATTCTCTGACATTCTGACCAGTGGCCTGTTTATAGTTAAATATCTAGTCACCTCAACTGACCGTTACTGCATGCTCTGACATTCTGACCAGTGGCCTGTTTATAGTTAAATATCTAGTCACCTCAACTGACCGTTACTGCATGCTCTGACATTCTGACCAGTGGCCTGTTTATAGTTAAATATCTAGTCACCTCAACTGACCGTTACTGCATGCTCTGACATTCTGACCAGTGGCCTGTTTATAGTTAAATATCTAGTCACCTCAACTGACCGTTACTGCATGCTCTGACATTCTGACCAGTGGCCTGTTTATAATTAAATATCTACTACTCTTCAAAACAGAGTTGAAGACAGCTGACTATAAACAATGGACCACTCACAATTTTGGTGTTTGCAGTTAGGGTTAGTTTTAGTAGACTAAGAAATTTGGTTTCACTGACTTTGTGTATTTTTTCTGTATAGGTGCCTGTTTGGTTTACCTGTGGATGTACTGCTCTGTCAGCAAAGCAGTATAAAAAAGCTGTACATGCCTTCAAGATGTGTATCAACATTGATTATGATGTAAGTACTGGGACAGAGGAGAAACAGTTAATTCCCTGACTGTATAAGTTCCTTGTAAAAGCTAAAGTGAGGATTTCAGATACAGGATTTTGAGACTAGGGTGAATTGAAATGATCTATAGCATGAAAAACAACAAGTATTACCAACTAATACTTTTTTTCAGGGACTGCTCCTGATTTTGAAAATTTGTGTAATATAACTTGATTGTACAAGAAAGAAACTTTCAACTTAGAAATTTTTCATCATAACAGAGGTAATTGAGTTAATCATGTTCAGTTATTTTGTTATTTTGAAATCAGATACCAACTTTACTTCATTTACAACATGGACCAAGTTGAAAATAGTTCATTAGTTTATATTGGTCTTTATTAGATCAGAGAGAAGGAGGTCTCTTGCCTGCTTAAAGTCATTCATGCCCATGATATGAAACTGACTAAATACAATAGTAGTTATTCAAAAGCTCTATATCTTTACACCATAAACTATAGTTAGTAAGATAGGAAACTTGTGTGTTATCACTTTGGATAAAACTTGTGTGTAATCTCTATGTTTAAAACTTGTGTGCAATCCCTTTGGTTAAAACTTGTGTGTAATCCCTTTGGTTAAAACTTGTGTGTAATCCCTTTGGTTAAAACTTGTGTGTAATCTCTATGTTTAAAACTTGTGTGCAATCCCTTTGGTTAAAACTTGTGTGTAATCCCTTTGGTTAAAACTTGTGTGTAATCCCTTTGGTTAAAACTTGTGTGTAATCTCTATGTTTAAAACTTGTGTGTAATCCCTTTGGTTAAAACTTGTGTGTAATCCCTATGGTTAACACTTGTGTGTAATCCCTTTGCTTAAAACTCGTGTGTAATCCCTTTAGTTAAAAGTTGTGTGTAATCCCTATGTCTTGTACCAGAGTAATGGTTAGGGCATATGTGTGATGGTGTGTGTAAATGAATGGTGTGTTAGGGTGTGTGTGATGGTGTGTGAATATGTGGTGTGTTTGAGTGTGTGTGATAGTGTGTGTGGATATTGTGGTGGGTTAGGGTGTGTGTGATGATGTGTGTGAATATTGTGGTGTGTTAGGGTGTGTGATAGTGTGTGTGAGGGTGTGTGTGTGTGTGTGTGTGTGTGTGTGTGTGTGAATACTGTGGTGTGTTTGGGAGTGTGTGATGGTGTGTGTAAATGCAGGGTGGGTTAGGGTGTGTGTGATGGTGTGTGTGAATACTGTGGTGTGTTTTGGTGTGTGTGATGTGTGTGTGAATACTGTGGTGTGTTTGGGTGTGTGTGATGGTGTGTAAATACTGTGGTATGTTTGAGTGTTCATGATGGTATGTGTAAATGCAGGGTGGGTTAGGGTGTGTGTGATGGTGTGTGTGAATACTGTGGTGTGTTTGGGTGTGTGTGATGGTGTGTGTGAATACTGCGGTGTGTTTGAGTGTGCATGATGGTATGTGTAAATGCACGGTGGGTTAGGGTGTGTGTGATGGTGTGTGTGAATACTGTGGTGTGTTTGGGTGTGTGTGATGGTGTGTAAATACTGTGGTGTGTTTGGGTGTGTGTGATGGTGTGTGTGAATACTGTGGTGGGTTAGGGTGTGTGTGATGGTGTGTGTGAATACTGTGGTGTGTTTGGGTGTGTGTGATGGTGTGTGTGAATACTGTGGTGTGTTTGGGTGTGTGTGATGGTGTGTGTGAATGCTGTGGTGTGTTTGGGTGTGTGTGATGGTGTGTGTGAATACTGTGGTGTGTTTGGGTGTGTGTGATGGTGTGTGTGAATATTGTGGTGTGTTTGGGTGTGTGTGAATACTGTGGTGTGTTTGGGTGTGTGTGATGGTGTGTGTGAATACTGTGGTGTGTTTGGGTGTGTGTGATGGTGTGTGTGAATACTGTGGCATGTTTGGGTGTGTGTGATGGTGTGTGTGAATACTGTGGTGTGTTTGGGTGTGTGTGATGGTGTGTGTGAATACTGTGGTGTGTTTGGGTGTGTGTGATGGTGTGTGTGAATACTGTGGTGTGTGATGGTTTGTGTGAATACTGTGGTGTGTTTGGGTGTGTGTGATGGTGTGTGTGAATACTGTGGTGTGTTTGGGTGTGTGATGGTGTGTGTGAATACTGTGGTGTGTTTGGGTGTGTGTGATGGTGTGTGTGAATACTGTGGCGTGTTTGGGTGTGTGTAATGGTGTGTGTGAATACTGTGGCGTGTTTGGGTGTGTGTGATGGTGTGTGTGAATACTGTGGTGTGTTTGGGTGTGTGTGATGGTGTGTGTGAATACTGTGGTGTGTTTGGGTGTATGTGATGGTGTGTGTGAATACTGTGGTGTGTTTGGGTGTGTGTGATGGTGTGTGTGAATACTGTGGTGTGTTTGGGTGTGTGTGATGGTGTGTGTGAATACTGTGGTGTGTTTGGGTGTGTGTGATGGTGTGTGTGAATACTGTGGTGTGTTTAGGTGTGTGTGATGGTGTGTGTGAATACTGTGGTGTGTTTGGGTGTGTGTGATGGTGTGTGTGAATACTGTGGTGTGTTTGGGTGTGTGTGATGGTGTGTGTGAATACTGTGGTGTGTTTGGGTGTGTGTGATGGTGTGTGTGAATACTGTGGCGTGTTTGGGTGTGTGTATATGATTTATATTTAAATGCTATATTTGAACATAACATTTCAATTAAATTTTTGTGAATATAAAAATAATGAAAGCTAGAATCAAGCCATAAGCAGCTTCTAATGATTTGTTAAGATTTAATGGATGTTGTACAAATTATTTGATTCAGAACTTTGAGGCGTGGAACAATATGGCAACAGCGTACATCCAGCTGAGAGAAAAGTAAGTCTACAGTCAGATTCTGTTGTGTATCTGGTTAAAATCTCGGATTTCCCCACATGTTTTACCAGCTAGCTTGTTAACCTGTGAAACCTGACCAAATCAAACATGATATGCCATCAAGACAAGTATCTTACTTAAAGAATTAAATTTGAAAATGGTAAAAATATCTCATTTCGTTTGGATTTGATTACCTTAAAAGGCATAATGTGAAATTTCTTTTGTTGTAGGGAAAAGGCCCTGAAAGTTTTGAATGAAGCTATCAAGTACAATTATGAGAACTGGAAGTTATGGGAGAATGTCCTCATAGTAAGTACTATACTGAAATGTGTGGACCAGTGCTAACATCTGTTTTAGCTGGTCTGAACAACTGGTGACCTTATGCCATGTCACAATGTCCTTCTGGCCTCTTGGGCTTAATGTTTTCACAGGCACTGATTGTATTTATACGTGTAAGGTAGGTAACTAAGTTGATCTATTTGAATTTTGCTCTTGAGCTGAATAAGTGCTGTTGTGGAAGGTCATTCAGGCCTATTAAAAAAATTATAGATTACACTTGAAAGGTAATAGAGTTTGAATTTTGATTTTACAGGTGGCGACAGATTGTGCTGATGTGGGGAAAGCTATTCAGGCTTATAATAGAATCCTTGATATAAAAGACAAATGGGGAGATGGTCAGGTAGGTAATTTCATGGTATATCAGAGTGTTGTGTACTGTATTCTGTACAGTATTCCTAGCTACATGATATATCAGTGTGTGTTGTATACTATAGTCTGTACAGTATTCCTAGCTACATGATATATCAGTGTGTTGTATACTATAGTCTGTACAGTATTCCTTGCTACATGATATATCAGTGTGTTGTATACTGTATTCTGTACAGTATTCCTAGCTTCATGGTATATCAGTGTGTTGTATACTGTATTCTGTACAGTATTCCTAGCTACATGGTATATCAGTGTATTGTATACTGTATTCTGTACAGTATTCCTAGCTTCACGGTATATCAGTGTGTTGTATACTGTATTCTGTACAGTATTCTTAGCTACATGGTATATATGTGTGTTGTATACTGTATTCTGTACAGTATTCTTAGCTACATGGTATATCAGTGTGTGTTGTATACTGTATTCTGTACAGTATTCCTAGCTACATGGTATATCAATGTGTTGTATACTGTATTCTGTACAGTATTCCTAGCTACATGGTATATCAGTGTGTGTTGTATACTGTATTCTGTATAGTATTCCTAGCTACATGATATATCAGTGTTTGTTGTATACTGTATTCTGTACAGTGTTCCTAGCTACATGGTATATCACTGTGTGTTGTATACTATAGTCTGTACAGTATTCCTAGCTACATGGTATATCACTGTGTGTTGTGTACTATAGTCTGTACAGTATTCCTAGCTACATGGTATATCAGTGTGTGTTGTATACTGTATTCTGTACAGTATTCCTAGCTACATGGTATATCAGTGTGTTGTATACTGTATTCTGTATAGTATTCCTAGCTGCATGGTATATCAGTGTGTTGTATACTGTATTCTGTACAGTATTCCTAGCTACATGGTATATCAGTGTGTGTTGTGTACTGTATTCTGTACAGTATTCCTAGCTACATGGTATATCAGTGTGTGTTGTGTACTGTATTCTGTACAGTATTCCTAGCTACATGGTATATCAGTGTGTGTTGTGTACTGTATTCTGTACAGTATTCCTAGCTACATGGTATATCAGTGTGTGTTGTGTACTGTATTCTGTACAGTATTCCTAGCTACATGGTATATCAGTGTGTGTTGTGTAATGTATTCTGTACAGTATTCCTAGCTACATGGTATATCAGTGTGTGTTGTGTACTGTATTCTGTACAGTATTCCTAGCTACATAATATATCAGTGTGTTGTATACTATAGTCTGTACAGTATTCCTAGCTACATGATATATCACTGTGTGTTGTGTACTATAGTCTTTACAGTATTCCTCGCTACATGATATATCACTGTGTGTTGTATACTGTATTCTGTACAGTATTCCTAGCTACATGATATATCATTGTGTTGTATACTATAGTCTGTACAGTATTCCTAGCTACATGGTATATCACTGTGTGTTGTGTACTATAGTCTGTACAGTATTCCTAGCTACATGGTATATCAGTGTGTGTTGTATACTGTATTCTGTATAGTATTCCTAGCTACATGATATATCAGTGTGTTGTATACTATAGTCTGTACAGTATTCCTAGCTACATGGTATATCACTGTGTGTTGTGTACTATAGTCTGTACAGTATTCCTAGCTACATGGTATATCACTGTGTGTTGTGTACTATAGTCTGTACAGTATTCCTAGCTACATGGTATATATGTGTGTTGTATACTGTATTCTGTACAGTATTCCTAGCTACATGGTATATCAGTGTGTTGTATACTGTATTCTGTACAGTATTCCTAGCTACATGGTATATCAGTGTGTGTTGTGTACAGTATTCTGTACAGTATTCCTAGCTACATGGTATATCAGTGTGTTGTATACTGTATTCTGTATAGTATTCCTAGCTACATGGTATATCAGTGTGTGTTGTGTACAGTATTCTGTACAGTATTCCTAGCTACATGGTATATCAGTGTGTTGTATACTGTATTCTGTACAGTATTCCTAGCTACATGGTATAACAGTGTGTGTTGTATACTGTATTCTGTACAGTATTCCTAGCTTCATGGTATATCAGTGTGTTGTATACTGTATTCTGTACAGTATTGCTAGCTATCAAAGTGTTACAGTGATGTACCCCCACTCTACATTTCTACAGCATTTAGTTAACAAATGTCTACTGTTTATAATATCAAGTTGGATGCTTATAGATATACCTGTTGGTTCTGTTATTGTTTACCATTTTCTCATTTGGGAACCAAGCACTACTGACTTGGATTGACCAAGATTTACATAGCAGGTGTCATTGATGAAGCAGAAGACAATTTCTCTTCCAGAACACCTGGTCTTATTCTCCTTCTACTTCTTCAGGAGTCTCCATGTAAATCTTTCTATTTTACCCTAAAAAAATTGAGTTTAGATGATGGTTCTGTTGACATGTTAGTGTTTTTGTGTTTGTTTTTGTTCATCTTGGCATTAGTTTTCAGCATTCAGGATGCCCTTGGCCATAGTTATAACATATGATGGCTATTGTAGGTTCTGAGTACTTTGGTCCTTGCCGTGACTGGAAACTATTCAGATATTGATGGACAGCCAGCTTCCATACACATACCCAAGCTACTGACTCTGTTTGGTAGAACTACTTCTAAGGTAGGCAGAATTTTAATTCTTTAAAAAATGTGTCTTACTAAATATGAAAAATTTAATCATTTATATTTACAAGTATTATTTACAGATATTTGTAAATACAAATTTATCAGAAGTTTTATACAATTGTTGCAAGGTATCCAGTTTTGTTGAAATATACTGGTAGTTTATTACTATACAATTATTTATGGCCATGCGATTTAATATGCTCTATACCACCCTGGTCTAATTATGTTTAAAATGTGTTAAGATTAATCACTGTTTCTAAAACTTGTTCATCTTGTCAATATATGGCATTAAATGTAAAAACCAACGAATTGTTGTTTGATATTAAAACACATTTGATCTGACTTTAGGTTTCTAACAATGCTGAGATCTGGAAAGCTTACGCCAAACTGACAGCATTCAGCATGGAAGGGAAAGAAGAGAAACATGAAGTGGTAATACATACACACAGCATTTGTTCATGGTTTCCATGGTTTCCATGGTTTCATTGTCCACTGAAAAACACAGAGTCTGTCCATTATCACCCATGCTTTCTTTTCTACAGTATCTTAAATTAAATCTAAAATTTTATATCATGATGCACTTTCATAATGAGTATGTGAAATAGGAATTTAAAAGATAATGAGTCTTGTAAAGCAAGTTAAACCACAGTGGCTTGTCAAATTCTTATTTGAAATATGCCATTGTGCTTCAATATTTACAAGAACGTGAATCATGTAATGAAAAATTCTATTATAATTTTTGTCATTATATTTAATGTAACAAAGAATTTTTTATATTCATTATCAGAACTGATAACCAACTTACAAAATGAATCTGAATATCACAATACAGGTATTACAGCACCTCCAGAAGGCCTACAGGTGTGTGACCCAGGACCCAAAGTGGGAACAAAACACTGACAAGTGTAAAGAGATTGCTGACCAGGCACTAGAACTGGCACAAAGTAGGTTTAAGTCTCCAATAAAGGTCTTCATGTAACACTTTCTTTAAGTCTCTAATACAGGCCTTCATGTAACACTTTCACTAAGTCTCCAATACAGGTCTTCATATAACACTTTCACTAAGTCTCCAATACAGGCCTTCATATAACACTTTCACTAAGTCTCCAATACAGGCCTTCATGTAACACTTTCACTAAGTTTCCAATACAGGTCTTCATGTAACACTTTCACTAAGTCTCCAATACAGGCCTTCATGTAACACTTTCACTAAGTCTCCAATACAGGCCTTCATGTAACACTTTCACTAAGTCTCCAATACAGGCCTTCATGTAACACTTTCACTAAGTCTCCAATACAGGCCTTCATGTAACACTTTCACTAAGTCTCCAATACAGGCCTTCATGTAACACTTTCACTAAGTCTCCAATACAGGCCTTCATGTAACACTTTCACTAAGTCTCCAATACAGGCCTTCATGTAACACTTTCACTAAGTCTCCAATACAGGCCTTCATATAACACTTTCACTAAGTCTCCAATACAGGCCTTCATGTAACACTTTCTTTAAGTCTCCAATACAGGTCTTCATGTAACACTTTCACTAAGTCTCCAATACAGGCCTTCATGTAACACTTTCTTTAAGTCTCTAATACAGGTCTTCATATAACACTTTCACTAAGTCTCCAATACAGGCCTTCATGTAACACTTTCTTTAAGTCTCCAATACAGGTCTTCATGTAACACTTTCTTTAAGTCTCCAATACAGGCCTTCATGTAACACTTTCTTTAAGTCTCTAATACAGGTCTTCATATAACACTTTCATTAAGTCTCCAATACAGGCCTTCATGTAACACTTTCTTTAAGTCTCTAATACAGGTCTTCATGTAACACTTTCACTAAGTCTCCAATACAGGCCTTCATATAACACTTTCTTTAAGTCTCCAATACAGGTCTTCATATAACACTTTCACTAAGTCTCCAATACAGGCCTTCATGTAACACTTTCTTTAAGTCTCTAATACAGGTCTTCATGTAACACTTTCACTAAGTCTCCAATACAGGCCTTCATATAACACTTTCACTAAGTCTCCAATACAGGCCTTCATGTAACACTTTCTTTAAGTCTCTAATACAGGTCTTCATATAACACTTTCACTAAGTCTCCAATACAGGCCTTCATGTAACACTTTCACTAAGTCTCCAATACAGGCCTTCATATAACACTTTCACTAAGTCTCCAATACAGGCCTTCATGTAACACTTTCTTTAAGTCTCTAATACAGGTCTTCATATAACACTTTCACTAAGTCTCCAATACAGGCCTTCATGTAACACTTTCTTTAAGTCTCTAATACAGGTCTTCATATAACACTTTCACTAAGTCTCCAATACAGGCCTTCATGTAACACTTTCACTAAGTCTCCAATACAGGTCTTCATGTAACACTTTCTTTAAGTCTCTAATACAGGTCTTCATATAACACTTTCACTAAGTCTCCAATACAGGTCTTCATATAACACTTTCACTAAGTCTCCAATACAGGCCTTCATGTAACACTTTCACTAAGTCTCCAATACAGGCCTTCATATAACACTTTCACTAAGTCTCCAATACAGGCCTTCATATAACACTTTCACTAAGTCTCCAATACAGGCCTTCATATAACACTTTCACTAAGTCTCCAATACAGGCCTTCATGTAACACTTTCTTTAAGTCTCTAATACAGGTCTTCATATAACACTTTCACTAAGTCTCCAATACAGGCCTTCATGTAACACCTTTATTAAATCTCCAATACAGGTCTGCATGTAACACTTTCACTAAGTCTCCAATACAGGTCTTCATGTAACACTTTCTTTAAGTCTCTAATACAGGTCTTCATATAACACTTTCACTAAGTCTCCAATACAGGTCTTCATATAACACTTTCACTAAGTCTCCAATACAGGCCTTCATATAACACTTTCACTAAGTCTCCAATACAGGCCTTCATATAACACTTTCACTAAGTCTCCAATACAGGTCTTCATATAACACTTTCACTAAGTCTCTAATACAGGTCTTCATATAACATTTTCACTAAGTCTCCAATACAGGCCTTCATATAACACTTTCACTAAGTCTCCAATACAGGTCTTCATATAACACTTTCACTAAGTCTCCAATACAGGCCTTCATGTAACACTTTCTTTAAGTCTCCAATACAGGCCTTCATGTAACACTTTCTTTAAGTCTCCAATACAGGTCTTCATATAACACTTTCACTAAGTCTCCAATACAGGCCTTCATATAACACTTTCACTAAGTCTCCAATACAGGCCTTCATATAACACTTTCACTAAGTCTCCAATACAGGTCTTCATATAACACTTTCACTAAGTCTCTAATACAGGTCTTCATATAACACTTTCTTTAAGTCTCCAATACAGGTCTTCATATAACACTTTCACTAAGTCTCCAATACAGGCCTTCATGTAACACTTTCACTAAGTCTCCAATACAGGCCTTCATATAACACTTTCACTAAGTCTCCAATACAGGCCTTCATATAACACTTTCACTAAGTCTCCAATACAGGCCTTCATGTAACACTTTCTTTAAGTCTCCAATACAGGCCTTCATGTAACACTTTCTTTAAGTCTCCAATACAGGTCTTCATATAACACTTTCACTAAGTCTCCAATACAGGCCTTCATATAACACTTTCACTAAGTCTCCAATACAGGCCTTCATATAACACTTTCACTAAGTCTCCAATACAGGTCTTCATATAACACTTTCACTAAGTCTCTAATACAGGCCTTCATATAACACTTTCACTAAGTCTCTAATACAGGCCTTCATATAACAGTTTCACTAAGTCTCTAATACAGGCCTTCATATAACACTTTCACTAAGTCTCTAATACAGGCCTTCATATAACACTTTCACTAAGTCTCTAATACAGGCCTTCATATAACACTTTCACTAAGTCTCCAATACAGGTCTGCATGTAATACTTTCACTAAGTCTCCAATACAGGTCTTTACCAAGCGTGGCCAGCTTACAAAGACATTGACACAACGTTACAGAGCATGACCAGCTTACAAAGACATTGACACAACTTTACAGAGCATGACCTGTATACAAAGACATTGACACAACTTTACAGAGCATGGCCAGCTTACAAAGACATTGACACAACATTACAGAGCATGGTCAGCTTACAAAGACATTGACACAACATTACAGAGCATGGCCAGCTTACAAAGACATCGACACAACATTACAGAGCATGGTCAGCTTACAAAGACGTCAACACAACTTTACAGAGAATGATGAGCTGGCAAATATATTGACACAGTGGACAGAATATTGTTATCTTGAAATCAGACAGCATTATTTCTGGTCACTGATACAAGTGTTGTTGGATGGTCCTGTGTACTTTATTACTTTGATGACAAGTTAGAAGTTTTCTGATTCTTGTGATCAGAAATAAAATGATTAAGCTGTCTGATACTCGCCCATCACTCATTATCAATATCTATATAGGATATGAAGAATGTAGCAGCAAAGCACAGAACTCCACTAAAGCTGTTCAAATGTTGTCCTCAGCAAAACTCATGGTCAAAGGAGTCCTGACAAAAATCAAGGTAACGATAAGGCATGCTTCAGGCAAGATCGGATTAACCTAAACCAATAAACAAACATGTCACATTATCAAGGAAGGAAGCTAAAGGAATCAGTTTTACAAGAAGATCATTTTATACATGAAATAGATCAATGAATTTCAATGTTTTTATTATCATCCTTGATGACAAAAGGAAAAATTACCTCATAGTCTCTATGTGTTTGGTTCCTGAGATGATACAGGCAGTGGACTTCAGGTTAGGCATTAACTTCAGAAATTTCCTCTATATCTTTTCTTGATTAATTCATTAGAAAATATATTTAAACTTTATATTGATAATAACTAATATATGCAAGAGCTTTGTAATACTTTAGATCTTGTGGGTTTTTATTTTATCAGAAACAACATACAGACGAGATATCTGAAGTACTAGATGATGCAATAGTGGAACACTGCACCAAATTGGAAGTTAAACTACAAGAAATAATTTCCAAAATTACAGAACTGAAAGGAAGTTGATCTGGCTAATAAAGAACCTTGAATACCAACTATAGAAGCAAATTTTTGAGTCGTGTTTTTTGTATATCTACAAATCTATATGTTATAACTTTGTTAAAATGTTCAAGTAACCATGGCAACAGAACAGCCTTACATTTATAGACTTATTTACAATATTATCAGGCCCAGCACTTTAGTGAAGTTTATTTTCATTTTAGCATTGCTTATTTCATTTTCACCATATCCTTATTGGTTCTTCAAATATCATTTCCCCTGTTCTATGATCATATTCCTTGTGGAACCCTATACTTTCTCTTCATTATTTGCAGGCATATTTGAAGAAAGAACATGAAATTGTTCAAAAAAAGTAATTCTTGTCAGAAGTACATTGAACAGATTGCTCACCTGTCTGAAAGTTTCTATAAAAAAATCATTCACATTGTTTTTTTTGGAAAAATTGTACATATTGCCCTAGACACGTGGTTATTATCAATGATGGACACGTGGTTATTATCACTGATGGACACGTGGTTATTATCATGGTTAGACACGTGGTTATTATCAGTGATAGACACGTGGTTATTATCACTGTAAAGCACATGGTTATTATCACGGATAGACACGTGGTTATTATCACTGATAGACACGTGGTTATTATCACTGATAGACACGTGGTTATTATCACTGATGGACACGTGGTTATTATCACGGATAGACACGAGGTTATTATCAGTGATAGACACGTGGTTATTATCACTGATGGACACGTGGTTATTATCAGTGATAGACACGTGGTTATTATCACGGATAGACACGTGGTTATTATCAGTGATAGACACGTTATTATCACGGATAGACACGTGGTTATTATCACTGATAGACACGTGGTTATTATCACTGATGGACACGTGGTTATTATCAGTGATAGACACGTGGTTATTATCAGTGATAGACACGTGGTTATTATCAGTGATAGACACGAGGTTATTATCACTGATAGACACGTGGTTATTATCACGGATAAACACGTGGTTATTATCACGGTTAGACACGTGGTTATTATCACTGATAGACACGTGGTTATTATCACGGATAGACACGTGGTTATTATCACTGATAGACACGTGGTTATTATCAGGGATAAACACGTGGTTATTATCACGGTTAGACACGTGGTTATTATCACTGATAGACACGTGGTTATTATCACTGATAGACACGTGGTTATTATCAGTGATAGACACGTGGTTATTATCAGTGATAGACACGTGGTTATTATCACTGATAGACACGTAGTTATTATCACGGATAGACACGTGGTTATTATCTAGGACATAATTCAATGATTACACATACAGTCTTTAGGTTTTTTTAGTTTTAATTTTATTGAGAGTAGTAATGTATAAAAGAGTTCCCACAAAAGACATTAAGTTATAATTGTACTGACAGTAGAAGTGTATAAAAGAGTTCCCACTAAAGACATTGGTTTAGTTATAATTGTACTGACAGTAGAAGTGTATGAAAGAGTTCCCACTAAAGACATTAAGTTATAATTGTACTGACAGTAGAAGTGTATAAAAGAGTTCCCACAAAAGACATTAAGTTATAGTTGTACTGACAGTAGAAATGTATGAAAGAGTTCCCACTAAAGACATTGATTTAGTTATAATTGTACTGACAGTAGAAGTGTATGAAAGAGTTCCCACTAAAGACATTAAGTTATAATTGTACTGACAGTAGAAGTGTATGAAAGAGTTCCCACTAAAGACATTAAGTTATAATTGTACTGACAGTAGAAGTGTATAAAAGAGTTCCCACTAAAGACATTGGTTTAGTTATAATTGTACTGACAGTAGAAGTGTATGAAAGAGTTCCCACTAAAGACATTAAGTTATAATTGTACTGACAGTAGAAGTGTATAAAAGAGTTCCCACAAAAGACATTAAGTTATAGTTGTACTGACAGTAGAAATGTATGAAAGAGCTCCCACTAAAGACATTGATTTAGTTATAATTGTACTGACAGTAGAAGTGTATGAAAGAGTTCCCACTAAAGACATTGATTTAGTTATAATTGTACTGACAGTAGAAGTGTATAAAAGAGTTCCCACTAAAGACATTGGTTTAGTTATAATTGTACTGACAGTAGAAGTGTATGAAAGAGTTCCCACTAAAGACATTGATTTAGTTATAATTGTACTGACAGTAGAAGTATATGAAAAAGTTCCCACTAAAGACGTTGATATACTTATAATTGTACTAACAGTAGGAGTGTATGAAAGAGTTCCCACTAAAGACATTAAGTTATAATTGTACTGACAGTAGAAGTGTATGAAAAAGTTCCCACTAAAGACATTGGTTTAGTTATAATTGTACTGACAGTAGAAGTGTATGAAAGAGTTCCCACTAAAGACATTGGTTTAGTTATAATTGTACTGACAGTAGAAGTGTATGAAAAAGTTCCCACTAAAGACATTGATTTAGTTATAATTGTACTGACAGTAGAAGTGTATGAAAGAGTTCCCATTAAAGACATTGGTTTAGTTATAATTGTACTGACAGTAGAAGTGTATGAAAGAGTTCCCACTAAAGACATTAAGTTATAATTGTACTGACAGTAGAAGATTTGTGTTTAACACATATATTTGTTAAGATCTATTGCTCACACGATATCAAATGATTCCATGTATCTATAACACAACAGCGATAAAGCAATTCTTAATAGTTTCTTTACTTCATCAGAAAAGTCCCTAGCTGGAAATCTTGTAGGGACAGCCCAGTTATTTCTAAGATAAACATAAATCGGCGCTTTTCCTGTTCCAGAGTTGGAATCTTCTAATGAATTTATTGAAATATATTATTACTGAGGTTTTTGCTTCTGTAGTAGCGGTTTTATATGTCCATGTAATGTAGTAAACTCTACGGAGTGTAGGTGGTGGGCGTAGTACTTATAGTGTATAAGTTGTGACATAGTCAGGAAATAATATATATATATGATATGAGTATATGTAGTAAGAAGTAATATCTGTATGACGTACTATCAACCTGTTACACACTTTAATTTAATGTAAACATTGATTTCATTGATCGCCACAGTAGACTATAAATTACCCAGCCGTGAAGTGCGTCAGTGAGCAGTGTGTGACATTGAGGAAAAGTGACAGCACCTTCGCCTCCGATCTATCAACTTTATAGTCATTTCTGATGTGGAAAAACACAGTAAAAGTTTCGTTAGTGACAATGCTTTTGACAAGATGGCCGCAACATGATGGAGACTTTAGACAAATGTTAGGCAATAAATGTGTGTTTAGAACTAAATGTACTATTTTAGAGAAAGTGGTAATTTTTTAGTGAGAGAAAATATGGTCTGACCAGAAACAACCAGTTGCCAGTGAATAGAACAGTTGACATTGGTGACAAAAGGATGAGAATCTTAAGGAAATATGATAGATACAAATATTCCACAAAGAGTTCACAAGATCTCACGCGATGCCGGTACTGTCTGCAGTCAGAATATCAATGCTTTACCGAACGAACTCCTTGCTCGAATATTTTGGTACCTTCACCCAATTAAAGATACACTTCCGGTTCTTGCATTTGTCTGTAGAAAATGGCGAGCTCTTCTCTTGAATAATGGTTCATTATGGCGTGTGATACACGTTGACCCTCGAGGTTATGTCTACTGGCATTTCAGTATGTTGTGTTGCATTTTTCGCCTCTTTGGTCAACACATACAAAAGCTAACCTGGACTGACCACTCGCCAGTGTACGAACGCGTGTTTTCTTTTATTCCACGTTTAGGAAACCTGAAATACCTTAGACTGCCAATTCTGTGGACTAAGTCGGTAGTTGAGACTCTGTCTTCTCTAACACGACTAGAGAATATACAGATCAATGGTGGATTCGCTCTAACAGATGATGAACTGGAAATGATTGGAAAATGCTTCCCAAATTTACTCGAAATTTCTTTAAATGCGTGTTGGCGACTGACTGCCAATGGTATAGAAAATCTAGTGGACAGCTTGACCTGCCTTCAAACATTGAAGTTAAAGATAAATTCGGGTCTCCGCCTGAGCGACCCCAGGAGTGGACAGGCCATACAAAGAGGATATGACATCACAAAGTGTGTCATAAATGACGTCAGATTCACGCTCGTGCGTGTCTTGTGTTTGCACTTTGTACCAATTGAAATGGAGGAACTTTGGGATTTGGTTAAGAGACTGAAACGCCTCACGAAACTCAGCATCAGCAACTGTGAGGTGGGTAGACTAGTTCTACTTGTAATCTATTTTTAATACTTAATTTACAACGGTTGTTTTCGAAATGAAAGAAAAGTTTGTTTACTTGTTTGTATTTCTTGTTGTTGTTGTTGTTATGTTTTCATCGGATAAAGGATTTCAGGCAAGTGAGTAATATAAGAGTCATTTTCAGATATCGATTTTAATTTTATCTTATTGTCAAAGTGCATTTAAATTTGCCATGACGAACATGGGCGACATGCAGTACGCAACATATGGTAGGTGTAACATTACACCACAAGCTGTGTCCATATTACCACGTACTCTTGCAGCAATTCTACCAGGGACAATTGTTTTCTAATCACGTAAAATACACAACCAATGAGTCGATAATAAGAGATGATCATTTGATAATATAATAAAGATAAATATGTCTTTCATTTCTTATAACGTTTTTTTATAAGATTATCACCTTCAGGAAAAATGAACCTTTTGAAGTTGAGGATTAAGTCACAAATTACAGATATGAAATTTGTATGAGAATTCCAGGGCGCGGGTAGATGTTAAAAATGATGAGGTAGAAAAACAAACTTGAATAACAGGAATGTTTGATTTGATCTCATGATTTCAGCTAGTTTATTTCACACCTATTTCCTTACTTCTCGTTATCGGTGTTATTTGTGTTGTGGGGTAAAGCATTTCTTCTATGCTCGGATTAGTATTCACATGTTAGAGGTAAAAAAACATACACTGTTTAACATACATCAGTTAAGATATTGCCAGCTGTTGCACTGCTTTACCTACTTGACCATCTGGTCATATGATGTAACATATACGTTTGCTAGGGATAGCAGCATCCATGTGTGAAGTGTGCATTAAAATATTAATCCCGAACATCTAGAAAGATTTTTTTTACGAAATTTGATTTTTACCTTAACGCAACCATTAGGAGCAGCTTTCCACTAAACTATTGTTAATTTAGTGTATGGAAGCATCCCTGTTTCCCCAAATCATGTATAGAATACCCACAGGTGATTTCAAAGGACTCGTCAGTGATGCTAAGGACCTTGATATGAAAACCTAAAAGTTGAGTGAGGAAAATTTAAATACATCACGACAAAGGTTAGAAACTAGATAGGAAGTTGCATCAAAAAATGGGTGGGGTGGGGGATAGGGGGTGGGGGCATGAACCGATGTCCATGTTAGTCCCGTCCGTCCTGACAATTCAATGTCCATGTTAGTCCCGTCCGTCCTGACAATTCAATGTCCATCGCCCAACAACTTCATTTTTTGACAGATTTTGGTCAAACTTTATACAATAGTAAATCAGGAGTTTATTTTGGATATCGTTGCATTTTAGGGGTCAAGGTCAAGGCAAAGACTACCATTGTTATACATATAGAATCATCAATTGATTCATTTTACTAAAATAGCGACTTTACAATTTCGTAGAAATTGATTAAACTTAGCGCAACGATCAATTATGAGTATACTTTGGACATTGTTGAGTTTCAGGGGTTCGCAGTCAAGGCCAAGGTCAGTTGTGCTTTATATATAGAAAATGTTAACTAATTCAAGTTAAACACTTCTTTTGTGGATTTTGGTCAAGCTTTATCACCGTATCCAATCGCCACATCGGGCTTTCCAAAATGTATATACAAATCGAAAGTTATGTAAAAAAACGGACTTCAATTTGTTCTAAATATGATCATTTAGTACTTTTCTTAAAGTGCACTGACCGCAGCATATATCGAGTATCTTTTGATCCTATAATCGAGGTTGAATTCTGTCTGGTTAATCCAGAAGACTCGACAAAGATTTACCAGTCTGAACAAAACGTTCATATTTCACTTTTGAATCTCGCTTTCCTCTCATTTCTAAAAAAACATCTTTACAATCCAATGTTGGGTATGACGACTTGTGCATATACAACACACCTAAATAGAATTTCTGTTTTTTCGGGTGTAGAATTTCAGATCAATGATTATTTATCTTCGATATTTCGTGTGGACACCGGGGTTTCTAAAAATGTAAACCAATGGGTGTTAAAACACAACTTACATTTTACATTTTCTGAGAACCATTGACACTATTCAAATGAAATGCAGTTTACGACAAACCTCGCGGACTTAAGTCTGCCAGCGCGTGTAGTAATAGTAATAGCTCTTAATACTATGATGTATGTAAATATGTTTTATCACTGTTTACACACATGTATTAAAGGCCATTGATTTCTTTATTTGTAGCATCTTCACGGAGTACGATTGGTTTCCAGTTCTCTACAGAAATGTTACCTGTTCAATCTATGGAATGTTCTGTTTGTATGTGTAAGATCTCCTACCTTAAAACTGTTAACAATAGACCATGGCATGGATACTATGGAACATGTTGAATTGGATTCGGACTCGCTGAGACGTGTTACAATCGACGGGTGTAACGTAATGCGCACTCTCCGTGTGACAAGCAGACGACTGACCTTCATGGAGTTATCCAAGTGTGAGAATATTGACATGAGGTCATTTCACGAAACCCTCAGGAATAATACGTCACTGCTCTCTCTCCGGCTTGGTTGCATTTCACAAGACAGCTTGACTTTTGACGAGATGATGATTCCAAATTTACAAGAATTATGTCTTCTTGGGGACTTCTCTTGTGAAACTTTGCACATCAGAAGTCCAACGCTTAGATTACTACATACGGAATCTGAGAACGACATCATAACGCTGAATCACATGTACATCACTGCCAACCACTTGTGTAAAATAGCACTGACAGGAATGCCTGCCCTGAAAACTCTCACAATCCAGTGTGTCAGTGTTGACTTTATAGAGATGAATCTATGCAGTGATGATCGGCTCAACCTTGAATCCTGTGTCATCCACGCGCTGAACGCTATCGGGTTTCTTCGTTTATTTGATTGTAAAGTGAATCTTCTATCAGTATGTAGCCCATTGGTGAGAACCATTGTTCTATATAGGTGTCAAATGACAGATTACGTCCTTCAAATGGCTTTAAATGGATGTCTCAACATAGCGTATCTAAATCTCGAAAAGTGTCGCGAGATCAGCAAAGTGTCTGTTCATTCTCCTTTAATGAAGTTTTTGAATTTGTTTGGATGTGTCGATATACATAGACTTGATCTGGAATATTGTCCACAGCTAATGGCCCTGAATGTCGGCCAATGTACAAACCTGCGACTGTTCATACGTGGTATAGAGCAAAAACTCAGTTCTCTATGTCGTACGTATGACATAGTTCCCCCTCAGGAAACAGTCAGGTGGAGTCACGACTTTCCTCCTAAACCATATATCTGTGAAATACCAAACAGTCACATTCAGTAAACATGATACAAGATATACCAAAAGATGTAAAAGAGAGTCTATTTCTGAATGTTTTTCAGTTGTATGATAATCTGCAATAGCGCACAAATTGTAAATATTTTTTGTAGTGTTAGCGTCACTTTTAAAGTTTATACATCTTATACCGGGGCTGTTTTATATGTTCATATTCCAAGCTGAGAACATTGATAGAGTACAGTAATGGTTAGTACAATTTGTATGCTAAAAGTGTTTTATAAGATCGTGTCAGATGTGCTCATTAAGTATAAGATCGTGTCAAATGTGGTCATTAAGAGTGAGTGTGTCACATTCATGATATCACGAAATGCGCCCAAGTCCGAGCTCCCTTCTTTGTACCTATTTACCGGATCAAGTCCGAGCTCCCTTCTTTGTACCTATTTACCGGATCAAGTCCGAGCTCCCTTCTTTGTACCGATTTACCGGATCAAGTCCGAGCTCCCTTCTTTGTACCGATTTACCGGATCAAGTCCGAGCTCCCTTCTTTGTACCGATTTACCGGATCAAGTCCGAGCTCCGGTCCGAGCTCCCTTCTTTGTACCGATTTACCGGATCAAGTCCGAGCTCCCTTCTTTGTACCGATTTACCGGATCAAGTCCGAGCTCCGGTCCGAGCTCCCTTCTTTGTACCGATTTACCGGATCAAGTCCGAGCTCCCTTCTTTGTACCGATTTACCGGATCAAGTCCGAGCTCCCTTCTTTGTACCGATTTACCGGATCAAGTCCGAGCTCCGGTCCGAGCTCCCTTCTTTGTACCGATTTACCGGATCAAGTCCGAGCTCCCTTCTTTGTACCGATTTACCGGATCAAGTCCGAGCTCCCTTCTTTGTACCTATTTACCGGATCAAGTCCGAGCTCCCTTCTTTGTACCTATTTACCGGATCTGACAACATAATTTAACATTAGCTTAGACATTCAGATATTCTCCCGATTGACCGGCAAGGCACCGTATTGTATGTCACGTCACAGTTAATTTCAAACTAATATCACCCGTTGGCTGTCATTACACGAGCTTCCGTGTCATCTAGATGAGTAAAGATGGGGTATTTAAATGTGAACACTGCTCTAGGATGTATAATGTGTATGTGTAATACGGGGCTTCATTTCCCTGTGTGTTTTTAACATTGCTGTATTTCAAAAACGTAACTTAGACATCTGGTTGTATGTCAAACTGTATAAATGTAAGTAAAAACGAGACTTTTTACTGCTGTTTGCACCAATGAACATCATCAATACTTTTGACGAGAGGGACCATAGACCTTCACACATCTATGACCAAGTTTAAACAAAGCGTGGCCGAATTACAGTCCATTGTTACCATCTTGTGTATGCTTTGATCTGTAATCTGATCCCACCACACCATTTTCGTCCTGAGTGTACGTAAGATCATCGAACAGCCGAAAAAAGTTGGTCGCTTTCCTAGAATCTCGTACACTATGTCAGTGGTAGTACGCTCCACATTGGTCATTCGTCGGATGAAGGTGATCTATCAGAACCAGTCTCTGCTACTATGCTCCAAAAGTGCCAAGGTTGGGTGGTGAGGGGAAAGCCGGAGTTCCCAGAGAAAAACCACCGACCTGCGGCCTGGCGATTGGGTCACGTAGGCCTCAAGCTCGCCATCCTATGGTGGCTGATTAGTGCCATTTTCGCTTTTTCGTAGTTCAAAACGCAAAAAAAAAGCGAAATTTAAGCATTTCATTTTCGCTTTTTCGTGTATTTCTGAAAGCACGAAAAGCGAAAAAGGGACAGCTTAAACTGCGCTTTTTCGCGTTACATTTTGGCGCTTTTTCGCTTTTTTGCGTGGCGCTTTTTCGCTTTTTCGCGTTCGTTTTCGTCGCAGATGGAGGACGCTATTTTTCATGGTATGTAACTTATCAACTCGCGTGTTTCTTGCTCAGTCTTGTTTTCTGATGTTTGTTTTCTTATCTTTTAGTGAGCGGGAGATTATTCTTTACATAGAAGCCTATTTTGGTAAAGTTTAACCAAATCAAAGCGCTCAGTGTGCTCGAAGTCGGTGTAATAGAAAACTGTTCCAGTATCAGCTCATTTCCTGCTTCAGATAAGGAATATGGTAATTCATCAACACTTATCATCAATAAACAAGTGAATAACTGATTTTTATCAATCGATAAATGTATCATCAACTCACGTTTACATTTACTAAAGGAAACTTCCTAAATTTTCACCTCCAGATATGGAAGAGCAAACGGAAGGCATTATCTTCAACTTTTGCAAATGGCAAATGATATAAGATACTGCGCATGTTTTCCGGAAGACCAAAAAGCGCCACGCGAAAAAGCGAAAAAGCGCTGAAATTTAAAGCGAAAAAGCTTTTTCGCATTTTTCGCATTTTTCGCCCGCACTCTTTCCTTTTTCGCTTTTTCCTGCTGTAAGAAATACGCGAAAAAGCGAAAATGAAATGCTTAAATTTCTTTTTTTTTTTCGTTTTGAACTGCGAAAAAGTGAAAATGGCACTAATTAGTCACCATACGAAACAGGTGGAGGGCTAGTGTCAATGCGGTTTTTTTACATTAGAAAGGGCATCTAAGAATTCTATTAAAGGGATTAAGGTTTAATACATAGCTCTGGGTGACCAATTAATTTAAACTATCGTACAGATTTCTTGACCTTCCGGAGGTCGTCGGTGATGATAGACCAAAGGTATGGAAATCTAGGTGCGTTTCGGAAAGTCAAAATCGGTGCACTCGCCGCGTAGATCTTTTCATGATATTTTTGTTTATATCGAAAATACTTTATCACTCCTGTTTTTTTTTCTACAGAATTCAAGCTTGGTTTTTGTTGTTGTCACTAGATGTGTATCAGATGAACATTGTATTGCCACAATCGAACTTCATACAAGGACTTGTTATACAAATTGTGTGTGTTAACATGTATGTATTATAGCTCATTAGATAATAGACAAACGTGGAGAACATGTTAGGTGAAACACGTGCATGACATGTTAGATGGAACACGTGCATGACATGTTAGATGGAACACGTGCATGACATGTTAGATGGAACACGTGCATGGCATGTTAGATGGAACACGTGGAAAACATGTTAGAAGAAACACGTGGATTGCATGTCACAACACCTGGTCCAAATTTATCAAATAGTCGTCTTCTTCATTTTCACATTCATTAATATTCAGGTCGTAGTTCAAACGAGAAGATATTAATTTCCAAATAACCTTTACATTATTACTTTATCTGGTACTTACACAAAGTCGATATCAATATAATGTTTTGTCACTATTTCAGATGGTCGGTTTTCTTTCTCAGAATTACTGTAAACTCCAAGTTGAGACTGGTGGGTGTGATGATTACAGTGAACTCTGAGTTGAGACTGGTGGGTGTGATGATTACAGTGAACTCTGAGTTGAGACTGGTGGGTGTGATGATTACAGTGAACTCAGAGTTGAGACTGATGGGTGTGATGATTACAGTGAACTCCGAGTTGAGACTGGTGGGTGTGATGATTACAGTGAACTCTGAGTTGAGACTGGTGGGTGTGATGATTACAGTGAACTCCAAGTTGAGACTGGTGGGTGTGATGATTACAGTGAACTCTGAGTTGAGACTGGTGGGTGTGATGATTACAGTGAACTCTGAGTTGAGACTGGTGGGTGTGATGATTACAGTGAACTCTGAGTTGAGACTGGTGGGTGTGATGATTACAGTGAACTCAGAGTTGAGACTGATGGGTGTGATGATTACAGTGAACTCCGAGTTGAGACTGGTGGGTGTGATGATTACAGTGAACTCTGAGTTGAGACTGGTGGGTGTGATGATTACAGTGAACTCCGAGTTGAGACTGGTGGGTGTGATGATCACAGTGAACTCCAAGTTGAAACTGGCGTGTGTGTGTGTGTGTGAGGTGGGGGCGGGGGGATTATCATTTTTTGTTTTATTGGTGTTAAAGTTGTTTTAGTAATGTGAACCTTTCATGAATCTGGGTTATTAAGATTTTTTAATACTCCTTTATTTTATCGTGTATAATATCAATGATGTTTTCCATCTTAACGATTTATATAAAATAACCAGTCACAACAAACTGAGGAGATTAAATAACAAAGATTTATTTCAAAACTTCAGAGACATAATACAGATCAACAATATCACAGAAGGCAACTAGTACAATGCATTTTATAAATCCTAATTAATGCTGACTATAGAGATGACGTTAACGAACTTAAGTTACATATGACACACTCTCCAAACAAACAAGCAACGAAGTTCTCCCCTCATTCCGAGTAATTCGCTTTTTCGAGTATAGAATGAAATGGAGGAAAACAGACGCATTTTGAATTGTAACCCACACTAACATAGTTTTAAAATATTGTATTTGAAGATAATTTTTTAAAAATGTACACAAGTTAACCAACTTTATAATGTCCTTTTCCATGAACATTTATATCGTGGTATATCAAACTCAAGTGTCCATTTGATCTACGTCTAAATCTGTTAATTTTGTCATAACAAAAATACTTCAAAATTCATTTAATGCATACAGTTTCTAGCTATATTCCTTTTTTAGGTTGTTAGATTATGTCCTTCGACCCACGTGAGTCGGGATAATTTATCTGCAAAACATATACCGATCTCCAGAACTATAAATCGAAAGTAAAAACTGTCATATTTGAATTTTATGCTTAAATCTAGATTGTTGAAAATTCAAAAGCAAATCTTAAACAAAATTTTGTTTCATCAGTGGAACAGCCAAGAATGGTAATGTTTCATTTACTTATCGATGTAAGGGCGCAGTGTAAAAACAATAAAAATTGTAATTTGGAAAGAACTTTAACGAGTGTCCTCGTGTATTTACAATGTTCCAAAAGAGGAAGTAGAAATAGAACAATTAAATTGCAATTCTGAACCAATATCGTTCTGCCATTTACTCTGATAAAAGCAATATTACGACGCGCACGTGCTTACCTCGAAGGTCCAGTCCAAAGTATCACGTTCAGGAACAGAAAAGTTTACTTTACAAAATGACACTGCAGCGCAAAATTAAATTCACGGAACTAAGTCTCTATATAGCTGTACATGATTAGAAATATATTGCAGTGTAATATACGTGAATACTTTATGTCACATACGGAATTTTAATTGATAGGTTGTGATATTATCAGTTCAATGTTGAATGAACAGGATTTTTTTTTATTATCGTTATAACATAATTGTATTCTTCATATTTAAACATTAAAATATAAAACTTTTATAAATATAAACTTTATTTTACTACAATTACGTGACAAGTTATTTCAACTTATACTAATCACTATTGTGACCCGAATGTAAGCAGACGAGAGGTCTTATTGTGAGAGGGAACCGGACTACCTGGAGAAAACCCGGTTCCAGGAATCGAATGACGGACGTGAAAAGCGAACCTTTCCAATCCTATTTGATATGGTTTATGTTTTCGAGGTGAAATCGTTATCTGGGCTTCATTGGTATCATTACCAAATTAAATAAATAGACACATTCTACCAGGTAGATATTTTACTAAAATGTCTTGGTAGTTAACATCTGATCATTTCAAAGGTAGGAAATGAGTCAAAATACTGTTTATTTTTCATTTTCAATTTTTTGTGGTTTACTAAATGATTGCAGCACAAAAGAATGTATTTTACACGGAAATTATGATATACACTTTAGTTTCTATATTAAGTTTATGTCAAATGACTTATTTCCGTGATTATACAGTACAGTAATACAATAACATTTTTACTACCTGTGTTCTCTGGTTTTCGGGAAGCAAATTAAAAAAGTGATGCAAGACAATGATGATAAAAAAAAGAAATGTTGGAGTGTATATATCTCACAGAGAAATATTACCTATGTGTTAATTACGTGTTACAGATAGCCACTGTACTGATAAGCGACGTCGGGTGTGGTAAACAATCAATACTGAAATGAATGACGTCAGATAAAAAGATTAAAAACGTGGCCTAACAATTTCTTTGTAGTTATTTGCAAAAATGTCGATACGTTTGTAATTACAAAAATAAACACGCTACGTATAGACGTCATCTGGTTCCTGTCTGTTATCAGGTTATTATTTACGTCAGAACAACAGCTGGAGTCTGTGCAATCTAAAATTCAGGCACATATGTTCAAAGCTGTGACGTCATACCTCCATTCATAAATAACGATTGACGTGCGATAAATTCAGCTGCCGGATCTTGTTGAGCTCACAGCTGTGTCCCATGATCGGCAGTAAGTCAGATACTTAGGGTTGACCAATAGGACATGTACATTTGGGTTGTCAGTAAGACAGGTACTAGGGAGTGGTCAGTAAGACAGGTACTAGGGGGTAGCCAGTAAGACAGGTACTGGGGTGTGGCCAGTAAGACAGGTACTTGGGTGTGGTCAGTAAGACAGGTACTTGGGGGTAGCCAGTAAGACAGGTACTTGGGTGTGGCCAGTAAGACAAGTACTTGGGTGTGGTCAGTAAGACAGGTACTTGGGGGTAGCCAGTAAGACAGGTACTTGGGTGTGGCCAGTAAGACAGGTACTTGGGGGTAGCCAGTAAGAAAGGTACTAGGGAGTGGTCAGTAAGACAGGCACTAGGGAGTGGCCAGTAAGACAGGTACCAGGGGGTAGCCAGTAAGACTCTGGTGACCAGTAAGACAGGTACCAAGGGGTGGCCAGTAAGACAGGTACCAGGGGGTGGCCAGTAAGACTCTGGTGACCAGTAAGACAGGTACCAAGGGGTGGCCAGTAAGACAGGTACCAGGGGGTGGCCAGTAAGACAGGTACCAGGGGGTGGCCAGTAAGACTGGTACCAGGGGGTGGCCAGTAAGACAGGTACCAGGGGGTGGCCAGTAAGACTGGTAGCAGGGGGTGGCCAGTAAGACAGGTACCAGGGGGTTGCCAGTAAGACTGGTACCAGGGGGTGGCCAGTAAGACAGGTACCAGGGGGTGGCCAGTAAGACTGGTACCAGGGGGTGGCCAGTAAGACAGGTACTAAGGGATGACTTACACGTCGATATCTTATTCTCCGTTATGTCGACATTTTAATTCTACTTTTTTTTCACAGAAAGCAAAACGATATAGCATCTAAAATAGTCTGTTGGAACGTGAAATAAATCCGATATGTAATTTACATATGTGTAACGAGCGTATTTAGACAAAAGTATACATAAATTATAAAGCCAACATGTAATTTAATTTACATCAATCATCAAATGAATATGTAAATATAAGGTGGGTAAGAGTGTGCGAATGTATGCTCAGATGTGTAAGCACGTGAGTGTACGTGTGGTTAGATTAAATCTATACAAACTTGTATGTATGTAGGTAGGTAGGTAGGTAGGTAGGTAGGTATGTTTGTAGGTATGTAATGTAATTAATATTGGTCATTTTGATGCGACATTGAAAATGGCAGCCGATAGCGATCTGTAATGCTGAATGGAAGGATGTATCGGGCACCACACCAAGCATCAGTATAACAACAAGGATAGGGCAAGATGAACCTGGTATGAAGGGTATATATCTTAATGGGAAATGAATGAAGGAAAATTACGACTTGAGAAGAAAAAACTCGTGTCGTTATATCAAGTCATTGTAAATCCTTTGTACATTCCGGAATCCCGTCCTCGTGGTTATTGCCATTATAACTATAACCAGCCGATTCGTCAGTGATAGTGCAGGGTGTTTTGTGAGTTTTAAGGCTAATTGTCAAATCCTCTACTGTTTCAAAAGGACGTCGTTCGTAAATTCGATAATTTTCATTCGCTGGACATATTGTATTGATTATTAAGTTAGTAAAAAATAGAAAAAAAAACAATCTCGTCTCTTACCTAGAAGATGTCAACCTCATACCGTACACAGAATAGATCCCACTCAGCCCTTACACAGAAGAGATCAACCTCATCCCTTACATAGAAGATTTTAACCTCATCCCTTACATAGAAGATTTTAACCTCAGTCCTTACACAGAAGATTTTAACCTCAGTCCTTACACAGAAGAGATCAACCTCATCCCTTACATAGAAGATTTTAACCTCATCCCTTACATAGAAGATTTTAACCTCAGTCCTTACACAGAAGATTTTAACCTCAGTCCTTACACAGAAGATTTTAACCTCAGTCCTTACACAGAAGAGATTAACCTCATCCCTTACATAGAAGACGTTAACCTCAGTCCTTACATAGAAGAGATTAACCTAATTTCTTACACAGAAGAGATTAACCCAATTTCTTACATAGAAGAGATTAACCTCATCCCTGATACAGAAGAGATCTCACTTATCCCTTACACAGAAGAGATCAACCTCATCCCTTACATAGAAGATTTTAACCTCAGTCCTTACACAGAAGATGTTAACCTCAGTCCTTACACAGAAGAGATTAACCTCATTCCTTACACCGAAGAGATTAACCTCAATCCTTACACAGAAGAGATTTACCTCAGTCCTTACACAGAAGAGATTAACCTCATCCCTGATACAGAAGAGATCTCACTTATCCCTTACACAGAAGAGATCAACCTCATCCCTTACATAGAAGATTTTAACCTCAGTCCTTACACAGAAGATGTTAACCTCAGTCCTTACACAGAAGAGATTAACCTCATTCCTTACACAGAAGAGATTAACCTCAGTCCTTACACAGAAGAGATTTACCTCAATCCTTACACAGAAGAGATTAACCTCATCCCTTACATAGAAGATTTTAACCTCAGTCCTTACACAGAAGATGTTAACCTCAGTCCTTACATAGAAGAGATTAACCTCATCCCTTACATAGAAGATTTTAACCTCAGTCCTTACATAGAAGAGATTAACCTCAATCCTTACACAGAAGAGATTTACCTCAGTCCTTATATAGAAGAGATCCCACTCAGTCCTTACACAGAAGAGATTTACCTCAATCCTTACACAGAAGAGATTAACCTCAGTCCTTACATAGAAGAGATTAACCTCATTCCTTACACAGAAGAGATTAACCTCATCCCTTACACAGAAGAGATTTACCTCAGTCCTTACACAGAAGAGATTAACCTCATCCCTTACACAGAAGAGATTTACCTCAGTCCTTATATAGAAGAGATCCCACTCAGTCCTTACACAGAAGAGATTTACCTCATCCCTTACCTAGAAGACGTTAACCTCAGACCTTACACAGAAGAGATTTACCTCAATCCTTACACAGAAGAGATTAACCTCATCCCTTACATAGAAGATTTTAACCTCAGTCCTTACACAGAAGATGTTAACCTCAGTCCTTACATAGAAGAGATTAACCTCATCCCTTACATAGAAGATTTTAACCTCAGTCCTTACATAGAAGAGATTAACCTCAATCCTTACACAGAAGAGATTTACCTCAGTCCTTATATAGAAGAGATTCCACTCAGTCCTTACACAGAAGAGATTTACCTCAATCCTTACACAGAAGAGATTAACCTCATCCCTTACATAGAAGATTGTAACCTCAGTCCTTACACAGAAGATGTTTACCTCAGTCCTTACATAGAAGAGATTAACCTCATCCCTTACATAGAAGATTTTAACCTCAGTCCTTACATAGAAGAGATTAACCTCATTCCTTACACAGAAGAGATTAACCTCATCCCTTACACAGAAGAGATTTACCTCAGTCCTTATATAGAAGAGATCCCACTCAGTCCTTACACAGAAGAGATTTACCTCATCCCTTACCTAGAAGACGTTAACCTCAGTCCTTACACAGAAGAGATTTACCTCAGTCCTTACATAGAAGAGATCCCACTCAGTCCTTACACAGAAGAGATTTACCTCAATCCTTACACAGAAGAGATTAACCTCATCCCTTACATAGAAGATTTTAACCTCAGTCCTTACATAGAAGAGATTAACCTCAGTCCTTACACAGAAGAGATTAACCTCAGTCCTTACATAGAAGATTTTAACCTCAGTCCTTACATAGAAGAGATTAACCTCAGTCCTTACATAGAAGAGATTCCACTCAGTCCTTACACAGAAGAGATTTACCTCAGTCCTTACACAGAAGAGATTTACCTCATTCCTTACACAGAAGAGGTTTACCTCATTCCTAACACAGAAGAGATTTACCTCATTCCTAACACAGAAGAGATTTACCTCAGTCCTTACACAGAAGGGATTTACCTCATTCCTAACACAGGAGAGATTTACCTCATTCCTTACACAGAAGAGATTAACCTCATTCCTTACACAGAAGAGATTGACCTCATTCCTTACACAGAAGAGATTAACCTCATTCCTTACACAGAAGAGATTGACCTCATTCCTAACACAGAAGGGATTTACCTCAGTCCTTTCCTAGAAGATGTCAACCTCATACCGTACACAGAATAGATCCCACTCAGCCCTTACATAGAAGAGATTAACCTCATCCCTTACATAGAAGACGTTAACCTCAGTCCTTACACAGAAGATGTTAACCTCAATCCTTACAAAAAAAGAGATTAACTTCATCCCTGATACAGAAGAGATCTCACTCATCCCTTACACAGAAGAGATCAACCTCATCCCTTACATAGAAGATTTTAACCTCAGTCCTTACACAGAAGATGTTAACCTCAGTCCTTACATAGAAAAGATTAACCTCATTCCTTACACAGAAGAGATTAACCTCATTCCTAACACAGAAGAGATTTACCTCAGTCCTTACATAGAAGAGATTTACCTCATTCCTTACACAGAAGAGATTTACCTCATTCCTAACACAGAAGAGATTTACCTCATTCCTAACACAGGAGAGATTTACTTCATTCCTAACACAGAAGAGATTTACCTCATTCCTTACACAGAAGGGATTTACCTCAGTCCTTACACAGAAGAGATTTACCTCAGTCCTTACACAGAAGAGATTTACCTCAGTCCTTACACAGAAGAGATTTACCTCATTCCTAACACAGAAGAGATTTACCTCATTCCTTACACAGAAGGGATTTACCTCAGTCCTTACACAGAAGAGATTTACCTCATTCCTTACACAGAAGAGATTTACCTCATTCCTAACACAGAAGAGATTTACCTCAGTCCTTACACAGAAGAGATTTACCTCAGTCCTTACACAGAAGAGATTTACCTCAGTCCTTACACAGAAGAGATTTACCTCATTCCTTACACAGAAGAGATTTACCTCATTCCTAACACAGGAGAGATTTACTTCATTCCTAACACAGAAGAGATTTACCTCATTCCTTACACAGAAGGGATTTACCTCAGTCCTTACACAGAAGAGATTTACCTCAGTCCTTACACAGAAGAGATTTACCTCATTCCTTACACAGAAGAGATTTACCTCATTCCTAACACAGGAGAGATTTACTTCATTCCTAACACAGAAGAGATTTACTTCATTCCTAACACAGAAGAGATTTACCTCATTCCTTACACAGAAGAGATTTACTTCATTCCTAACACAGAAGAGATTTACCTCATTCCTTACACAGAAGAAATTTACCTCATTCCTAACACAGAAGAAATTTACCTCAGTCCTTACACAGAAGAGATTTACCTCAGTCCTTACACAGAAGAGATTTACCTCAGTCCTTACACAGAAGAGATTTACCTCATTCCTTACACAGAAGAGATTTACCTCATTCCTAACACAGGAGAGATTTACTTCATTCCTAACACAGAAGAGATTTACCTCATTCCTTACACAGAAGGGATTTACCTCAGTCCTTACACAGAAGAGATTTACCTCATTCCTTACACAGAAGAAATTTACCTCATTCCTAACACAGAAGAGATTTACCTCAGTCCTTACACAGAAGAAATTTACCTCAGTCCTTACACAGAAGAGATTTACCTCAGTCCTTACACAGAAGAGATTTACCTCATTCCTAACACAGGAGAGATTTACCTCATTCCTAACACAGAAGAGATTTACCTTATTCCTAACACAGAAGAGATTTACCTCAGTCCTTACACAGAAGAGATTTACCTCAGTCCTTACACAGAAGAGATTTACCTCATTCCTTACACAGAAGAGATTTACCTCATTCCTAACACAGGAGAGATTTACTTCATTCCTAACACACAAGAGATTTATTTCATTCCTAACACAGAAGAGATTTACCTCATTCCTTACACAGAAGAGATTTACTTCATTCCTAACACAGAAGAGATTTACCTCATTCCTAACACAGAAGAGATTTACCTCATTCCTTAGAGAAAGCGTCATTTACCACTCCATTTGTATGTGTACCAGCTTCATTTGTACTGCTTTTTCGAGCCTGTTTGTTATCATTGGACTTAAATCCCTTACCTTGACACTGATCACAAATTTCGTCAGTAGACTTACGTCCCTGTACAAAATAAACAATCCCTGTCCACAACGGTACGAGCGATCCGAAGTTACCTTGGGGGCCCGCCAGAGCCAGAAAAGTGGAGAAGAGTCCAAGAGAATAGATCAGAGAGAAACCAATCGTACAAAACATGAAGATACCAAATTGAACGAAAAATAAAATTTCTGCAAATAACATGAATATTGATGCCCCAAGTGTTGACATGGCGCCTGATGATATTGACACCGCCACGGATTCAAGCATGTCCCGGACCTTGTGTTTTCGGTCAGTGTGAATGGACCTATGATATCCTTCAGCAAGATGGGCGACATAGTCGACAGACAGTCCTACTACTAGTGATAGATTCAAGGACTCTAGAACCTGAAAGAAGAGAACTTTAAACATGGTTTCTGAATTACAAATGTATGTTGATAATATCAACAGATAAATCGCAAACGAACTTTATTGTGGAATGAATATCATTATTGATTATTGATTATTGGTATGTCTTTATATGATATACAGAATCACGAACAATAGAAAGATTTACACGGAGACTCCAGAAAAAGTAAAGGAGAGTAAGACCGTGTGTTCTGGAAGAGTAAGCATCTTCTGCTTCATCGACGACACCTGCCATGAACAGATACTATCTGTTCTCTTCATCAATATCATAACAATTTATCCAATTAAGGGCACTGACTTCTTGACAGAAAATAGATATTATACATCGTTATCAAACAGGTACAAATGTACTGTGGGATTTCTGAGTGTCCTGCCATTATTGATACCTATGGTGTCGGTATACCACAAAGCTTATTGTTCCAACTTTACTTACTCCAAGTTTCCAGCCCACCATTGGTATGATGGCGACGACGGTAACGGTGACACATGCTATACTGACTGTAGCCAGGAACCCAATAATAATATTCTTTGTAGCGATAGTAAGTACCACGAAAGCCAGACATATCCCAATGGCGATCCCCCTTAGCGCCGAGTCTACCAACACCTGTAATAAACACAACTCGTGATTTGTCGAAATATAAATATTTATCTCATGAAAACATTTATAAACATAAAACATACTATTTTCTCTTTAAAAACATATATTTAATATGAATATTCATTTCATGAAAACATCTATTAACACAAAGTATATTAATTTCTCTTTGAATACATAATTATATTTATTTGAAACAACAGATCCGAACATGATCGTCCGTAGTGACATATATCGATATAGTAGCCACTCCGGGCTGCCATGTTGTTCCTGTCCGTAGTGACATATATAGATATAGTAGCCACTCTGGGCTGCCATGTTGTTCCTACGTACGGTTTAAGTTGTCTGCCGTGTACTTTGTTCGGTGACATAGACCTTTCCTTTGATCATATTACACGCCGATAAGCTAATGGTAAATGAAACAGTAGGGCAGGAAACCTGCTCTGGCAATCAGAGACAACCTTTTTATCGTGGTAAAATTGTACACCAGGTTGTATTATACTTGACTACATAGATACCTACACATTGTATGTCTGTCGTGCCATGCATGTTAAACAAATATATTACTAGCTACTTGTGTCTTTTGCTGCAGTTTTGCGTGGTTTTGTTAATGAGGCACTGGATGGGTACCTTTTGGACTTTAAGCCAGTGCCACGGGTTATTCGCCTCCGGCGTACACTGGAAACCTCCTGATAAGGAAGGAGGCAGAGTAGATAGCTGTAAAATAAATAGGTATGATGAATGAAGCAACTGTCACAACTAGATGACAACACACTTATTCCCCAAATCAACTTGTTAATAGACAATTGTGTCAAATTTAATATCAAGACAACAATCGTGTCGAGTGCGATTGAAATGATAAGAAATGGAGAAATATTAAGACTTTAATGCAGATGCCTATGCTGAATACAGCCTTCTGGACTGTATACCATCTTCCAGTAAGATTGAATGTCAGTAAGAAGCACATGAGTATACCAAAGATGATTTAAATATTGACAATTCACTTTAAAAAAGGGAAAAAATAGCAGTCAACTGAAATATATGTTTGTATTGTAAACCGTCATTCAGAAATGTGGCTAAAATCGTATTTGACTTAACGTTATTGTGTTTTAAGCAAATAAACATGCACAATGTGTATCATTTGACTTGAAACTACCCTAAAATACAAGTCAAGAATATAAGTCAACCGGAATGTATGGTTAAAAAGTTTGATAATGATTAAAAATGATACCTTATCCGTGAAGAACTTTTCCCATGAATTATAAATAGGAATTCCTACTTCATATCCAAGTTTGCCGTGGATTAGAGATGTGTTAACAGTGAAAGCGATATACCGCAATCTTGTACCATAGAAGTTCCCTGTAACAACAAATTATATGACAGTGGTAGGAGTTTTTTTTGTATATCAAATCCGTGTACAATTTTGTAATTTGAAAATAAAAACAAAACATTTTAGAGTAATTTTAGTGCAAATGAAATAGAAGCACGCCACTAGTTGCTATTTATTGGTAAATTCGGCTCCTGTATAGTATATTCTTAAACACTACAGAAATGAAAAAAAATGTGATCGATAAGTGCATGTTAAATTGGAAGACACAAACTTTTCCAGTAGAATATGACCAATCATATGTCGACGTTAGCTGAGAAACTGTATTCACTGTTCGAGATATAAAAAAAAAATCACTGATATGCTGACCCCGTTGCGCCTACCCTTTTTTTAATTATTCTGCATGAAACGGGACACGATCTATTATTTCTGTCCTTTATCATAGGAACAACAGTAAAATATCTGATGAGACAGCGAATAATCTCCCCAGCGGGAGATTTGTGTTCTTATTTCAAACAAGCGATCAGTCCAATTAATGAAAATTCAGATTTCGATGCTGTATTTATGAACATTATAACTGACTATAGCTAATTAGTTAAAGCTACAAGCTATGGGAAGATGAGGACTAATTATACATATATAAGCTACTGTATCCACGCAATACTGGAATATAATTTGTCACATTGTTGAACCCAGGTTATTACGGCCTTGAAGTACAAAAACAGCTTATCGATATTACCAACTCGTTGATAGCCATCGTGCACTGACAAGCATATATAATTGATTACGTACCCAATCAGTATATCTTTACTACTTATCTCTGACCACGTGATCCAAAGCAGACCAAAAATTTAACAAGGTTTATGAGATATTAACTTTAGGCCTCTCAGTATCCTCCTTCCTTTTATCTGAAATAGTATCTAATTTTAACTTTCGTTTTCTTCAATGCCTTTTTTTTATGATTTTCAAAGCTAACCACACCCCCTTGTAGAGACTTGTGGATGACTGGTGATTAGGCTTAAACCGACGGACTTATTTCCTCGCGATCTCTTGATAAGAAAGCTAAATATTTTAGGCTCTAATGATCATATGCCTGCCTACCTGAAAAAAAACATATCAGCTGGTGAAATCGGTGCAAACTTGAGCAAACTAGTTAAAACAATATCTTTATTAATATAATCAACAATATAACACATACATATAATACAAACGGGATGAGAAAACAAACTTAAAGCTTGTATAAAAACACACGCAGGAGAATATCATCTTTTCCTAGTTTAGAGCGAGATACGATAGAGCCAAACAATGAATTAAATTGCATCATACAGCTGTTTCGTCCTTCTAAGACTCGTCAGTGATGATAAGTGCCTAAATTTTGAAGCCTAGGATGCGACTAAGAAAAATCTAAAGTGATCAAAAGAAAAGTCAAAATCTAGACGGGGAGGTGCAGCAGTCCCATTATTAATTAAATTTAATAAACCTTCTTTATCTGTTTTTGAGACATTATGTTGCTGCCAATCAAGCTTGCCACAAGTTTAGACAATATATACCAGGCTGATTAGTGATATACAGATGTCATTTTTAGTCTGAGATATATCCGTAATTATCGAACCATGATCAAAAATAGGTTATTGATAGAATGGTTTTTAAAGTACTCTCATTAGGGCAATATAAAAATGTTACATATTTTTTGGACACAGATGATAATGAAAGGATAAACCCCATGCTCATATGCTTGTTTTTGTGAAAAAACTTTGTAAAGCGATTAAGAAAATTAGAAAAAAAAAACGTTGTTATTAACCTGTGACACTGAAAAGAGCCCGTGTCTAATTACAGGTATACGTTCCTGTAAATATATGTAAAAAAGATTAAAGGTACGTAAGTCCACATGTTACGACTTGATATACTGTGAATTGGGAAGATTACCGCTGTGTGTAACTAGAACATTGAGAATATTTAAATATTGGTTAAGATTAAAATAGTCGGATAATTTTTAAAACATGTTATGGTGAGTGTGTGAATGAGAATGATTTGTGGGTAATAAATATCAAGAATGAGTTAGCAACTTTAGGAATGAATTATATGTTTGACTCTGTATTGCCTTATAACGTTTCATTGAAAATAATAGAACAAAGACTAAATGACATTTCCAAACAAAGCATGTTGGTAAAAATTACAGCTTCACCAAAAGGGTTTTATATCAACACTTCATAGACAATCACTGTATTCAGTTAGATTTAAGGAAACCCATTGAAAGTAAATATAAAAACGTTAACTAGATTTAGGACATCATCTCAAAAATTAAACGTAGAAATTGGGAGACACCATAACGTTTTACGTAGAAACAGAACATGTGTAATTTGAGCGATATCGAAGATGAGAATCATTTTATTTTGATTTGTCCATTCTATAACGATTTAAGACACAAATTAGTCAAACCATACTATTTTAGAAAACCCCCCATTTTTAAATTGATACAACTTCTAAGTACAAATAATGTTAGAGAATTGGCCAATTTAGGGAAATATTTATACTTAGCATGCAAAAGACGTAATTAATATTTATATTTAATTAGTTTAATATACATACAATATCATATTTTACTGTTTGGAACATGCCAGAGTCGTAATTAATGTGTATATATGTTAATAAGTTTTAAAGCCCCAATATACGTAACATTCACCAAAAATTTAGTGTAGAATCACACATAATTATTGAGATATTCTCTAAGACGTAGTTAAAATTAAGTTATTCAAACAATAGTTACCATTACTTTATGCATAAAGTATTGATATATGAGCAGTTGAAACTCGCTATTTGTAAACACACCTCCATTTTAAACACGCCGCCATCGAAATTACGATTGTTGCCGAACCACGTCGGAAAGTTCATGACCTGATCTCGCGAGAGTTGAGGTTTCTACTTATAGAGGAAGCACATGCAGATATGTCTACGGTAAGTTTTTGTTTACAAAGATTGTTTGCGAAGTCTTGTCGTAAACTTCAGGTATTCCTGTGATAAACATTCAGTTTTGGGAAATTATTAGAAGGAATAATTAGTTTAGAAACGATGCGACGCACAATTATAACGTAAGAATTCAGAACTGGCCTGATGTATGATTGGAAAAAAAGGAAGCGACTGGTGAACGTCTTTACTGTGTCTGCCATGTTTACACACGCGGAATATGCGCATGCGCAATGTCATCGCTACGAGCGGTAATGTATGAATTATTGTGGGTCCCACATTGTTTATTTTCCGATTTTTTCAATTTTTATTTAAATTGAAAACAGTCAGTTTTATTTTGTTTAATTAAAGGAAAGGATTTATTTTGTTACATATATTACGGGGAAAATAAGATAAAGTTTGTTTTTTTTTATAGTGATTTTTACGTATATTGGGGCTTTAATCCATGACTATACCTTAGGGAACATGGTTTTATATACATAGGTACAATATACATACTCTGATGTCACTCTGCTGTCCATTTAAAGTTTCATTTAATTGTTATATGTGTACATTATCATTGTACTTTCGGGTACCTATAAGCCTCAGATATTTTGTTTCACAAATAAATTAAATAATGAATATGTATGAGCGGGTGAGTGTATGCTCGTTCGTGCGTGTGTGTGTGTGAGGGTGTGTGTGTGTGTGTGTGTGTGTGTGTGTGTGTGTGTGTGTGAGGATGGGTGTGTGAATGTGTGTGCGAATGTAAGTGTAAATGAGTGGAAGTACTTATATATGTATTGTATTACATATGTTTATGTATTTGTATTGCTGTTGTGCCTATGAGTCGAATGGTTCACGGCAAACAATCTGAATCTGAAATCTGATATGTTACAGTAATGAAGTGATGGGTAACTCTTAGCATGGATCACATTACCTACATTTCTGTGTATATCAGCATAAACTTTATTATAAATGATATTGGTTGAATGATTAAGATATAATTATAATTTAATAGCGAGCGCAGCGAGCGCTTTATGGTATTGTGTGTGTGATAATTCAACTCCAAGAACCTGCTCATACGATCAACTTTACCCACAATACACTTGCCGCAGCACGCAATGAAAACTGCCGACGCGTTGAATGGATTAAAATGATTTTGACCAACAAAATATCTTTTTAAGCTTCCGTGTGGAAGTGAAATCATACAAAAAGTCTTAAATAATTCAAATGAATTTAACAAACATATACTTTAATGGTTTGAAAAACATATAACAAACATCTCGTTGAAAAATTATAATTTTGACCATTCAAGATGAGAGCACGTTTGTTCTCCGATGTACATGATTTCCGGGTTAACCTTCGGGAACTTTCGTTACTTTCCGTTAGACATCGCGGAAGCAGTCGAAAAATCCCGATTTGGCGAAAAACCTGTCCTGTCTCTTTACTATATTAATTCTGCAAGATGTGGATACTTTTTCGATAACTGTTTGACATTAATTATGCTCAGGTATTTGAATGTTTAGAAATTTTCCAGCAAACACTTATAAGGCACAATGATAAGATACTATTACTGGTGAGGGTTTCTTTGGTTGTTGTTTGGTTTTTGTTTGTTGTTTTTTTTGTTTTTGTTTTTTTAATTTTTAAAATTTTTTTTGTGGGGGGGGGGGGGGTTAACAGAAAAATGCAATTTGTGTAATATATTGTGACTTTAATTAGAATTTCATTTAAACATTTATATTTATATTGATTTTCTGAATTACAATGTATAACAGAATATCCTCAACAGTGATTATAACTTTACCCTCCTTTTGCTTAAAAAACCAAAGGTTCTAAAGCATTTGATGATCTGTTGATTAACAGAACGAAAACTTTCAATAGCAAATTGAAAAGAAAAGGGTGGGAGAGGACGTTCTGATTTTAATAATGAAAACTTGTTAAACATATAAGCACCGCCTTTATAAATCCGACTAAAACTATAATATATTTCACCATATTTTGACAACAAAATTCTTTCTTTTTTAAAGCAAATATGATAGATGGTCCTCTCTGCAATATCTGTAACTCTAAAAGGGAAACTCTTGTGCATTTATTTTGAAGATCTTTTTTTTATCAATTGTTATAGCCTAGATATGTTGTCAAAGACTTTATTGATACATTTGTGTACATTTATTGTTACCATTGAAACCGACAACCATCACAATTTTCACTTTTTCTGAGCAAATACTCTGACAAGGTAATTGCTCAAAACTTTTTACACTTATTAAGCTAGTAGTATTTTTTGCCATGGGGAAGTTTTCCATTTAAATACTTTTTATGTTACCATGGAAATAGATAGTCCAAATCACAAAGCCAAGTTTTTCCAGACCAGTTCTCATAAACCATTCAAGGTAATTACCTGTTACTCAAAGCTTTGTACAGGCATGAAGCTAGTATTATAGCAGAAGTTCTCAATTTCAATCATTTGAATGGAACAATTAGAAATAACAAATAGAAAATAACTTGTTGTAATTAACACACACACACACACACACACACACACAAACACACACGATTGTGTGCCTTTCTGGGCGAAGGGAAAATGCCACGTTTTGCGTTATCTTGGTATCTTTTGTTTTGTTCTTCTTTGTCTGCCTTCATGGTGTATGATTGTATGTGCATGATTTACTTAAATATGGAAACTTTATTATTTCAACTTACAAAAATCACACTTGTTGTAAGCATGAGAAGGTTCTAATTTTAGGAGGAAATCTTAATCCCTTCGGGACATCGAATCCCAAACAGCTAGGTGAAAGACAAGTGTGTTACAACTGTGCCACCAAACCACCGCCTGATCACGGTGATACACTGTTTTCTAGAAGAAGAAGAAGGCGTGTTGCTGCTGCTGATGATATATTGGTACATTTGTATGTGCCACTGTTTTGTTAAAATACAACAAATTAAAAAAAACCTTGCTTCAGTGCAGACATGGATCAGGCTGTTAAAAATGTGCATCTTGTTGGCCAACTTGCGCTCTCTTTTAGGCAGTGTCTATTTCATGTTACATATAATGCAGATATGACATCTAATTCATCTGATCTGTCCGTGTTGCGCTGAATAAGACCCTTATTTTTTATATATTGCGTAAGCTTTGCTAGTCCATTGAGACTGACCTAAAACCTTATTGTAATAATACTCGTTAGTGTTTATTTTCACATGCGATATTTTTTATAACATACGATGTAACTGGTTCAGCAAACCAATGTTATTCTGGATTGTCTTCGCAGTGGTGTAGGTACAGTTTATCATGAAATGACGTCATTTTGGTGACATGATGATATACGTTACGTGAACGCTTTGTACGTCGCCTCAGATAATACATATTACAGCTTTACGTAAAACACTCAGAGGACTCTGATTTTCAAGAAGCTATTCCAGTAAATAATTTTCAAAACACAAGTTAATATTTTGAAATAATATAATTATAGATATATGGGGTTATGGTTGTGTTTTGTTTATGTTTGTACATTTGTATGTTAAAGAAGCCCTTCAAACTGGATAGTTGGTCAACACTATGTTTAATAGAAGCACCATTTCACGCTGTATATATTTCATTTCGTTTAATGAAATATACAGTGAGGTAAAAAATATACGATTATAAATATCAGTTGGTGTATTTAAGCAAACTTTCCATTATCTAAATTGTTAGGCACACTTACCATTGTTGTTCAGTAGTGGAAAGGTATCATAATTGTCCTTGGTAAACCCAACGAGGTGACTGTATTCAGAACTTACATTGGACGTGTACCCACCGTGCAGCCAAAAGTCAGCAGCCGTCTATACCATAGAGACAAATAGTAGGTTACACATTTCAGCAAGTAAATAGGAAATATATCAACAATGGAAAGCTACGAGAATTTAAATATAATTAATCTATGTATTGTACGGTACCTCAAAGTATCGGTAAAAACTAGATGAGATTGCCGAACTGTTGTACAACTCCGAATGGGATGTCATTAGGTGTGATACTTTGGTCTCTGTTAATGGGATGCTGAAATCTCCTGTCCCTCTGTATACAACTTTGGTACTTTCGTTCTGTATAAATAAGTGTATTAAGTTTCATAAACGATTTCACAAGAAATAACATTTTACATTTAGTCCATTTCTTGTCAGTGATAAATCTTTTTTCAATGTGTTTTTGGTATTTCAGAAAATAAAAAATAGAATAAAAAGCAGTGTCAACAAATAATTTTGATATGGCTAGTTTGTATGTCTTCATCCTTATCTCTATAGAAACAAAATGACAACAAATAGTTTTGATATGGCTAGTTTGTATGTCTTCATCCTTATCTCTTTAGAAACAAAAAACAAAATGAAACCTCCAAACATATTAAGGAATATCAAACACATTTTACTTTTACATCACTGACTTTTCGAACAGAAATTTAAAACATCAGTGATACTGCAGATATTTTTAAAACATATGCTTACCTAATATATGTAAAGAAGTTTTAAAAAATTAGAAACAACTTTTGATATCTTTATATGTCTAAAACCGATAAAGCAAGAGGCGAAATATTATGATCCCTCCAGACAGGCTTACAAGCAATCTACATAAAGAATGGAAGGAATATGATCTCGTTTTCTTGAATATTCTCACCAGAATGAACGATCTAATATTGGTACATGACACAATTTTGATAGACATATCAAGTCATCAACTGGATTGGAAAATACTTAGAAATTCAGGTAAACTTTGACAATCAATATTTTTGCATTTTTATTATCATCGAATGTCAACATAATTGTAATTACATTCAAAAATTCAATGAAATCAGGGCAAAATATAAACAAATGAGACATTTACACGGAGACTCCTAGAACATTATAAGTAGAATAAAACCAGGTGCTCTGGAAGAGTAAGTGTCTTCTACGACACCGAGTATGTTAAGCTTGGTCAACACAAATTCGATGAATTGTTGGCACTGTACAGAAATTGCATAACGTCAGATAACAGCTATCGTCCTCAACATTGCAAACACGAACTTTGCCGAAAAATTACAATAATATTTCATAAACCAGGATTTTCAAACAATCTGTAACCGAAACCATAATTGAGTATTTGACTTTCTCTATTTTCTGAGTGTAAAGACACGTCATTATATTCACAGGCGGATTGTTTATGTTATTTTAAGAAAAAATATTCCGTATTTTGATTGAATGGAACAGGAATGAAGCCGTATCAAATCTTGATCTGCACGAAATAACTGTCTATCTGCTGGTTCAGCTGCATACTTGCCCGCAGTATATCTGAAAGTATCTATTAAACAGTCAGAATATTTCTTTTTTTATATATATAAAATGACGCCCTATGAAATATTTGGAATAAAATGACGCACGATGAAACATTTTGGAATAAAATAACGCTCGATGAAACATTTTGAAATAAAATGACGCCCGATGAAACATTTTTGAATAAAATGACGCCCAACGAAACATTTTGAAATAAAATGACGCCCGATGAAACATTTTTGAATAAAATGACGCCCGACGAAACATTTTTGAATAAAATGACGCCCGATGAAACATTTTGAAATAAAATGACGCCCGATGAAACATTTTTGAATAAAATGACGCCCGATGAAACATTTTGAAATAAAATGACGCCCGATGAAACATTTTTGAATAAAATGACGCCCGACGAAACATTTTGGAATAAAATGACGCCCGACGAAACATTTTGGAATAAAATGACGCCCGACGAAACATTTTGGAATAAAATGACTCCCAATGAAACATTTTGAAATAAAATGACGCCCGATGAAACATTTTGGAATAAAATGACGCCCGATGAAACATTTTGGAATAAAATGACGCCCGACGAAACATTTTGGAATAAAATGACGCCCGACGAAATATTTTGAAATAAAATGACGCCCAATGAAACATTTTTGAATAAAATGACGCCCGATGAAACATTTTGGAATAAAATGACGCCCGATGAACCATTTTGGAATAAAATGACGCCCGATGAAACATTTTGGAATAAAATGACGCCCGACGAAACATTTTGGAATAAAATGACGCCCGACGAAACATTTTGGAATAAAATGACGCCCGATGAAACATTTTGGAATAAAATGACGCCCGATGAAACATTTTGGAATAAAATGACGCCCGATGAAACATTTTGGAATAAAATGACGCCCGACGAAACATTTTGGAATAAAATGACGCCCGACGAAATATTTTGAAATAAAATGACGCCCAACGAAACATTTTTGAATAAAATGACGCCCGATGAAACATTTTGGAATAAAATGACGCCCGATGAACCATTTTGGAATAAAATGACGCCCGATGAAACATTTTGGAATAAAATGACGCCCGACGAAACATTTTGGAATAAAATGACGCCCGATGAAACATTTTGGAATAAAATGACGCCCGATGAAACATTTTGGATGAAGTGTGGCTCATGGTACTAGTTTATTTAGTGTATAGACCAGGTCACTAGGTTTAAGAAAATGTGTTTCATGTTCCTGTTTTGGGTAGAAGACCCCATATGACTAGCTGGATACTAATTAACACACACATCTAGTTTTGGAATATAATGTTCCATGGAATACCTCAGATAAAGTAACAGCATACAAACCACTAGGAACGTTTCCAGACTGTCTAGGAAGCAGTCCACCTCCAGCTTTCCTGTCAGTGAGTTTCTACGTATATATAGATCAGCGTTGATTTGGTCGGGAAGATTTTGCATGTCAGAGCACATTTTCTGTCAATATATAAAGTATAAAAGCCATTTAGTGGAAAAGAACACCGCAGTCACCATGACAGAATAATTCTAAAGAAACAGTAATAAAAGAAACGTAATTATACCAGTATAAAATATTACACAACTCGATCCCATTCCGTAAGTCTTCCTTCCAACTCCTGTAATTATCGCGTAAAACATACTGCACTTTTTCTAAATTTAATAATCATAGTATTGCTTGTCTCATAATAACCCAAATTACAATTGTACACGTTGTTAAAATTACTTACTGTTTATCAGATCAGCCTAACTGAATATTTGATCCTACAATCAATATCTTTTCAGACTCCATGCCGTAATTTACCTGAGAGATGATACAGAGACCCGTAGTGTGTAACGTGATGAAATATTAATTTACTAGGATCCTCACATGAATACTGATTTACATTCTAATTTATATGACAACGTTAAATGATTATTCATGAAATAATGAGAATGAGAAGATAACGTCTCTACCACACATGCGACGATACGTCAATCAAAAGAGGAAATGAAAATAACAAAAAACAAACAAACAAAAACAAAAAAATCTGATCGCTGAGAATGTATAAATATCTGAATAAAATAAACGTCACCTTATTCCAACCAAAACACATAAACTGAAGGTGTGGTAAGTTGGACTCGGCTAATTGCATTCTTTAAATGCACTACCTGTGATATACAATATACCGTTAACCGAAAGTCTTCTTCAGTCTTAATCACTTATATCATTAGGAAAACTTTTGCTTCAAGTTTTAAAAACAAACATATTAGTCATCCAATAATGTGGATAATGAGAGGTCGGAAACCACGTTTTTCCTCCTCAGTCATCAGCAGCACGCCAATCAACTTGACGTTCAAACCAGTAACACAGCTTTTCAAAAGATGCAGGTTCATGACATTTAAGGAGAGGTTTTACGTCATCATATTGATGTCATTAGAAATATATTTTTCCTCTGCAATATGAAGTTAAACGTGTTTAATGAATGCTCGTTTTGTTGTTGTATACCTTGTTCTCATTTGAAAACGTGACATTACTTACTTGGAATTACCAAGATTTACATGGAGCAGAAGACGCTTACTTTTTCGGACCACCTGGTCTTATTCTCCTTGTACTTTTTTCAGGAGTCACCACATAAATCTTTCTTTTGTTCATATGATGTCCTAGTTTTATGGAATAAGGGTTTGGATTATGATTATTTTGACATGTTCATATGTTCTTGTTTCGAGTACTAAAGCTACTCGGAGGTGTAATGTTTACCAACAATAGGGAGTGAATTATATAGTAAGATATCAGGTGATCATTAAATAGATTTCAAAAAGCCGTGATATTCTAAAGGTAGACGATTTTGTATCAAAACATCACATCATTACATAAAAATGTCACTTATGTTTACACGACTACCGTAATATAGATAACTAATGGTAAACAAGCGTCATTAATGGTACAAGACGGTCCGTGGTGGTTACGTGGTTATGGCCCCTGAACGTCTTTATCAGAAGCCCTCCAACTCTGGGTCACAGGTTCGATACTTACGTGGGGCAGTGGCCACAGGTCGGTGTTTTTTCTCCGGGAACTCGGCTTTCCTCAACCAAGCAAACCTGACAGTGGTTAACAGGACGTACAGCAACAATAAAACAAACCATTATCGATAGGAATACTTACTGATGTCACATGCCATTTGCATCGTGCTAAGTAAGTGGTTGATATACGCGCTTTTCCTACAGGAGAACTTTGGTATGTAAACTTCGCATGCGCGAACAGTATAAGCGGCTTGCCATTTCGAAGCTCCAACAACTGGTTACGGTAAGTTAAGAACTGTAATAAGGTACATAATAAAACTAGGACTGAATGCAGTGAACGTGTTGTATTTATTGATACATGTTTGACCTCATATGTGTAGAATTTAGATGCATTAAATGTATTCTACCTGGTGTGTCTATTCTTACTCGGTACCGTGCGTGCACGAACAGTGTATACATGTGTGTGTATGGGGCCGGGTTGAATGTCAACAAAATCATTGTTAGATTTGCTGCGTTAGGCGCTTACATGTGCTGTATGATGGTTTGGTTTTATATTATATTTATGTTTCATGTTTTGGTCTAGATTAATTGTATATCATATTAATACGTGCAATATAGATAACCAATTAATTTAAGCGTACGTTTATTGTAACTTTCCACGTATGGGATCACGACGTTTTAAGGTTGACTTAGACAAGAGACAGTTGGTCTTATGGATGCCAATGTCTGTCTGTCTGTCTGTCTGTCTGTCTCTCTGTCTATTTGTCAGCAACTAAGTGACAACATCCTCACCTGAACCTATGTGGTCGGGACTCGAGTCTGTATGACTTTTGCTGTACTTGTGTAAGAGAGCCAATTGCTAACGACCTACTTGTCTGGTCAGAGTGACCAACATCGGAATTGGTCTCCATTGTGCCTGAGAGGGACTGGTCTGTTTGACCAACATTCATCGCTCGATGGTCGGTGTGACAAACATACATATTTCGTTGGTCTGTGTGACAAACATACATCTCTCGTTGGTCTGTGCGACCAACATACATCTCTTGTTGGTCTGTGTGACCAACATACATCTCTCGTTGGTCTGTGTGACCAACATACATCTCTCGTTGGTCTGTGTGACAAACATACATCTCTCGTTGGTCTGTGTGACCAACATACATCTCTCGTTGGTCTGTGTGACCAACATACACCTCTCGTTGGTCTGTGTGACCAACATACATATTTCGGTGGTCTGTTTGACCAACATACATCTCTCGTTGGGTGTGTGACCAACATACATTTCTCGTTGGTCTGTGTGACCAACATACATCTCTCGTTGGTCTGTGCGACCAACATTCATCTCTCGTTGGTCTGTGTGACCAACATACATTTCTCGTTGGTCTGTGTGACCAACATACATCTCTCGTTGGTCTGTGTGACCAACATACATATTTTTTTGGTCTGTGTGACCAACATACACCTCTCGTTGGTCGGTGTGTCCAACATACATCTCTCGTTGGTCTGTGTGACCAACATACATCTCTCGTTGGTCTGTGTGACCAACATACATATTTTGTTGGTCTGTGTGACCAACATACACCTCTCGTTGGTCGGTGTGTCCAACATACATCTCTCGTTGGTCTGTGTGACCAACATACATCTCTCGTTGGTCTGTGTGACCAACATACATCTCTCGTTGGTCTGTGTGACCAACATACATCTCTCGTTGGTCTGTGTGACCAACATACATCTCTCGTTGGTCGGTGTGACCAACATACATCTTTCGTTGGTAGGTGTGACCAACATACATCACCCATTGGTCTGTGTGACCAACATACATCTCTCGTTGGTCGATGTGTCCAACATACATCTCTCGTTGGTCTGTGTGACCAACATACATCTCTCGTTGGTCTGTGTGACCAACATACATCTCTCGTTGGTCTGTGTGACCAACATACATCTCTCGTTGGTCTGTGTGACCAACATACATCTCTCGTTGGTCGGTGTGACCAACATACATCTTTCGTTGGTCTGTGTGACCAACATACATCTCTCGTTGGTCGGTGTGACCAACACTTACCGTTTATTGGACTGGGTGGCCATTGATGTGATAACTTGGTTGATTGATTCGACGAGATGAGATTGGAAAAGTACAGCTATGAGTTACAGAGACAAACCAAGTCGCCAGTGATGCTGCGAGGTGCCCATCGGAAGCTACAGTGACTTTCTATACTTAAGTGTCTATTTATCATTTCATTTGTGTATATAGAGGGGATAGAAAGAACCATCTTGAATGTGGGTTTTGAATGGTGTATACTGTAGCTATGATGTTTCGTAAGTAAACGTTACGTATTATATCGCGGGTGTAGCTTACGTTTCAAGGAGTGGTTGTCAAGTAATCCCGGTCGGTTCTCGTTATAACTCTCGAGTAACATTTTTCAGGCTTTAGTCTGTATATAATTAACAATAATGGGTTCACTAACTCCATCTAAACCTTTATCATATGAACCGTAAGAAGATAGCATCAGTAACGAATTGCTGAATCAACTCAATAATGGAAAGATTTCTTTTTATCTTTCATTGACACCAGTCGAACTAGAGAGGAAGTTTAACATTTCTGGATTCTTTTTTAAAAATCAATGAACTTACATTTTTGAATGAAGTCAATTTCTCATAGATAAATTTCAAACACTGTACAACATATCATAATCTTTCAAAATATGAATTTGCGCTCAGCCTGATTGGTTCGCGATGGCGCAAACTGGACGCCTTTTAATTGCGAACATTTACACACAACTGTACAGATGATTCTGTTATGCTTTCACACAATGTTTTCATTGAGAATCTGTACTATTGTATACAAACATAAATATTATTACCTGTAACTGAAGTTGGGCTGGGCTGGGGTTGAGATCGAAAGCCTCATTCCATACAGTTCTCCCAGTACACTTGGAGCCTGCTGTTTTGTGGCACCCACTTCGGTCTTGGAGACGGAGACCCCACACCATGTACACACGAATTATCCTATCACCACCACTAGGTGTAAACGCATTTTTCTGTCGATCGTTAGCCATTTGGTAGTTATGATTTTGTTTGTAGATTTTTGTCTGAATAATAAAATACAAAATATGTTACGAAACCTACTTTGTCTAAATATTATTAAATAAATCTCTATAGATTTTGCTTGCTTGTTTTTGTCTTTTTGTTTGGTTTTGTTTTTTGTATTTCTCATTTGCTGGATTCAGGTCACATGACCACTTATCAAAATAATATTGACAACCGGTCATGAAAAAGATCTACGAAAATAGTACATTGCCCGTTTTTTTTTTAGATATATTGTGCCATCTTTGTTACAGGTACGCTCATTATTTCTGGGCGCTTGAAACAAACATATCACTAGTTTGACAGATAAGTTTTCTTAGCTTGCTAAATGCAGGTATGGAAAGTGTTTTCATAGAATGCAGGTCCTATAAATACGTAGCGTCAACTAATACCACAATGAAACTATGTAGAATTCATCAGAAGCCACCAACTCGAGGAGTTGAATATTCAGGATGATAGTGTATCATCACGTAATAGATCTACTGTTGTCAATACAATGTATGTTAATTGACATATAGAAATTATGAAATTTATTGAATTACGTAGTATCTCCACATTTAAGTTTATCTTCCAAATTTAGGCATCACTGAAGAGTCCCAGAAGGACGAAATAACTGTATAATGTAGCATCACTGACGAGTCGTGAAGGACAAAACAGCTGTATGATGTAGCATCACTGAAGAGTCCGTGAAGGACAAAACAGCTGTATGATGTAGCATCACTGACGAGTCCGCGAAGGACAAAACAGCTGTATGATGTAGCATCACTGACGAGTCCGCGAAGGACAAAACAGCTGTATGATGTAGCATCACTGACGAGTCCGCGAAGGACAAAACAGCTGTATGATGTAGCATCACTGACGAGTCCGCGAAGGACAAAACAGCTGTATAATGTAGCATCACTGACGAGTCCGTGAAGGACAAAACAGCTGTATGATGTATGATATATATATCATTATATTTGTATATATTTTTCTTTGCTTGCACAAAAAAAAAAAAAAAAAAATAAAAATAATAATCGTATGAATACAAAAATCATACAATGAAATAATCATGAAATTTTGGTAGATACATGAATATTTCCACATTATATCTGCATTGGTAGAATTGTTGTTTATTTTTATCATTAATTGTTTTATTTATCAACGTTATTGTAAAATAAAATTCTGATATTAAGTCATATAAACAATTGATAACATAACGCTTCGCATGGAGAAGCAGTTAGCGACGGTTAATAAAGTGGCATCGATATAAACAATACTGAACACGAGACGTGGCACTTAATAAAGTGGCATCGATATAAACTATACTGAACACGAGACGTGGCACTTATTAAGTGGCATCGATATAAACAATACTGAACACGAGACGTGGCACTTAATAAAGTGGCATCGATATAAACTATACTGAACACGAGACGTGGCACTTAATAAAGTGGCATCGATATAAACAATACTGAACACGAGACGTGGCACTTAATAAAGTGGCATCGATATAAACAATACTGAACACGAGACGTGGCACTTAATAAAGTGGCATCGATATAAACAATACTGAACACGAGACGTGGCACTTAATAAAGTGGCATCGATATAAACAATACTGAACACGAGACGTGTCACTTACCGACTCCTCATCTGGTTTCAGATCTTTGACAAACACGATGAAAACCACAATAAGGACGAGGAATAAAGCTAGAATCACCCATCGTATGATTTTGTGCGTTATAAATCTGAAATAATATCCATAGAAAAACCTGACAACAACGTTTTTCCTTGGGGTGTGATTTTCCGGTACTTCTGTGACGATGGCTGCAGGGGATGGTGCAGTATGCGAGCGTGGATTGCATGGCCTTTGACAGGGCCAGATCCATTTCTCAAAGTACAGATGATAGACTAAAACCACAGAAGGGAAAAATGTTATCACAGTCAGATAATTGATAAAAACTAAAGTGGCACTAAAAAGTCCGAACGAGGATATTGCCAACACTGGTGAAAATGCATTGGAAATAAATGCAGCCATGGTTGTCAAAGACGTAATCAACATGGACATGGACGCTCTTCTGTAACATTCAGAAAGTCTCTGCTCGAGAGATTCCATGCGTTCATGGGATGTTACTCGCCAGGTATCAAAATACACAAAAACGTCATCAGCCCCTATACCAAGAATTATAAATATCGACAGCACGTGAAAAACACCAAAATATTTGTAATCAAACGCAATGCGATAGATCATGTTGGCACCGAAAAAGCTGGTAAGAATGCTAAAAATAGCAAAACACGTAATAAACAAGGATTTAGTTTGGAATAGCATGAAGAGGAATATAAAGCAGAAACTACCTACAGCAAGCATCATATCTAATATGACCTGCTGTTGGACGTCATGAGTAAACAGGGTTTCGCATGAGTACAGAAAGTTCATTGGTCCAAGTCCATGTTTGTTCCGATCAATGAGTCTTTGACTATAACTATCCACCAAGAACTTCTCAAGCTCTTCATTATAGTCGAAATAGAAAGCGGTTCGAGTAATAGAGGACTTGGCAACACCGTCAGCTACGCTCACCCTGTAGTCTTTTCCAAGGAAAAAATTCAACTTTTGTGACAGCTCCGGAATACTCATGGCGTTTTGTAGTGTTTGAGGGATGTCGCTGAAAGAAGTGTCATTAAATACTTGTCCGAACGTTCCATCAAATAGACGGAGGATAGAGAAAGGTGGCGAGCAGTCGACCCCGTTGTCCTTCAAGCAATAACGTTTGTAATCAACAACATTGGTCAGCTGGTCTTCAAAGGCTTGGATGGTTCTCAAATTCTCGGCTGTGAAAACATTACCAGATTCATAGTAAAGAATAAGGGTTTCCGGCTCATACTCATCAGTTGAAGACGCGGACAGTATGTCGGGCGTGTCTCGGTTATTCCATGCCAATGCTCGTAAGAAAACCTCCTCCTCTTCGAGATCTAATGGCACCCCTTTGAAGTCAACAGGAAGAATATCGTAACCATGTATGACCATCACCCCTGTGATCATCAAAAGAGACACATGCACCAGGAGGAGGAACACTGAAAAACCAACGTGGTGGAGGATTCAAATATCGTTAGTCTCTCCCATGTGTTTGATTTTATCTATACGAGTATTGGTAAAACAATAAAAAATCAAGAAAACACAAACATTTCAACAAAAGCTTACTTAAAAAAGACAAAATTAACATAAAGATGTACATGAAGAGTAAATAATTTGAAATCTGACGGTGTTAAATGACTTCGGGTAAACATTTCTTCAATAATTGTATCGTCCTCTCTGAAACATAAACACGCAATAAGGTATCTTCCTCAATACTTGATAATAACTAAAGACCACGCGACTTATGTAACGAATCACAATTATCGCTAACAGTTGGTACTACTGTGATGAACTTCAATAGACTACAACGTTTATAGATATAGCTATACGCATTTGTTATTGCAAAAGGTATTTATAGTACTTTCGGGATACATATAATATAACCATGTCCAAATTATCTCTCTCTCTGTCCGTCTGTCTGTCTCTCTGTCTGACTCTCACTCTCTCTTTCTCGCTCCCTCTCTTTGTCTCTCTCTCTCGCTCTCATTGCCAGTCTGTCTGTCTGTCTCTCTTTCTCGCTCCCTCTCTTTGTCTGTCTGTGTCTCTCTCTGTCTGTCTGTCTCTTTCTCGCTCCCTCTCTTTGTCTGTCTGTCTCTCTCTCTCGCTCTCATTGCCAGTCTGTCTGTCTGTCTGTCTGTCTGTCTCTTTTAGGCGCCTTTCGTTATGATTACTTTTACCCGAGTGATCAAGACATGACAGAATTTTATTTTGAAAAATCAACGAAGAGCGGCTATGTGTTGAGAATGAACATAATCTATGGAATGTGATACAGCCGTGATATGAGATAAATCCCTTTTGTAACAATTTCTTCTTGTTAGGGTACAAGAAATAAATAATTAGACCGAGTCACCTCTCTATGAACTCTTTCTTGTTAAGGTACAAGAAGTGAAGTAATTAGGTTTTCTAATATGCTGATCAATAAAGAACACTTCCGTAAGAGGGATTTAACAGGAGACTGTCAGCTTTGTTATCCCCCTAATTTACCTCCTAAATAAAAACACCTTCACCAATAGTCCCTCCACTATTGGTTATTCATCCATTCGCTGATAACTGATATAGTCACTTTGTACCTGTGTGAGCCAACCCCAGACTGGATTTAGATATTTTCAATATTTCTACAGAGCTTTGATGTATACAAAATTGGTCAAAACGCAACCTTCATTACACCATCACGGTATAAAGTCTGTTCACAAAATCCTGATATATGCCACTCACCAAAGACTGTCATAGGCCTTCTTGCGATGAATTTACAAATCCACAATGGTTGTTGACGATGGCCCTCTCTCTGGTACTGTGTGGTATTGTTGGTGTCCTGAATTTCTTGTTGGTTGTCTGGCTCGGAAGTCTGTCGTGTACAGACTGGAACATCCACACTGTAACTAGATTTTCTGTCTTCGTTGCCTAAATGTGATTTCGTTTTGCCTTGAATAATATCCATCTGAAACAGCAAAGATCATACAATAGAAACGGAATGTTTACCTTATTTTCATGTCACCTGTCAGATTACGTTCAAGGTATATAAATAGGGCATGCTCCTGATCTCAACTTTGCAAATAGAGAAATCTGTACCAAACATAATCCTGAACGCATGCAATATATGCAATAAATACACAAAACGATCCCTTTGGTTACGGTAGATATGCCTCTATCTATATTTTCGCCTTTCGTAAAGAAAGCATTGAATGATCCATTATTATTTGCAAAGGACGAGATGCACGGAAATGCTCTACACAGCTTTAACGGTCGTCAGTAAGTAGAAACTCCGTATCTTCCATTGTCCGCAGCAAAAGGAGTTTTATCCTTTTACAGATTTTGGAAAGAAACTGATTTGTCATGTATATTGTAGTAATTACCATATATAAAAGAAAACCAAAACAATTATAGATGAGAAGCCGATCGTTCTACCGATAATGACTGAAGCAATTACTAACATTCTACAGGATCCAGACACAGTCACTGACTACTTATTACGATAGTTTAACACATCAAGTTTCAAGCCGTTCGCTTTCCTATTAATCAATATATTATTATTTGCTTGGTAGTCGTAAGGCTAATATACTACACGCTAGGTTAAGAAATAAATCCAGTACCTTAAATAATGACCTTTTCAGATCCAATCTAATAGATTATCGTTTCTGTCAATGTGGACACCCTGTTGAAGATACTTACCACTATTTTTTTTGTTTGTAATATTTATTCGGACCAGAGAGCCATTCTGTACCGAGAACTAAATAATTTTATCCCTCTAGACCTGCAGTTACTCCAACATGGTAGTATTATCGACTCATACGAAGATAATGTAAAAATATGTCAAATCACTCAGCAATATATACTTAATTCAAACAGATTTTGATCTTTATCTCTCTATCTACCTCCCTCTATCTCCTTCCGTGATAAATGTAAAAATATCTGGTCTCTCCTTGCTCCGACACAAGTGGTGACGTTTTTTCCCCCTGAAGGACCCGGATGCCAGGAGAAAGCGATATTCGCACGGGATGTGATGAACTGTAGAAAAGTTTGAAAGTTATGGAAACCGTTTTGTATTTTTACTTGTGTTGTTTGTATCAGGAGAGACCGCTCTACATGAAGTTATTTAAACTCTCTCTCGTTTTTTTTCTATATTATAATTGTATTTAAACATGTCGTCTTGTCTTGTTAATATGTATTTTGTAAAATTTTATAGGAAAGGGCTTTATATAAGTTAGAAAACTCGTGCCCAATCCTGCTTGTATACTTTGTACAAATAAAATATGTTTAAATCAATTAATCAATCCGGGACAACATTACCGATTATTCATTTCCCTATCTAAAATTCTATATTTGTTTGTGCAATCCATGTTATTACATGTAATATGGAAATTGCACTTGTATAGTAATTGGACACGGTTAGCTGATCTGCATAATCGGTCAAAGTTTAAAGCAGATCAATTACAATCTGCAATAAGCTAGTTATCAAACCCACCGACACAATTTAGGCGATTGTGATTAATGTACAGCTCGCACTCTATCGAAATTACTGATGTGCATACACAAAAACAGGTAATGTAACCCATTTATTTCATTGTAAAAATACAAACTATAGAACAGAAGTTCTCATAACACAACCAGTAGAAAATTAGAGTGTGACGTTTCGATAACTACAAGGTCACTTTGTAGTTCTTATAACACAACCAGTAGAAAATTAGAGTGTGACGTTTCGATAACTACACGGTCACCTTGTAGTTCTTATAACACAACTAGTAGAAGATTAAAGTTTGACGATGAAGGTGACCGTGTAGTCATCGAAACGTCACACTTACATTTTACAGTCATCACAAACATGTCTTACGTACAATGCCTTCGCAACAAAAAGGGATATTCTCCCCAAAATTAAGAATAGTAAGAGTGACGGTAACTACGGCAAGGCAAGACCTACTTAAGCTGTAGAATCTCCAAGAATCACCTAATCCTGGAGGATACTATAGTAAATAATTAAAGGCAATATTGTTACATCTCTTTGTAAACACTTCTGCTTCGTAATGTTTTCTGCCACCTAACTATTAATTTTATATTTTATTTTCCACTGAGCTAAAAAAAGCAAACTTACCTATCAATGGAATATAAATATATTTTTATCACATTCTTTCATCACTATCAAGTGTATATCAGCGGCAGTCTGATCGATCGCCCGCCCTAGTCACTCTTACAGTTTACTACCTAGCAAACGATGTCTTGTTCGTGTTCCACGTATTTCAATTATTCATTACACCGGGTATATATATAGGATATACAATTTTAGCTACTGATGACGTCAGAACGGCGGGGTGGTGTGTTATTACAATGTAATATGAAAATAAATATTGTACTAAGTGTCCATTTATCTCCGAACATTATCACAAGCTTCCTGTGCGCGGTCCTCACACGTGAAAATTATCCTTGTACAGTGAGTGATGTGATATAGTTACATATTCGACTGTCCCTGTATTTGTTCATGTCTTCGTCATCAGCGTAAGATAACGATTTTGTTTTTGATAAAACTTTTCCATCTTGTCAATCAATTTTCTCATTTCAAAATCATTTTGAAATACTGAAAAATAATGAAATGAGAAATTTCATTTTAATCAGATTAATAATTGTGTATGACGATCTAAAAAAACTGTATATCACAAAATTACTTACCTTGAACTGTATTACAAGTATTCGATGCTGACTGATGCGTTTTATGAACTCTGAAATATGGATTTAACTTATATCTGGTATAGCATTGATCGAACTTGGAAATACATCACTTCTATTAATTGTAGTAAACATTATGAATTAATCAATCGCGGACTCATTAGCTATCCCTGCTGTCACTATTAATCCTCTCTAATCGACTGTAAATCCCATCAATGATCGAAGAAGTGCTCATAGCTGGTAATGAAAAAACATAATTACTTATAACAGTATATTCCCAAGTAGAAAGTGTCTCTATAACATGTAATGCTGTAGACCCGTGATAACCCGGGCTAGCTGCTAACTTCATTCAATTATATCATTGCCAAAATGATATGGCTTTTGTTTTTGAAACTCATGAAATTTGGCTTCCTGATTTCAGCAATACTTGTAGATAAAAAGTTTAGCATTTATATTATACTCATTTGTTCTATTTATAGCTCCCACTAAACAGTATTTGGGATTTCCCTAGATTTACCCACAGTTGTCATTTATCAAGTAAAAGCTCCATGTTTGTCTTTAATCCATATGTTGAGATGCTAATTTTGTCTTGTTTTGTCATCATGTGGTTGTAGTTGCGCCTACCCTTACTTTCGTCAGACATGCTCCGAAATCATTTAAAGTGAAAATAAGCGAGATAATACCAACCTGCCAACAAAACCATATTCCAAAATCAAATTTAATAAACACGCTGGGGC